CTCGTTCATTTGGATCGATACTGAATGCTGTTATGCATTGTGATTGTGTTTTGTTATCTAGCATTCATGATATTGGCATTTCTTCTAGATCATTAAAAACGATGCCTAAGAAGCAGATTATAAGATCAGACATGATGAATTTTAGTTTCTTCATTGCATTTAGTTGTAAGAACCAGGTACACCATATCAAAATCATAGCAAAAATCCCTAATAAACTGGAATTGGACAATCAGGATTTTCTCGAAATTTGAACAAAATGTGATTGCAATGTTGCAACAAAACATAGATTCGAAGACAAGTAGATCGTATAGGCAGATTCCGCTCATGGATTCAGTCGTCAAGCTGATCAAATTGGACAGGATTAATGAAACTTAAACACAGAAGATAGCATATTTGTGCCACATTCCTTTCTCAAGAATGCCATAGATCCTCATAGTATGAGGAGGATCTAGAAGCAACGTTTCAAGAATCATATGGAACTTGGTCATTTTGAAAAGCTCTCAGAGTAGAGAAACAGAAGAAAAATAACCAAAAAAGTAAGGAACAGAATTATATTTCTCATGATTGTGCTTCGGTAGATTGATCTAGTTAAGTCACATGTTTTCCTTGTGTTCTTTCTCTTGCATTTTAGCTGCTGATTCATGTTCTTACCCATTATTCATTGTAAACTCCGCTACTTAGGGTATTTGTGTGCATAAATTGTGAGCTTGTTCCTTCAGACGATCTTAGTGTATCATATTTGAAGTGGATTCAATTCATTGTTTACCCTTGGATTGCATTTGAAATGGAAGAATCACAAGAAGAATGGGACTAGAGAATTTTTAACTGTCTGAAGACATAATTGCTTTGAACTCTTATCCATTGTTCATCTGGCTCGAATGACAAATTTGATTTTCTTTTGAGATGTCTGAACGAGTAACAGGTGCTGCAAAGTATTTCCAATTTGGAGCGAGTAATATGCTATTTTTCCCAAGTTAGAACCGGAACCAGATGCAGATCCAAAGTCAGAACCAGAGTCACAGCAATGATCTCGAAAGTGGTTGGCTTTCATCCTACTCTTCTTAAATTTTTCTTTTTAGTTGCCAGAGGTTGCATAATTCTTTTGTGCCATCAGCGTGTTAAGATCAATAATGGAAAACAATAGAAGATTGTTCCATTTCCTTAGAAAATGAATAAAGAAACGTGAAATTGGTGTGCAAATAGTAGTTCAAATGCAAAGCCTTCGTCTTTTTAAGTTTAGTGACAACATACATTATGATCTGGCACAGAATTCCTACTAGTTAAACCAATCAGGTTGCTTTTGAGCTAATAAACTTCACAAAAGCACCCAATGCACTCACTGAACTAGCTGGAAATCCACTCTGGAATTCTTTGCTAAGTTCCTTTGCCCGATTATGCACCTTTTCATCATCCATTAGTCTCACAATTCCTGCTGCTATATCATATTTCTTCAACTTTCCTGCCCGCCCCTCCTCGTTAGCACCACTTGATATTATGTACCCCATCTTCAGATGGTTGGCCACCAGTTTCGCATTGTCGAACTGATCACCCCGGATCGGCCATGCCAAGATAGGTACCCCACGGCCAATCGCCTCAACGGTTGAGTTCCACCCACAATGTGATAAGAAGCCACCGGTAGATGGGTGGCTCAGAATCAACAGTTGTGGTGCCCATCCGGTGATGATCAAACCTCTCTTCCCAACTTTCACGTCTAATCCCTCAGGATAATACCCTTCTTCTTCTTCGGATTCGGTGTCCGTTTGAGCTGCCCCCAAGAAGGATCGGGGAATGCTGGTCTTACCTGAACCCGGTTGGATCACCCATATGAAAGGCTGGTCCGCCTCTTCCAAGGAGTTGGCTAGTTCTTTGTACTCTTCGATTGTGGGTCCAACCTCACTCCCAAACGAGATATAGATTACTGATCCATATGGCTTCGATTCTAACCATTCGATCACCTGATCTTCTGTGAAATTCGATTTGTGGTTCGATCTCATCTCATGATCATAGAGGATTGAACCGGCTGATCGCCAAAACTGCTCAGGTAGCAGCGGTCCAATACCCCAGACCGGAAGCTTGGTTTGTTCAGCAATGTAATCGATGAACAAACGCTCGAGATTGTCACAAGTATTGATAAGCAAGGCCACCGAGCCCTCAACCTCGTCCACCCAACGTGGCTTGTGGCCTGGTGGAGGCGGACCACCACCTCTCGGTCCAGCGGGCGGTCCGAACCTCATGCTATGTGGTGACCCTACGGGATGACCTGTAGGCCGGTTTGGTCTCTGAGACCTTCCTCTTGGACCTCTACTTAGATCCGCAAAAGTGACGGCCATTTCTGTAGGTAATCCAGGAAGCACTCGGGTCTCACCGGGCTTCATATCTCCTACATGGGCCTTCCATCTTCCGTATTCCATGGCGGCAGCGGTTGCACCGGAAGTAAAGAAAGACACCACCGGAATCTGGTGATTTACGAAAATATCCTTGCTCCAGCTCATCATGACGTCCATCACAACACACGTGGGCTTTACTTCAGACCTTGCGGACAGGAACGACTCGATTCCCTCACCCATCTGCAAATTCTGGTGACGGAGAGGGTTCCCCCTAGGAGCTGATGGCGGAACCTCCTTCCCAGATTCGGATTCTTCAACAGTTTCCGGTGGCGGTGAACCGGCAACGGAGATGTTAACAACATGAACGAAAGAGGAGTGGTCGGAAAACGTGGAGGGAATAGATGAAGAAACGTGAGAAGGGATGATTAGGGAGATATTAAAGTTATGGGAAGATAGTTTCCTGCAGAGCTCCATAGCTGGGAAGAGGTGACCTTGGCCAAAGAATGGTACTAAAAGGATATCACCACGGACTGCTTCCATGGCTGTAGTTTGAAGCTATCTGTTCTTGGTATGAGTTTGGTTATTGAAGATATAGATGGATATATAATATATATTGAAGGTGGTGGGAATGCAGTGAAATTATATGATGGAGTAGAGAGTCAAATACTTACTCAGGATTTGATGCGTGTCCTGATACACGTGTTGATCCCTGTGTCCTTTTTTCTTGAATAGGTAGTCAAATGGTAACCGTACCTTGTGGGAAAACCGAAGCCGCCCAAGGTAGAATTAATTTCTTAAAATTCAAAAATATTAGTTGCTGTACATGTTTTTTAAGCATGTTACTCATTGAAATCTTTATTCTTTCCCTATAATCTTTCTAATCCAACAAACATCTTTAGAATCTATCTTTTTTAAAAAGTAGATAGTTATTATTGATTGCATATTTAATAGGCGGTTTTCACTCCGTATTTCTTATAATCACCGTCAACTTCCCTTCCCCAAAGTTCGGTTGCTTCTCTTTCAAGGTAAGCTTTAACCTCATGGGTATCGACCATTGCTTCTGATTGATTTATGGTATGTATCAATTTTTGCTTCTTTGTTTTTTACTCATTACGTATCGATTCTTTATGGTTTCTTTGTTTGTCTTTTTGTCGGTTTAGGTTTACTTCCCCAGAGCTTGATTGCTTCTCATCCTCAAATCTTGATTGCTTCTCTTTCAAGGTAAGCTTCAACTTTATGGGTGGCTGTATTGATTGACCATTGCTTCTGATAGCTTGATTGATTTATGATTTGTACCGCTTTAAACTCTAACGTCAAGCATCTTAATTCAAAACCTAGGTTTATCCGGAAATTTGTTCATTCAATTATGATATTTTTTGTTACAATCAACTATCTTGATGAAGTTAATTAACGACGGAACATGATGAAGGTTGCAATCGTCATCCACAGAAAGGGAGTTGGGAACCGGAGGAACATGTAGAAACATTTGAAGTCTTGAAAGAGACCAAATGACACACTATAGAGATGTCAATGCAAATGGTAGTGCTTTTTCTATGATCAATAGTTGGGAGAATCATTAAATTCTTATCATTCCATGATTAACTTAATTTCGATTTGTGTTACATACTAAATCGAAATATATTTCGCTGCATTACGCGGGTACTATTATAGTATAAAAAATAACCATAAATAAACCTAAGGGTGCGTTTGGTATGCAAACTATATGGGACGGGACGGGACAAAAAAAATAGTCCCATGTTTGGCATGCCATGGACAAAAAATACATGGGACAAGATGGACTATTTTTAAATTTGATAGGACAAAACTTGATGATTTTTGTTTCTTCTATTGAATTATTGACGGTAAACCCTAACAAAATCCCCTCACTAAAAGGTCGTTTAAATACCATTAAAAAACCACATGTTCAAATTTCTGCGTAAATCGCACAGCAGTAAATGCAGTTAACACCAGATTGGGGGGGTTGGAGGGGCAGAGGTTTGGGGGGACGTTTCAAAACAGTGAGTTGTAAATGGTTTATTTGATTTATAAATCAATATCATACAATTCTTTTTCTTCTAATTGCACATAAAGATTCAAAACAGTGGGCTAGAATAAATGGTTTAATGTTTGTTGAAAAAATCATATGAAAAAGGTATCTTGGGTCATTGCTTATTGAAAATGCATATGAAAAAGGTATCTTCGGTCATTGTTTTGACTATGTTTGTTACTTTGTTTTGTGTTTTTTTGTAGAGATAGACCGGAATGACTTGTTTGTACTCGTTAAAGTATGGAATATTTAATGTATTAAACTTGATTATAAAAACTTGTCATTTTTTTGGATTTATTTAATGTATTAAACTTGATTATAAAAACTATATAATTAAAATATATTTTGGTTGATTTGTTGTCATTTTACAATCATTATATGATATAAAATAACATTGAACAACATTTATGAGTAATATGGTCATTTTAACAGTTTTGTCATGTCCTGTCTTAGTTCGTACCAAACATGGGACAGACAATTAGACTGACTTGCGCCGTTCTGTCTTCGTACCAAACACTACCTAGAAGAAATTGAACAATTTCTTAGTAGTTTTTGGTAACATGCTTGGAATAAAAAGATTTGTTGACTACAAATCATAAGAAGTATGAACTAACATAAATAGTTAGTTTGAGAGAAAAATGATGAAGAAATTCATACATGAATGTATGTATATACATAAAGTCAATCATGTTGCTTTTGAGCTGATAAACTCCACAAAAGCACCCAATCCATTCACAGAACTCACCGGAAATCCACTCTCGAATTCTTTGCTAAGTTCCTTGGCTTGATTACGTACCTTTTCATCACTCATAAGTTTCTCAATTCCGGCTGCTATATCATCCCTTTTCAACTTTCCATGCCGCCCATCCTCATTCGATATAATGTGCCCTATCTTCAGATGCTTCGCAACCAGTTTTGCATTGTCGAACTGATCACCACGGATTGACCACGCCAAGATCGGTACCCCGCGGCCGATGGCCTCCACGGTTGAGTTCCACCCACAATGTGATAAGAAGCCGCCGGTAGATGGGTGGCTCAGAATCAGCAGCTGTGGTGCCCATCCCGTGATGATCAAACCTCTCTTCCCGACTTTCACGTCTAACCCTTCAGGATAGTATCCTTCTTCTTCATCTTCTTCTTCGGTGTCAGTATGAGCTCCCCCAAGGAAGGATCGTGGAACGCCGGATTTACCGGAACCTGGCTGGATCACCCAAATGAATGGCTGCTTTGATTCTTCCAACGATTTGGCTAGTTCTTTGTACTCTTCAATCGAGGGTCCAACCTCACTCCCAAATGAGATATAGATTACGGATCCATATGGCTTTGATTCCAACCATTGGATCACCTCATCTTCTGTGTAATTGGATTTGTGGTTTGATCTCATGTCGTGATCATGGAGGATTGAACCAGCTGATTTCCAAAACTGTTCCGGTAGCAGTGGCCCGACGCCCCAGACCGGAAGCTTGGTTTGTTCAGCGAGGTAATCGATGAATAAACGTTCAAGATGATCACAGGTGTTGATGAGCAAGGCCACCGAGCCATCCACCTCGTCCAGCCAACGTGGCTTCTGGCCTGGTGTAGGCGGACCACGGCCCCTAAATCCACTAGGCGGTCCGGTGTTTCCATCGGCAGGCCGGTTCGATCGTTGTGGTTTTCCTCGGGGACCTCTGCTTAGATCTGCAAAAGTCACAGCCATTTGTGTAGGCAAGCCGGGAATCACTCGGATCTCACCTGGCTTCATGTCTCCTACCTGTGCCTTCCACTTCCCGTAATCCATGGTGGATGCGATTGCGCCGGAAGTGAAGAAAGACACCACCGGGACCTCGTGATTTACGAAAATCTCCTTGCTCCAGCTCATCATGACGTCAATCACAACACACGTGGGTCGGACTCCGGATCCTGTGGACAAGAACGACTTGATTCCTTCACCCATCTGTATGTTCTGATTGTGAAGCGGGTTCCCCATAGGAGCTGGTGGCGGAACCTCCTTTTTTCCAGATCCGGGTTCGTCGGCCGTCTCCGGTGGCGACGAGACGGAGATTTCGACGACATGAATAAAAGAGGAGTGGTTGGTAAAGGTGGAGGGTATAGATGAGGAAAGGTGAGAAGGGATGATGAGGGTAACATTGTAACGATGAGAAGAGAGATTCTTGCAGAGCTCCATAGCTGGGAAGAGATGACCTTGACCAAGGAATGGTAGGACAAAGATATCGGCGGCTGCTTCCAAATCCATGGCTGTAGTTAGAAGCTCTGTTTTGTTGGTGATCCATGGTGATTGATTGAGTATGTATTTATAGATAGAAATGGTGTAGGTATGTTAAGGAAAGGACTCCAAGAAGAAAGGGGGAATGAGAGAAAGGCAGTCCACAAGGGAAGAATGTCGACTCTGCTTTTTGTTGCCGACCTTTTTAATTGGGGGTTGATATTGCCGCCCCTGGAACACTTTTTACCCCTGCACTTTGTTACCTCTCTCACAACCTTCCCCTCTCAGACACTCACAATTCACTGTTGAAGAATTTTAAAAATTTAAATTTACATATTTTACCTTTATAATTAGTTAATTAATTCACTTTATATCTTTTCCTTTTAAAATTTTTATTTTATATCCTGATCAAATTAACATACATAATCGTATATCAATTAAAATATATTTAAAAAATATATTTTAATTTTAACAAGTTACACCATTATAATCGTCGCGTCAATACCTTCGAAATAAGCTCAATATTGAATATTTTTTGACTTAATATTTTTAATATTTACATTTATAGTCATTTATTTAATTGTAAAAATAATTTGATTTGAAATAAAGTAAAGTTACTGATTTGAAATAAAATAAAGTTATTGATTTGAAATAAAGTAAAGTTATTGATTTGAAATAAAGTAAAAAAAAATCGATATATATATATCGAACGAACGAATGAATCGTTCATTCGATATTTCACTCTCTTATATAACTCTCATTTTTCTTCAATATATAACTCTCTCATTCTTCAATATACATCAAATATGGGAGAAGATTTGATAACAACACCARAATTTTTCACCAACGAGGTACAATATTATGTTAATTGATATTTAGGTTTATTAATACTTACTTGTACAAATGAAAGAATTATTGAAGACCGTAGACGTAGTTGTTCTAACGTGCCATCAATTATTAACTCTGAAGATTTGAGGCATCAAGAATCAACGAGGCATAGTTCCTATCTCCAACGACAACCCACCACCCGACATCTGTATCTTGATCAAATCCCGAGTTTATTTCATCCATACATCATACAAATACAAGATGTATTAGGCGATGAAAATTGTGGATTTCGAGCGATATCTACTTGTCTGGGTGGTCATGAAGACGCCTGGGACAATATCCGCAAAGAGTTAATGATTGAACTAACTGAGTATGGACAATATTACTCCTATGTGATTGGCGATGAGTGCTTACGCATTCACGAAGCGCTAATTTTTTTTCCAAAAGGGCGTCTTTGCACCAGTTGCGCATTGGATTGTTATGCCTGAAATGGGCATTCTAACGGCTTCAAGGTTCAATGTCATACTGCATGTTCTCAATATGGCAGGCAGTGTGACATACTTACCGTTTAGGACACAACCTCCGTCATCATCTCAACACGTGGCAATTGCAATAGTGCATGTTAATGGTAACCATTACATAAAGGTGGTATTAAATGGAGAATATCCAATGTCCACACTTACGCACCATTGGACATGTTACCGTTTTGAAGATGCAAGTACATGGATTGTCYCGTATCAACATARATTCAATGCATATGAAGAATATATAGAGCGTACTCTTACTCGTGAATATGTTGATTTAACATGAGAAATCAAAGTTTTAATTAATARATTTAATTTATATTTGAAATATGTATTATTAATATTTTATTATTATATAGAGCGTACTCTTACTCGTGAATATGTTGATTTAACATGAAAAATCAAAGTTTTAATTAATAAATTTAATTTATATTTGAAATATGTATTATTAATATTTAATTAATTAATAATAATATAAAACATGTTAAAAAAGTAAAATGTTAAAAGTTAAAATATAAAAAAGTTAGGGTTAAAAATTAAAACATAAAAAAGTTAAAAATGAAAATATTTAAGTTTTGTCATTTAATTGTTTTTTTATCTTTTAGTATAAGGGATGGTGTATAAAATTGTAGGAGGAGGTGGGGTTAGAAAACCCCTTTTAATTTGGAAATCAAAATATTAAAATTGATTTTGTCTAAAACAAGTGTAATTTTAGAGAAATCGACTTAAAATGTCACTCCTTAACAATATCCACGTCATAATATTGTGGCTCTAACTAAAAAATAAAATTAAATGGTATCACGACATATCACAATAGATATCATAATGGGTATCATAATGTATATCTTTGTGATTACTTGGTATCTGCCGGATTTTTGTTCACCGGAGGTCGGAGAGATGAAAGATGAGAGAGGAGAGAGAAGAGAGGAGTTTTTTAAAAATACCTAAAATGTCATCTAATTATAATTTTAACCCAAACTACCATAATTATTAATTTCCTAATTTATCCTTTGATTTGTGGTTGAGATTGGACCTCAAAGTTACCACAAACTAATCAGTTCTCTCTTGAATGATCCCCTATATATATATAGACTTGGATCATGTGAGATCAGCATGTTTTCGTGAGACCCGTGAGACCACTTTTTTTTTACACTTGAAACTTCACAGCAAAATGCTGTGAAAGTGACTTTTTTTAATTTTCACAGTGTTTTTGCTATGAATGTTCGATTTTTTTTTAACTTTTACAGTGTTTTTGCTGTGAAGTTTCAAGTGTAAAAATGTGATCTCACGAGTTTTACGAAAATAGGCTGGTCTCACGTGAATCCAACCTTATATATATATATAGAGGGTTGGGTTCACGTGAGACCAAGGGTTTTTCGTGAGACCCGTAAGACCAATTTATGTTCATTGATCAAATTTATGAATTAATGATCTAATGGTTGCAAAGTTGCAAGGTGGCAATTTCGTAATTAGTGAGAAGTCTCGTGGCGTTTATAAATGTTCAGATCTGACGATTGTAAATCTAATCCAAGGGTTGAGAATTGGTCTTACGGGTCTCACGAAAAACAATTGATCTCACATGATCTCAAGTCTATATATATATATATATATATATAAAGAGAAAAGAGGGGAATGGAAGAAGGTGGTCGACAAGGAGAAGAATTTTAAGTTGGATATTGGAGTATGATTTTGTTGCCGACCTTTTAATTTTGTTTAAATTATTTGTACTTTTAAGTGAAAAAATAATCAAATATTTTTATTTTATGTGGTTGTTTTGGTTAACGTTTCATATGCAGGGTGGATAAGACGAGACATTACTGGATGGACGAGACTAATTGTTTGTTTTATGTTTGATACGACTAAAGCATGACTACAGTAATTGTATGGTAGATATGATAAGACAAAACAATTAAAATAACCACATTATCATAAATACGTAATATTTCGTTTGATCTAATTTAAAATCTACTGAATGTTTGTTCTGATAGTCAATACAAATAACACATTTTGGAGAAATATTTGGATTAGATTTACATTTAATCAATTTTATTCCAAAATTTAGATATCATAATGTTTTTTTAATATTTGTAATTTATCCTCTTTCCTCCCACCATTAATTTTGGTTTCTTTTATGCTTACGTTTTAATCTTTAGAAATGTTTAAATTTATTCCAATATTTACTTTTGCAAGTTTAAAATCATATAAATATATAATGTCGCTTGTTTAAGTGGAATGAAAAAGTAGTGGATACAAAACCCTAAGTGGACCTTCAGTTTGATGGAATGGTTTTGAGAGATTTGGATTCCGTGGAATGATTTGTAATATTTGGTATGTTTGGTTTGTAAGATTTGAAATGAAATTGAATTCCAATTTTTTATAAATAATTATAAAAATAATTAAATTATTTTCTTATTAATTAATTATTACAAAACAAATGTTTAAACATATTTTAAACAATTATTACACAAAAATCCTATGAAACCATTACCAACCAACTCTATGAGATTCAAAATCATATGTTTGTGGGATTTCATTTTATTTCAAATCTATGAAATTCTTTAAACCAAATATGGGATTGGAATAGAATTGAATTTCAAATCCCACCAAATCCAATTCAATCCTGCAACTCAAATGAGACCTAAGTGATGAGGAGGGCAAGGATGTGGTTTTCAGGTTGGGAGATTTAATGGACGATGAGGATGAGGAGGTGGAAACAGAGAAACGATTGTCATGGCATAATCCCAACCAAATCCCGTAACCTATTATTCCGATTAACTAATATGATGTTGTATTCATGAGCAAAACATCACTGAAGACTGAAAATTAGGTCAACTCGTATCAATTTAAGAGTGTTTGGTTTGATGGAATGATTTTTGTTGGGTATTAATGCAAATTTGTAACTGTTAAACCCAACGGAAAATTAATTTAGTTACAAAATAAGTTAGAAAACCTTTTTTAAATCTAAAACCTGTAGTTGTATCCAATGATGAATTAATTAAATCACACACCATAAGGTATTTAAAATTCGTACACATATAGATTAAACATGGAATTTGACGGAACACTAAGAAACCAACAAAGGTCTTCTTTATGGTAGTTCACACACGAACACGTTTCGGCCCAGAACTCTAGATTTATATGTGTATTATAGAAAGAAAAAAGATAAATCCAATTTAATCTGAAACAAACCTTATTTCAGTTTGTATACACAATCACCACCTTTAAGATGACAACAAATAAAAATTAGATCAAACAGTTTCTTAAGGCATGTTTTTTTTTTTTTTCAAAATTATCTATTAATATTTCTGAAATCTAATTCATTCAGACGTTTGGGTATTAATAATATTTGTTTTATTTATAAAATAAAAGCTTAAAAACTCTAAATGGTCTCTTAAATTTTAAGTGGTAAACGTATTCATTGATACTTTTTAATCTTCATCCGCTCTCTGTCAAATTGTTCATATTTTGGGTGCCGGAAGAGATTTGTTAGCAACAACTATTTATTTTTTATACTTTTATAAAAAAATTATTTATCTTTTATATTTTTACAATAGTTTGATCGATTCAAATTTTAAACTTCAGACGCAAAAACAATTTTACTGATCAATATTTCATATTTCAAAACCACCTATTATAAATTAGAAATAAAATCAGACTTTGGATTTTAACACAATTTAAAAAACAAACATTTAGTATTTTTACAATGCTATACTATCATTGAGTAAAAAGATTGGTACAAATGAAACCAACATACATAAATAATTGGTTCGAGGAGAAATTCATACATGCTTACGTATATATGTAATCAAGAAAATGCTGACACAAAGTCAATCAGGTTGCTTTTGACCTAATTAACTCAACAAAAGCACCCAATCCATTCACAGAACTCGCCGGAAAACCACTCCCGAATTCGTTACCAAATTCCTTCGCCTTATTACGCACCTTTTCATCACCCATTACCTTCTCAATTCCGGCTATTATATCGTCTTTCTTGAATTTTCCCTCATTACCACCACTTGAAATCATGTGCCCGATCTTCAGATGCTTTGCCACCAGCTTCGCATTGTCAAACTGATCAATTCCGATCGGCCATGCCAAGATCGGAACCCCACGGCCGATGGCTTCCACGGTCGAGTTCCACCCACAATGTGATAAGAAGCCGCCGGTGGATGGGTGGCTCAGAATCAACAGTTGTGGTGCCCATCCGGTGATGATCAAACCTCTCTTCCCGACTTTCACGTCTAACCCTTCTGGATAATACCCTTCTTCTTCTTCGGAATCGGGGTCGGTTTGAGCTGTCCCCAAGAAGGATCGGGGCATGTTGGTTTTACCGGAACCTGGTTGGATCACCCAAATGAATGGATGCTCCGATTCTTCCAATGATTTGGCTAGTTCTTTGTACTCTTCGATCGAGGGTCCAACCTCACTCCCAAATGAGACATAGATTACAGATCCATATGGCTTTGATTCCAACCATTCGATCACCTGACCTTCTGTGTAATTGGATTTGTGGTTCGATCTCATCTCGTGATCATGGAGGATTGAACCGGCGGATTTCCAAAATTTCTCCGGAAGTAGTGGACCGACCCCCCAGACCGGAAGCTTGGTTTGTTCGGCGATGTAGTTGATGAATAAATGTTCGAGATCGTCACAGGTGTTGATTAGCAAGGCCACTGAGCCATCCACCTCGTCCAGCCAACGTGGCTTCTGGCCTGGTGAAGGCGGACCACGTCCCCTGATTCCACGGGGATGTCCGGACCTCATCTGGTTTGGTGGTCCGGTGTTTCCATCGGAAGGCCGGTTCGGTCTTTGAGGTCTTCCTCTCCGGCCTTTACTTAGATCCGAAAAAGTGACGGCCATTTCTGTAGGCAACCCGGGAATCACTCGGATCTCACCGGGCTTCATGTCTCCTACCTGTGCCTTCCACTTCCCGCAATCCATGGCGGATGCGATTGCGCCGGAAGTGAAGAAAGATGCCACCGGAATCTCGTGATTTACGAAAATCTCCTTGCTCCAGTTCATCATGATGTCGATCACAACACACACGGGTCGGACTCCGGATCGTTTGGATAGGAACGCTTTGATTCCCTCACCCATCTGTTTGTTCTGTTCTTGAAGTGGGTGCCCCATAGAAGCTGGTGGCGGAACCTCCTTTTTTCCAGATCCAGGTTCGTCGGCGGTCTCCGGTGGCGACGAGACGGAGACCTCGACGACATGAATGAAAGAGGAGTGGTTGGTAAAGGTGGAGGGAATAGATGAAGAAACGTGAGAAGGGATGATGAGGGTAACATTGTAGTTATGAGAAGAGAGATTCTTGCAGAGCTCCATAGCTGGGAAGAGGTGACCTTGACCAAGAAATGGCAGCACAAAGATATCGCTGGCTACTTCCATAGTTGTTGTCTGAAGCTTTCTTTTCTTGTTATCCATGGCGATTGAGTATGTATTTATAGATGGGGAAAGGAAAGGAATTTACTCCGAGAAACAGGGGAATGGAACAAGAATCTTGATGGAGTCTGATTTTGTTGCCGACCTTATAACTTGGAAACCAAAATATTAGATTTTATTTTATTTAAAATAAATGTTTTTGAATTAATTTATTACTTTAATTACTATAAATTAACAAAGTGACTGATGTTACAAGGAACAATTTTAATGTGGACTTTCCGTTGAGCGACGAGTCTCTCGAGTCTCGGATCATTATGGTCGACTTTCATTGTCGGAAGCACATTACATTATGGTAGCGTAATGTTTTGGAGCATCCAAAATCCATTATATTTATATAATCATAGGCTAGTATGTATATAAAATACGGTTGTTTCTGATATGTAGTTCAGTTGATGAAGAGGTGAGACGATTTTGCTTAAATACAAGACATGTTCCGATTTTGATTACGTCGCTTATTGATGTCTTTGAAAGTAGGTTCCATGTGGCACCAATTGAAGTTATCAATAATGAACTTTTTATCCAAAATTTTAAAAATATTGTTACGATAACTACACCTTAAACATCCAATAGAATACGATTTTAACATGCAACCTTCTAATTTTGTTTGTAACATAAATAGAACTATCAACCATTTGGGTTGTAACGCACTAGTTACGGCTCATGTGAATATAATGGAAAATCTCATCTATCTCAATGAATCCAGGCCCTGGCAAAACCCTTGTAGCCATGAAGATTCATCTGGGATGACTCCAGGTTATTTGTTGTCGTCCGAGAGATTAAGTCGTTGCACATAAGCTATCCCAAAAACCCAGGGTTACCAAAAAGAACTCTAAAAGAGTACATAATTCAATTTTCTTCGTCAAATATAAATATATATATATATATATATATATATAGGGTTGGGTTCACGTGAGACCCGTAAGACTCTAATGGTTTAAAGTTACACGGTGACAATTTTATGATTATTGAGAAGTCTCGTGACAATTTTGTGATTATGAATGTTCAGATTGTAGATGTAAAGGGTCGAGAATTAGTCTTACGGGTCTCACGAGAAACATTTGGTCTCATATGATCCCAAGTCTATATATATATATATATATATTGAAAAACTAAAATACCATATCTATACAAGTAAAAAAGTAGAGAAGGCAACAAAGAAATAGTTGCATGTCTTTGTGACCAAATTCTAACTTTGACGCAAAGCTTTTGACAATTAGTCCAAATCCAATGATTCTTTCCTTCTCATCCAAGCTTCTTTCCTTTAAAAACAAATATTATATATATACAAAAACAATTGAATTATTATATTTTTATAAAAAACTCCAATAAATTATTTTATTTTGAGTGACTTTTTAAAATCAAAAAAACCCAACAAACTTTCATATTTTAAACGATCGAGTTTCTAGACATTTTTTGACCAATATCCTTACAGTTATGAGAAAAACTTAGTGAATGGGAACTTGCCGACACAACCGTCGCTGCATCTTGGTTTTTCCTTTGTGGGATTTCTCTGTCCGACTTGCTAACACCATTGTGCGACTTACAGTCTCCAACCACCATGGAAACCTTGATTCTTCTGGCAAACAATTCCAGACTCCAAGCATCTCCATCTCTAATATACATTCCATCTTCTACTGGATCGATGACATGAAAGGGAGACGAAAGCTACAACTTCCTCACAATCCTCTCCCATGAAACCCATAAAATCAACCCTTCAGTTTGTTTCTAGGTTCGAATCTAGGTTTCGATTTTGATTTCGAACATGTGTTTAGATTTCGGTTTTGGGTTTTTTAGGTTCAAATATGGGTTTCGATTTTGGGTTTGAATCGTTTTAGGTTCAAAGCTATGTTTTGATTTCGGTTTTGGGTTTGAAATATTTCTAGGTTTGATTTCTCGGTATTGAACCTCCAGATCGTTTTTATAGTTCATGATGATTCAAAAAACGAGATGCTTGGCCTCTAGATCAGTGTCGATTTATGGGTTTAAACCTCCAGAGTCCAGTCTTTGAAAGTTTTAAGGTTTATTCATGCTTCATGCTTGGAGAAGATGAAGAAGAAGTGTTTTATGTTTATGTTTAATGTATATTAAACATCAGATATAAAATATAATACAATAAAAGTATTATATAAGTTTTTTTTAATTCTTTAACAGATAATTAAGAGAAATAAGAAAAAGACCACACTACCTTTAATAGATTTTTTTGACATCCGTTAGAGGGAGAGACTCAATAAGTGTGAAAATACGTTCCAGAGGTACCAAATCTGTATTTATTTTGATTTTGAGACCACTATAAATAAAAAATACAAACCACATAGACTAAATCCGTAATTTACTCTATAATAATTGATGGGTGTTCTTTTTTGAGGTTTCCTCATTTTAAACCATCGTTGCTTCCTGTGTTGAGCAATGAGCATGAAACATTCTTTCCTTGTGAAACCGTTATATTCGTTTTCAATCAGTCATAATTATAGAGTTTCAACTTATAATATTATAAATTTAAATGAAACAGGATTCATTTAAAAAAAATACTTCATCTGTTCCAAAATAAATGTTCACAATAAATATGACACATAGTTTTAAAAATGTACAATTATTACACTTTTTAATTTAACAAATGTCGACTTTACTCTTGTTAATAGAGACAATCTTTTTCTCCCTCTTATGATCAGTGTTCAAAAAAATTCGTCGCAACAACCGTCATGACGTGCAGTGGCTTAAGGGTGTGTGTGTCATGTCACGTTAAGCCTATGGCACACCATAACCTAATAGTTTCTAATGTATAACTCAATTTAAATTATTTAATATCAATGAGTAAGAGTAGAATATATATATATATATATATATATATATATGCATACATGTATAATAATTTATATGATGTAAACACTTGTCATCATAAATCACGCTTTGAAAAACGTTGCAACCTCGTCGTGACTCTTAATCTTTGAGGCTTGACCTCGTAGCCACACCACGTTTCAAGCCATTTAGAATCTCACCTAAGATTATGGGTATAATGGAAAAATAAATATTTACTTTTAAAAACAAACACTTATTTTTAAACAAACTAAAATAAAAATGTATACATTATATATATATATATATATATATATATATATATATATTCAAAGGATTTTAATTAAAAAAAAGAAAAAAATGACCATTTTGGTCGGTGCATTATTTATCGGCATTAAAATGTTGCTACTTTTTCAAGTGAAGAGACACGTTCACGCAATCACCCCCATGACTCATTGTTTTATTTTATTGATTAATAAAATAAATATTAATAAAATCGGGATTTAAACTTAAAATATTTTTGTTTTGTTCATGACCATTTGGATTAAGGTAGCTAAACAACGTCTATGACACTGCTTTTTTTTAGGCAACAAACATTTGTTCAAGGATTATTAAAGCATAACTTAGGGGCCGTTTACCAAACGCTTATCCGAGTAAACGCTTACCAAGTAACATTACCTCACCAGATGAATATGGTAAGGACCAAGTATATTACTCACTAAGAGCGAGACAAGGACCAAGAGTCTTATCCGGTGACTCCTGGTAAGCGCTTATTGGGTAAATTGTTGCATACGATGTCATTTTGGAAGTAAATAATAGTGTTAAATTTTACAGGTAAGCACTTACCGGGTAAGTGTTTGGTAAACGGCCCCTTACACAAACAAAGTTTAGTTACTATGAAGGTGCAAAGATCCGGAAAAAAATGGACGTTTTAATCTGTTTTTAAGACTCTGTTATATTTAGTTTTTTTTTAATGATACTATAAAAATAAGATGATGAAGATATATATAGAGGCGAATGGGAGACGTATATACAAATTACAGAGGCCTTTTGTCTTTTGATAGAAATTAGAAATACATTAAGGTGGGTCCTATTGATTCTTTAAACATCAATAATTATTATATTAATACATATTAATTAATTATTAGAAAGTCAATAAAACAAAATCAAAAATAAGGAAAGTATCACTTCTCACAAACTTTATGGTAAAAACCAAAGTTTTTGTTCAAAAACCTAGAAAGCAAGAGGTTCTTATAAGAACCTCTTCACAATGGTAGTTTTTACAAATCATTACACTTTTTGCTAATAAGAACCTTGTATCAGATATGCTTTAAGTTAATACTTGGAGTAGCGGTTTGTGAGCTTATTATCCCTTTTTTAATTATAACTCTGATTAATATTAATTATTACTTATTACCATTAATTATCAATAAAATATCATTTATTATTAATTAATGATTAAAAAATATTAATTAATAATTGAAAATTATTAATTAATTTTGAACTATACGTTTAATATAATTATTTAGAACAATTAATCATATTGATTATTTTTATATTGTTATTTAATATGTTTAGTTATAAAAAAATAAATATAATAATTTAAAAAATGACATGTGAGTTACGTAAAAAATAAAGTTGTACTTATTTAAACGGCACTTTAGGAAAAGGATTTTTTTTTATTTTTCCTTACCAATTAAATTTTTTTAAATTAAATGTTTAGCAGAGATAAATTAATATTGTAATCAACGAAAGCTCGTGTGAGAATAAAAGTTAAAGGCGAGAAACGTAAAAAGAGTTTGGACCCTTGATCACTTTTGAGATCTCACTTCTAACCCATGGATTGTTTCTGGTGCACCTTATTAGTGTTGATATTCATTTAGTATTGATCCAATAATAGAGATTACTTCTCACCATAACTTTCATCTTCACCAGAACCCGACATTATTATAATGTAATATAAAAAAGATATCGAAGATGAAAGCAATTTTCTTTAGAAAATTTTAACTTTTGATTCTTCATTTTGGAGAATATATCGGAGATAGCAAATGATCGTGAAAGAAGAGTTAAAGTGATAAGCGTAAGAAGGGATCTGGACCATCGATCACCTTTAATCTCAAACTCATCCATAAATCGCGTTTGATACGGAGATTGATCTGATACATTTCCGTATATCTATACTATATTATAAGACATTTGACAAAAACTTTTAAAAACTATCTTTTATACATGAAGTACTGCTTATTGATGAATATTACTTAAAGTTTAAGATTACAAGTAAGTTTTACGTAAGTACAACTTATTAAAAATCCATATTTAAATTCGTGTAACTAACTGCAGATAAACATAATCAAATACATGATAAACATCTCATTTTAAATATAAAAAAATCTTAAATATAATTAGAATAATCATTGAGTTCTAACAGAATACTTGATGATTATCTTTATAAAAAATTATATTATTAAACGTAAATTAAATTACTTCGTTAAGTTAAATTAAATTATAATAAAAAATTTGAATTTAAAGAAATTACACAAAACAAGAACTTTTAAATAGTTAATTTGTATTAATATTATATTTTTTTCAAAATTTTATAATATTTTCAAATTTATATTTTATTCAAAAATAAAAATATTATCGTTTTCTCAAAGTCACATAAAACGTATTATATCGACATAGATAATGAATAAAACGATACATTTAAAATCGAGATATGTCTCAATGCATTGTACGAGTACCCTTATTAAATAAAAAATATTTATAGGAAAAAGAAAAAGTGATTAAAATGTTTTAGCCAATACAGAAAAGGTGGAATGGGCCGAGCATTGGGCCTTGGTTTCTGGTGGCTGCCTCTGAGAAAGACGACCACCGCTTTTCTTCCACCGTCAAATTCTACGATCACGTCATCCTCATCCGCCATTGATTATTGAACCAGGTATCATCTCTCTTTCTCTTTCTCTCGTGCTGTCAAAAACCCTGTTCCCAAAACCTAAATTTCCATCTTTCGGGAAGAATTTATAGCCCAATTCACAAGACCCTAATAATATTGCTTTCCAATCTATACACACGCAGAGATTTTAGATGTTGTTGATTTACAGTAACTTTTGATTACAATAAATTTGATTTATTCAACTGCAGACGGCGAAGATAATCCCCTTTCAGTAGTAAAAGATGGCGCCAGCCTTGATCAATGCAAACCCTGTTGTATATGAAAAGAAGGAACGCCCAACTCGAAGTAGACCCGGTGATGGTGGTTTTGACGAATATGCAGCTGAACTGATTGACCAACTAGAAATTTTTGATATCCTTCAATTTTCATGTTTTCCTGCATAACATGTGAATTTGAAAGCGTACTTTCTCATAACTGTTATATGCATATTTTGGTAGTTTTCAATGCTGAACTTAATCAATCCTAAGGGGCTGTTTGGTTGGTTTTCCGTTAAATCCTGTATGGATAAAGCCGTTTGTGTGAATTAATTTGTCTATATAAATTGTGAAGGTTTTTGTTGAGAGGTTTTTTCATAAATGGAAGCACCCTTTTTCTGTAATGGGAAGGACAGGTTTGGATATAAAACTTGGCTATCTGCATAAGTCTTCCCTAAAAGACTACTTAATAAGCCACTTTTTATATCATGTAGCTGCTAGTCTCATTAAGCTCATTAAGATGCTACACTCATGCCAACTAAATATATAGGTGTTTTCTAAAGTAAATTACTGGAATCCGAAAGATGTTGTGTTGTAAGTTACATTATACAATACTTTATGTCCTCCTTAGCGTTCTTACACCATATTAGAGACATCAAAGATCCTGAGCATCCTTATTCTCTAGAAGAGTTGAAAGTGATTACAGAAGATGCCATTGAGGTAGATGATAAGCGTAGCTATGTTCGGTAAGTACTTCTTTTTTCTCTATTTTCATTTCGTTTCTTGCCGATTTTACTCTGTAAGTTGAAAGGAAACACAATTACTTTCGTTCAGTGTCACTTTTACTCCGACAGTTGAGCATTGCAGTATGGCGACTGTTATTGGTCTTTGTTTGCGGGTTAAACTTATGCGCAGCCTTCCTTCTCGTTTCAAGGTATTGTCACAGTTTTTCACAATATATGCTTTGTATGATTATGTGATGCCAATTCTAGTTTGAGAACTTTGCAAGTTGACAAACTTGATTCCCTCTAGCTACCATTTCTCATTTGGTACCAATTTTCTGTTTTGGAAAATTTTGGAACCGCAGTTACTTTATGTGCTATCGCATCATTATGTAGGTAGTATAGAACGTATGGCTAAAAGCTTCGGGTTTGATAATTGGATTTCATTTGTTTAAAAAGTCTCAAATTTTTAGGTTTATTTTGACTGCTTAATCTTTCAGCAATGGATTGGAAAGAAATTGGGGCCTTGGGGGTTGTGGGAGAGGGGTTTTATTATCAGATAGCTAGGACTGACAAGATTAGTTTTATTAAATACTAGTTATGTTAAAAAATAAAAGGTTAGAAGGTCTTGAGCTTTTTTAAAGTCGAGCTAGGCGTATTCACGAGGCTCTAAGGCATTGCTCCTTGGCTGAGGCGCCTTATGGGCCTAGGCGTGCCTCATAAAGAGTTACTAAATACCTAGTCAAACCCTAATATTAAATAAGTTTTCTCATCTTCTCAGTTCTAATCTCCCGGACTTCTTAAAAAAGGAGTTGTTAAATAGATGACGTAAGTCAAACCCTAATATAAAATACCCCGTCCTTAGAACTTCAAGCCTCCTCTAGAAATACCCAGACCATAAAAAACTTTTCCTTCACGGCTTATCCTCTAAACCCTTCCTCCTTCTGCCTCTGTCAAAGTATTATTGGTTGCTGCATTGGACTTATACTTGCTGCATATTTGAGTTGTATGTAACTCTGTGTGTGTGTGTGATAAGACCTTGCACCTCGCACCTAGGGCCCAGGACCCCTTTGCGCCTTGAGCCTTTAACAACTTTGCCTTCTTCACAAAGGGGTGGAAGGAACAGCCTTCTAGCTAAAAGAGGGGGGATGCAGTATATATTATGCAGTAGAATGCTGATATTAGGCAAGTCTTCCTAGGAAGTATATAGAAACAGAAACCAGAAAATGACAAATATCAGTAGTTAATAAATGAGGATGCCGCTAACCGAGGTCACGTGTTATGGGCTTGGTTTTTCTTTTAGACAGAGCTATCTTTCTGAGGATAAACTCGAGCTTTCATTTTATTCTGTACTTCCTCTCATCGAAGTAACTTTCACATTACATCTTATTGCCCCTGCATTATCTGTCTAGCCTATATGCTATTGAAAACAAAAGAACTGAGATAGCTTTTCTGTATTAGGCATAAAGATCATAAATCCACTACTACCTTCATTAGGCATGGCACCACTATGTATTACAGAGAATATATAGGAACGTGTTTTTAATTTAGATAGAGGAAAGTGATTGGAATTGATGCCTTTAAAGGTGTATTTGTTGGAAGGTGTTAATTTCATAAAGTATGATATATATATATATATATATATAGAGAGAGAGAGAGAGAGAGAGAGAGAGGCAGGTTCATATGAGAATGGTACATATTTAAGAAAATGGCCAAATTATGTACAAAATCACATGTGATAAAATGTGTAAACCATATTGAATCAGACCCTATGACGTTTGGCAACATTGTGCCCTTGGTCATTTTTATCAGTTAGTAGATAAACTGAAGTTGCAGTTAACACCATCCAGCTCATTTTCATACCATTTAGCCTGCCAATGTCATGTTTGTTGCCGTTGCCGTTAGTTCTATGTAGGTCCAGCTGGACAAGTGTTTCACTCTGCTTCTACCTGAAAAAATGGTTTTCAAATGTCCCAAAATCTGGTGGTTTTGAATCTACCTTTTTTCTTAATAAAAGTACATAGGTTGCACCTTGCCTACACCTGTCATTAGCTCCTAATTTACCCATTTCATCTATTTAAGGTGTCATTGTTGTTCATATTGCATGCAGAATTGCAGATTTCATCATATGATAACATGTTTTTGAGCTTCTCAATCTTTGTCTATTCTTATGCTGTTAATGTTTACAAACTAAAATTTTATCGGTTCTTATAGGTTGACATCAAAGTGGCTCCTGGGACTCATGCAACTGAAGATGCAGGTCTCTCTCTCTCTCTCTCTCCCTCTCTTTTCCCCATCATGGTTCTGCCTTTGAAATGTGTATAGGAAGAGGTTGTAGCATATGCTGTTATAATATATAATGGCTGATATAGAATGTGCTCACCCCAGATGGTATTTATCTTCAAACAACAATACTAATGCTATAAGGCTGTAGTTAGCAAGAATATAACAAGATTAGAGACAGACAGATTCATAAGAGTATCCAGCACTGCCACTGAATTTTTGTTCCACTCTTTTGAGATATCTACTAAATGTTGAAAGATCCCCCCTTTAAGTGGAGAAGCCTCTATAGAGGAATGTGCAAATGCAAAACCTCCAACAATGTCCTACCTTCACTAATTACAAGAGCTTGTGAACATTAACTTGTCACTCGGCTCATGGATTCAATGTGGCTTGAGGTCTCAGGTTTAAAACTCGTTTAACTGACATCCGTTACCTTGAGATCATGCCCATTGACTAAAAAAACCTAAGAAATTTCCAGTTCGCGTGGAGGGCACGTTTTTGTATGAACCCCATGACTAGTTGGGCCAGAAGTCTTGAGAAAAAGATGAGTAAAATTTTCTTTTTGCAGCAACCAAGTGCAAAGATCTCAGGATTGGTAGTCCTAAACCATCTGCTCAAATAACTTATAAAACCCAAATTTCTATTGAAGTCTTCTATAAGGATTATAATTTCTTGTTATGAGAATTCTTATAAGTTCATCTCTCTGTTGAAATCTTCTATAAAGATTATAATTCCTGTCATCTCAGATGAGCTAAAAAGGTATATGCTTAAATCCTCTTGTATTCCTTTTTTAATTTAACGCATGGATACAGGGTTTTGAATCATTCCTATCTTACTCGAAAATATGAATCGGGTTTTATAAGTTCACCCCACGCGTGTTTTTGACACAACATGCAAAAAACTGTCTTTTTAGTGTGAAAATAACCTTCAAGTGTTGCAGTTAGAAGATGGGATATTGGTTTTGATTTCACTTTCTTGTCACTCATCAGCTGTATTTCTGTTTTGTGTTCTTTTTGGTATATGCAGTGAACAAACAATTGAACGATAAGGAACGGGTTGCTGCTGCTCTCGAAAACCCTAATCTTGTTGACATGGTTGATGAATGTCTGACCCCATCTTATGAATGAATGTTGCATTAGAACGAATCACCCAAGACTTGCTTAGTTGAGTTATATTAGCAAGAGTTCTTTGTATATCTTTATTTATGTCGAGTGATGATGGTTCTTTGTAGCAGTATTTGTACACCATAAAAGCAATGTTTTCCTTTTCTTTTTATTATGCATTTTGCAACAAATTCTGTGATATATGTTTATATCATACATTCATATAGAGGTAATGCATTTGATGTACAGATCCAAATTTAAATGCTCTCATATCCGACTTATAAGTATGAAAGCCATTTTTTCTTTCATATCTAAATGACCAAACGTTGTTTGTTTGGTTCTTAATAGGCCATTTGAAGCAATCTCTTAGCGGTTGTTTACTTGGAGCTTAATTAGCTTAAAGGTTTGGATGGCTTATTAAGTTGATCATACATGAGTGTTTCGTTATGGCTTAATTCGTTAAGCCATTAAGCCAAAATGTCTATATGAAATAAGCCATAACTGATCACTCGTCTTAATTAAACCACCTCAAATAGATCAAGGGGTTGCTTAGTTAGTTTTTCATTAAGTTCTATATAGTAAAGGTATTTATATGGATTAATCTTTGTATATAGATTTAGAAAGTCTTTGTTCCAGATGGTTTTTCATACATGGAAAAGCGTGTTTAATTGGGAGGGGTAGGTGTGGAAAAAACTTGACTTTCTGTATAAAGCTTCTTGAATAAGTCACTTTCTATATCATTAAGCCACAACCAAACAGTCATGTATAACGACCAAATAAGCTGAATCCCACTAAGCTGCTAACAAACAGACCCTATTACTAGAATTGTCCAGAAACAATTTGGTTTCGTGTCAAGACAAATTTATTAGATTAAGGTAGAAGAGACCTTAATCGATATTCGATACAAAGATAAAAAAGTAAACAGCCCTTGGTCATTTGTCCATCTATCAAGCCCTTGATCAAATGAGAGATGCCATATCTAAAATCAACACAATTACAAACCCAAACAAAGCAAAATGGAAGCTAAATTTGTCATAAATGCAATCATAAAAGTAACACTAGTAATAAGTGAAAATATCATTCTCTGAAAGGACAACAGTTGTTTATATGCAACTCTCCAACCATAAATCAAAAATTCTAAAATGTAAGGTACACAAGAGCCTCCTTCCCGATGGCGGAATATCAAAGAAAAAACGCTTACACTAAGTCGGCCCAAATCAACTGCCATTAGTCTCTTAATTCCTTTTGCTGGTCTCTTATGAGCTCTTTTCTTTGGGCTTTCGAAAGTATTCTGTTACAGGGATGGAAACAAACAAAGACTTACGATGCAACTAAATCCGGCGTTTCTGCTTCCACAGATATCAACGCGGTGTGTACTTTTCCCACCCAACCATCCAACCGATCACGCAATGACTTGATTTGAGAAATTCCCAGAACTCTCGGTTGCACCCATGAAACATAAACTGTTCCATCAACTTGATCAATTATACCCTCAATAAGATGAACCTGCAATAACACCCCATTTCATCAACATTCTGGAATTGAACAAATACTAAATTGTATGCCAAAAGTGTATCACAATTGTATGAATTCGACGTGTTAAAAATGGGTACCTGAAAATAGGCAAAAAGTTCAAGAAAACCCACTCTTTTAAGTTATCAGGTCCCCAAAATTAATGAAGAAATGAAAAAAAAATGGCTTATTAACATCAAGCAACTCTGATTATGCGATTAGTTGATTACAAATATGACTTAAAGGTCAACTGATATCAAACTGCATGCAACATGAGCCCTAAAAAGATGAACCCTTTATAAGAAGCATTAATTCATTATAATGAATTATGTCACGGTTTAACACCGCTCTTCTCAACCAAATTACAACGACCAACCAAGTGATGATGAAAGTAAGGCTTGGTTTAATTGAAAACTTCAGAAAAGATTGAATTGAAAAAGAACACTGAACAATATAGCCCTACAGTTCATCTTAGAAATATTATAATCCCCTAGAACTAAGATACCTAGTCTGTTTTTGTACCAAATCTTGGTTGTTTACTTGTGACATATAAGTATCACAAACAATATGGTAACAGCCAGAGAACTTTTTCAAGGCAGCAATTCCTAGGAGACTGCAGACCAAGTTTGTTGTTGCAACTCCTCTACATGGTTTGTAAAGTTAAAATGAAATACATCGTGACCACATGTACAAACAATCCTACATAGAAAGTTGTCAGCCAAGCATTTGAGATTATTTGCTACTTTACTTGACCTTCAAGATGAGACAAAGGGAAGAGCAAGTATTAACTCACTATCACATGTGTACCAGAACAGTGCCTCTAATCAATGGGTCAGTAAGTCGGGGAAGAAGAGGTAAATAACAGTGAGAACAAGCATTACAAGAACATGTCCTGTGGGTCAGGGGAATGGTATAATTATTGCTCAAGAATTTCATCTTTGTAATGTTAAAGAAAAAGTAAATATATAGTAAGGAGATACATCACTTCTGTAAATCACCCCTGATCTGAGAAGATTGTGCGATTATATGGCTGCCATTGATGTTCAAATACAATCAATAAGTCGTCAATTAAGGGCAAATGCACTTACCGATAGACTCTTCATGAGAAGATGTTCCACATCTTCAACGGTAAGGTTTGTTCGTTCTGCGATGATGCTCAATGGAATAGTTCGTTCTTCTGATGGTCGACTGCAAGCAAATGGATAAAAATCAAATTCAATAACTCTTTGGCTTTTAAAATATTTGAAATCGGAAGGCATTAGGATTTTGCTAAAAGAACCTGAAGATAATTTCCATTAAGCAGAGAATGTTAATCTTCTCCAAAAGCTTCTTCTCGTTATCCACCAAAGCAGGCTGAGCACTAAGAGAAGCTCCATGAACACGACATAGTTCTTGATAGCGAATTAGATCTCCAGAGTTAAATGCTTCGAGAATGTAGTAGAGCCATTCAACCTTCGTCCCTAGCAGACTCTTTATCTGCAAAAGTTCAAAGATGGCACCTTACATTTCACAGACAACAAAACATTTTCAAACTATACCTGGTTGGGATAATGGATGCTGAACCGAGTAAAATTTGAGTCAAATCATATATTGGCATGCAGATCCATACAAACTTAAACCATTTATGGATAAGGGTTGGGTTCCGGTCAGGAGAGTTAAGGTGAGAAGCGTAAGAGATCTCACCCTTGAATGCACATTAGAATGAGATGCACTGAGATGAGATGCACCAGATCAATCCCCGTATCAAGCGCGATTCATGGGTGGGTTTGAGATTAAAGGTGATCAAGGGGTCCAAATCCCTTCTTACACTTCTTACCTTTACCCTCCTCACACCGATCCTTTCCCTTGTGGATAATTATAGCATGCCAAAAACTGTCCACTACATAATCTACAACTGAACTGATATTCACCACAGCCAGTATCATGTCTTTGATGTGAATTTCCTACGTCACTCGACAAAGCCCGATAACAATCTCCTTTCTCTCTGCCAACTTGGCTGCTCTTTATGTAACCATTTATATCCAATTGTGTTGAGCAATCATTATACAGTAAATGTCTCTTATTATCCTATTCAGGTCAATTAGGATGAAATACATTGTTTTGCCCAAAAGGATTTGACTATCATAAAGGTCAAGAAACTGCAATGGGAGTGCACATCTTAATCACAACAGGAAGATACCAGTTGTCTTTCAGAGCATCATTAACCACAACAAAACCTGATTTTAACTTTTCTGCAATGCATACACTTTAACATATAAGTCAAATAAAGATCATGCAAACTTGCAAGTAAATATTGTCCCCATTTGAGTACAGAACAAGGAAACATCGTCATGTCAGAAAATTAAAATATACTCACAATTGGATGGGCAAGTAGCTCCCCGAAGTTGTAGACATTCTCTCCCAATAATGCAGACAGGGATAGATCAAATGCAAGATCCTAAAATGCAAAACATAAAATAGTGAACTACCAAACGAAGAACAAGACTTCACAAAGCATGGACAGATAAAAAGTGAACCTTAACATTACTGAAAAGATACTACCACCATCTAAATATCCCTTCATTCTCTTAACACTTACATATATGTATGCATGATTGTCTCTATATATAAAAAGGATGCATGCATCCATCACTAATGCAGTTTCATCCTTTTATACCTGATTCCGTAACCAAAATCTCCGAAGAAAAATAAAACTAGCTGAATTTCCTCTTACAGTATACTAACCACCAACCTTGCTATTCCCAAAACCACTCCGTCCTGATTCCTATCCTTTCTTTCTTGTTGTCTTGGATATGATATTAAAAAAAATTACATCAGACCTTCCCCGTCTATTGCAAGTCTATTGGAAAGTCATCTCATCTTTCGAGCAAATGTTTTGGACCATCTTTAACACCAAATGTTTTGGACCATCTTTAACAAGACCATGTCAGGCAATAACTTATGTTCAAAATACTTGATTCCAATCACCTATTTAAGTCCAGATTTTCTTGTAGAAAGATATACATAAAATCCTAACAGAAAAAATCATAAGGAACTTAGAAGTAAAAAGTTGTAACAGGAGTCCAGGTAACTGCATACCAGCTTGAATGAATCTGATAGAGACTCCACTGAGGTGTATGCCAAATAAAGAAGAGCACTCTTGTAGAACTCAGCAAACTCTTGGCGGGATTTGTGGTACTGAGATGATACCCAATAATAGTTGGAATATACCGACGGATCAATGTCAGTCATGCTATCAAGTGTACTCTTCCCATCTTCTAGAAGATTCTTGCACTCCTTTTGATCTCCTTTCTCAAGATTAAAGATGGCTATCTGCATCTTAATATAAAGAACTGGCTCCTCTATACGTGTTTCTTTCGTAGCCTGGAGCTTCTCAATCACCCCATCAAGATAACTGATGGCAGCTTCTTTCTCTGAATATTGCCGAGAGACTATCACAGCAAAGTGTGCCAGCTTGAGAAGGTTGATCTTAGTCTCAAAGTCGGTTATGAAATTATGATATAGTTGTATGAGAGCATCACCAGCCTGAAATGAAGATTATGGAAGGAATTAAATATGCAGATATAGAGAAAAAATATATTTAATTATTTACTGTTAAATATCATAACAGCTGCCCAATCAAGAACAAAAAGAATTCATTCTCTCCTAACTGGAAAAACTGCAATCATTGGCCATGGATGCCAAGCTCTAGCTTATGAGAGAAATCACTATGAAAAACACATGTAAGCATTTGTTTGTTCGTATTTGTCTTAGAGGATGGCGTTCCAGTAATTGACTTCTATATCTTATGGAACGTAAAGTTGTGTCTCAGTTCAAGTTAACTCCCTCTAAACTGCAATCGAGATTAAGCAAGCACTACCCAGCTCAAGTCATTGACCATGAATAGCCAAAGTCTCTGACTATTCCACAGGAGCTCGTTGAAGGGTTAAACGTAATATACAATGAATAGAACTACAACTGAGACCATAATTAATAAATTAACATAACTCTCTGCAGTATCTAAAACAGTAAAAATATTGAACTCCTCGAAAGCAATACTACTACTTGTGTTCAATTTCTTCAGCATTTTCATAAATAGATGGTTTCTTTTATGTCAAATCGTCCATGCATCAACTGGTTCCTGATGGGTCATTTTTACTTAGCTATTCTCAATCAAATAAATTATAAACAGGCAAGGTTAGCCTTTTTTTAGGTAGATTACGCCACAAGGCATCCAATCACTTCTTTTCCTTAGTTATCGCATGGGAAAAAGATATTGTTCCTTCAACTCTAAAAAAATACTTCCATTTTTGCCATAAGACTTCATTATCTTAAATTTTTATTATGCCCTTGATACCGAATAGAAAAGATACTTTGATTTCTTTTCAGTCAAACTTGTACTCTTCAGATTAAAAACATGGACTTCTCAAAATGACACGAAGGCTCTTCTATTAGTATATATTTTTGAAGGCATTGATGTAGTTATCAGCTTATTTCTCTAAACTTACAGAATTCATAATAATTTCAACGTGAAAATCCTACTTCATCGTTACCAACCAAACGCATAACTTCCGTCTCCAGCCCCTTTATTTCAGTAAAAAAGCGACAAGATTTTCAAACATCCATAACAACCAAATCAAAGCGAAACCCTAGACTTCTAAATACAAGAAACAACAAGTGCCATTCCACAATTAAACCAAATTGCATGAATAAAGATATGATCACAAAGAGAAATAGACCTGGAAAACGGTAAGAGCAACGAACTGTTCGAGCTTCAGAGTGAGTTGATGCCATAGCTTCCTTTGGTACAGATCGGCAAGAGTATTGTACCAATCGGACAGCTCCGGATGAGTACTGCGAAGAGAATCTAGGTACTGTAAAGCCGCCATCTCCTACTGACTCCGACGTCAATTAGCAAAACAGACCACCGGCAGGAGATTTAAATATAAACCCTTTCTGCTGTATCGTCGGTGTTTTCTTTTGCCCAAAGAAACGAACATATGGAATTGGAGATAAAGCTGATAATTTGGGGATTTTTCCAATCTGGGTTTTTGACCCGACCCGAATATGATATGGGTTGTCATTTCCTTCTTTTCAACATCTTTATATAATTATTTCCTTATTCAATGTGGTTTCATTTATTGTCATGATTCAAATACTTATCATTACGTCAAAAGCAATTGATAACGGATAATACGTAACTTATTTTCTTATGGCATGGTAGTCAGCGTCATGTTTCGATTTAGGCGAAGACCCAACAATTCCTCCAACATCTGTCAGCACTAACAAGATCTTTGTTAGAAGACAATGGCTACACAACATGCATTTGGCATTATTATGCAGCTCATGGGATTCAAACTCGTGACCTGCTCTGATACCAATTGTTAATTCCAGTTTTGAACGAATAGAACAATGAATTAAGATAGCAATTCAAGATTCAAGGAAATCGGCTTGTATCTTGAGGAGAGGAATTTTACAGTATTGTTCTTGAAAAAATGTAAGTACTATCTATTAAAATTGAATAAATCTATTTATACCCTTAAGTATTTACAATTTCAGTCTGTCTACTTTAATATAACAAAATATTAACCCAACAGTTATGTTATTTGTTTTGGTCACGTTTATCTTATTATGAATTGGAGAAAATATGATATTTAATAAGTGCTTTTATAACATCTCGTATCAGTTGTATCATATATTGTCCGTTTTATTTACAATTATATTCACGTTTGACTATTTTATGTTTGACTATTTTAGATAACGTGTAGACAAATTTTTTTATTAATGTAATATTTTAGATATTTATCTATTAATCGTTTCTTTTACATTCCTATAGACACAAATTTTATTAAAATAGTTGTATTATCTGTTGTGGAAAATACTGGTATAGAAATCATGAGACGATAACCATGTAAATAATTTTATTAAAATAGTTGTATTACATAAAAATTTTATTAACTATTTTAGATAACGTCCAGTCGTCCCTCACCGCCGGCTGCCGAATCCGGCCAGTTTTCTTAGGATCTCAGACACACTTTCTCAATCTCTCATTTAGGTTTTTTCTCAAAACCTAACTCAAATTTATATTTTTGACCTAAATTTAATGCTAGTAATTTACCCCAAGTTGATTAGGTTCTAATGCTATATACAAAGATAAACCGTTGTTAGAGTGTTGCCCATTGCTAGAAAGCTAGAAGCTTTTCTTTGTTTGATTCGTTACTTTTTTGCAAATTTATATATATTTTCATCAGTTGGTAACAAACTCAAAACCCGTGTTTTTACTGCTTTCAATGACTAGCATACACATTTAATTCGAGCCTCTGTAGGTTCGACAAGGATTATTATCATATCAGTGCCGGCCTTGGTCATAAGCTCAGGGGGCGACGGCCGGCCATGGTCATAGACCCGGGGGGCGACGGCCCAGAGGCCCTAGAATAACATAAAGCCCAATAGCATCAATTTTCTAAAGCCCATTATAACATGTAAAGGTTCAATTTTGATTTGGGGCCTAAAAATAACGTGTCCACTACGATCTCAATCTGGCCTTCACTCAATTCGTCCTCCCTCGGCCTCGACTCTCGCCTCGCTCACGGACGAACTCACGAACAGAAACCGATTCATGATTCACGAATCGAAATCGCAATAGGACTTTGACTCAATCGGCCCTCGGTCTCGATCTCTGCCTCTCTCGAGTCTCGACTATCGACCGGCTCTCGGCCTCTCGCTCTCGCATCTCGTGACTTGTGAGGTTAGGGTTATTTACTTTACTTATTTCATTTTTTATGTTTCCAATTCTTGTTTGATTGCAAAACCTAAGTATAAAGCTGTGAAATTGGTCCTTTGTGGTTTGTCATTTGTGTTTCTAGTACTGTTACTGTATCACTGATTCGCTGTATGTCTGTATGTATAATGTATGCCTAAATCCTAATTGAAATCCATGCCTTTTGCTGCCAATCTACCATTTGTTAATTGTTGGGTGCAGGCCGTCCCTTAGCATGTTAAATGTGATATTTTGAACAGGCCCCCGAATTTACATGTGTTTAGGATCTTTTTATCAATTTGTATAAAACTATAGCCAAAATTATTTAGGTTCAAACCATTACTTATTTGGTTTTAGGTTTAAATCATTGGTTTATGTTTAGTTTCAAATTGTTAAACGTTTTAGGTTTAGCCCATTTTTATTCTTTAACATATATTCTCTATCATCTTATTTATGCAATGTAATCAAAAGTTTTGGATGTAGCAGGGCCTCCAAAAAGATTGGAACGTCCCTACTTGGGTGGTTGACTGGTTGACCTAAAGATGTCTATATGACTATAAACCTCTTGTTCCTCGGCAGTCGACTCTCTCGCCTCTCGCCTCTCGCTCTCGCTATCTCGACTCTCGACCGCTCAAAATCTGATGATTTAGATTGTTATTTGAAGATTTGATCTTTTGTTTAGATTAGGGTTATTTTGTTTAATTGTTTAGTTTAGGTTATGGTCATTTAACTTATCTTGTTTAGTTTAGGTTTATCCAAATGTTAAAACTTTAATCATTACGTAGCAAGAGCCAAAACCATAAAAACTTGTTTCTTGTCGACAATAGGTTCATTATGCATTTCATGGTAAGTTGTTGTGTATGTCATCAAACTTATTTGTACCCTGGTAGTAAGATTGATATTCCTTATTTCTTTAATCCCAACCTAGGTATGGGAAAAGAGGTAGAGGAAAGTAATTTGCTGTAGAAATTATCAGAAGCTTGCATTTTTTTTATTAACCTGGATATGCGAGCCGACTAATCCCAGGGAGACCACCTGCTTTGCAGATAGCCCGGAGTCACCGCATTTGAACCTGGGATTTTTATTCCTCCTTGGATTTGAACCTGGGACCTCCTGGTACTTTTGACCTTTGGAGCCAAGCTCAAACCAATCAGGCACCACCCTTGTGGTTAGAAGCTTGCATTGTTGATTTCTCTTAGATTGACTCTTCAACTGCACAAGTAAGTTTTTATGTTCATGGGTTTCAACTGAAGTTTTGTTGTTCATGGCATAAGTTCTATACTTTTTATGTTTGTTTAAAGTTAAATGAATACTATTGTTATTAATTGATCTAGTTGTTCATCGAATCAATCAAGCCTATTTCTGGAGTTTTAGTTCTTCATTCTATGATTAATATTCAAGTTATCATCCACCGCTTTTTGTTCTAATCCCATTAGATTTTGATGTATATTTACACAATTTCAGCAGCCATAATATAGTTGAACAAACCTATAAATGTGCAGTAGTTAAGTGATGATTTGCCTTCACTTGAATGTGCAATAGCTAATTCACTTGACTGTTCTCTCTTAACTTTGCAATTTTACATATGAAACTCATGATTGTCATTAGTCAAGACCCTAAATATGATTATATGAAACACATGATGGACTAACGGAGTCATGCAATAGCTAATTTCATAGGCAAATACCTTAAGTGACTAAAATTAGGAGGACAAAATTAGTGAAGTAGGAATGAGCCATTGATGTTGTAGAGTGTAAATAATTGAAGAAGAACCAACCAATTAAGTGTTTGGAGTTGGATTGAGAAGGTACGAGTGTTGTATTTGCTTTATATAGAAGACGTGGGATGTAGTAAATGGGACAAGTAGATGAGTTAGTGTTATGATGCTCCTTATTTTGGTTTTGGACAAGTAGATGAGTTGGTGTTCAAACGCAAAGGCTATAACAACTTGATTAAATAAACCTTTAACATATTATTTTAAAGCAAACACTCAACTATAAGATCACACTTATGAACAAAAAACACTAATGTGTCTCTCGGTCTATGAAGGAAAAAGCTAGACATCTGTAAATTACCGCACTTGGATGTTTTTAATTGGCCATCATTTGGACTTTCCTCCGTGGGCACCAAAAATCTCAGGACCGGCCCTGATAATTGATCAACTATTTTGCTGTTAGAGTGAAGCATTAGTTGGACCACAGCGTCTCAGTTCCACCACGACACCATCGAAAAGGCTCCCTCGATCCTAAATCTTCTTGTATCTCCTGTAAGAATCCTGCTTGTCGTTGCTTAGGTTCCATGGTCTCTATGAACAAGTACATCTTTGCCTTTGATGTGAATTGCTTTTTAAGTTTCTCTCGCACCGCTTATTATTTCTTTGGTTTTGAGTTCTTGAACAATCGTCTGCTAGGGTTCTTGAACAGGTAGTGTGAGAAGATGAATGTTAATTGAAACCCCAACCCCCTGCCTTTAAGAAAAGATTGATACTTTTCATCATAAAGAAGCATACGAAAGTTGCAATCCAATAATCTTTGTTAGAATCAATTGTGGCCATGATTTAGCAAGTTTTATAAGAATCCCAGGACGCAAATCCGGAACCATTTAGGATTTCTGGAGTTTATTCTTAAAAGCGCTTCACTTGATTTTAAATGGAAATGGTGCATTTGCAGCAACTCTTAACTCGAATGGATGTTCGATTAAACAGGTTTGAGCTTTCTTGATGGAAACCTAGCTTATCTTGGATGTGATTCCAAATTCTGGGACTTGGTAGCTTTCTGTTGCTGATCAAAGTCTTCTTCAGTTGCTTAGCTTGTTCTTCTATCCTCAATTGTAAGTTCCTTTGAATTTCTCTGGTATTTACATTTAACGCAACTCTGGGACCAAAATTCTCTCCCATAGACTAGCAATCCAGTTCATAAAATTTATGATATGCTAAAGTTATAGGCTTTCCATATGACCCAAAAGTTTTTTTAAAGTATATAATATTTATGCATCGCAATACATGTTTGGTGAGTTTTGAACTCTTGCGCTCCTTGGAGACCGGGCTCTACCTGTAACTCGGGCATCTCTGGACCAATGACCTTTTGGTAAAAGATGAATTGAAGTCGTGTTTGAATGAAACTTCTTTTGTGAATGAGTGGGTGGGTAAGAAATGAATTACGTGTTTAATTGAATAACTTTGTGCTCGAACTGAGCCAAGCTGAGCGGACCATGATAGAGATAGTCTATATGAGCCACAGTCAAATTTGCATTAATGAGTGGAGCTCAATAAGCCTATACGAGCCACAGTCAAATTTGCATTTTTCAGCCCATCAGTCTTAGCCTCTTGGGGAATGGGGATTCTAATTGTAATTTTGTAGAGAGAGTCGATATGTAATGTTATTTGAAGAGCTTACTTTTAATTTCGCGAACTAAACCAAGGCTGCTTATAATTATCTGATGCATTAAACTCAGGTTACTGATTTTCATCGATGAAGATACTTAAAGAGAATGGCGGCCTACTTACAAATTTTGAAGTGCTCGATTTTCTACGTTCTAGAGGGGCTGCAAAAGACCCGACACGGGTGCTTGCTCCTTTAGCTCCTTCAGAATTCAAAGTTTACGATTTCTTGGAGCAGAGTGCTGCATGCAGTCAAACAAGAGAGAGCATTGCGGAGTTTGTGACGAAATGTAAACCATACAAGCTTACGAAATCTGAGATTGTCAGTATCGTCAACGTTAGACCGTCTTCCGCGGTGGAAATTGACCCGTTGATAGAGGATCTTGATTCGAGATTAGGAGAAAGTGCAGAAGAATTGGTAGAGTTAGTTTTACAAGTGTTTCCTCCTCCTCCAGATCAAAGTAAATCTGATGAATGAAAGCAAGGAGATAAAAGGCATCTATTTAAGAGATCTTGTTATGTGATTTTTTTGTTGTTTTGAATATGGGAAATAGCCTGATCAAGTTTGTGGTTTAGTTGTGCACTTTGTGAAGTTGCTTTTTGCAGGATATGTTATGTATGGCATTATTTTAATAAAACTAAGGGTTTGTTTATCAAATGATGTGCGTTAAGAGTCACCATCCTCACTTGTCTGGCCATCAATTTTTATTAGTAAGTGTCTTCTATCCGGTAAGTGTTAACCGGTAAGAGTTTTCTCTCTCACTTATTGGATAAGATAGATTCTTGGTCCTATGCCTTTTACTGGGTAAGATTTTCGATTCTTATCATGCTCATTCGGCAAGGTCAAAGCAATTACTGACAAGTGTTTGGTATATTGGTCCTAATTCGTTAGCATGATGTATTTGTTAACATTTAAGGTAAGTGACAAGCGTTAAGCATTTCCAGGTAAATTGGTCCTAATTCATTAGAGCGATGTATTTTTTTTTTTTTTTGTAAGGGTGTTCGGGCCAAAGCCCGACTAATCCCCGGCAAATTTGGAGGCTAAACATAGCTCAACTTAAATGTCGCCAATACTCCCCTCCCAGGGTTCGAACTCGGGTTCATGACTATGTCATGCCCAAGCCTTTACCACTAGGCTGGAAGGTCTTTAACTAGAGCGATGTATTTGTTAACATTCAACTTACAACTTTCAATATATGGCGTCAAGGGTGCACTTGGTATGCAGACATGACTGGATAAGATCGAACGAAAGAAAGTGAGGTAGGTGGATGAAAGAATTACATAATATTTTCGAGTTTTAATTGTGATGCAATTAGTTTAGTAATTTATCAATCTTGTTTCATCTTCCTTGTTTATGTTCCACTTATTTTGTTTAGAGCTTGTTTGTTAACAGTTTAACGAACTCACAACTTATTCAATCAACTATAACTATTTAGTAGTAACTTAACACTAAGCTTCTAGAGGAAAGCTTTGTGTAATGTCCTTAATTAAAAAGCATGCTCATTTCATCTTTGAAAAACTCTTTTAAACAAAAAACATTAAAGAATTTATACAGAAAGATTAATCTACACATCTTTATAATATAGAGCTTAATAATCGATTTCAAACAATTTTTCTTGATCACAAACATTTATGTGCACATTTTATAAATAAAGATACAAAAAAATTGCATAAAAAGATGATATAAATAGGAAGCCAATTGCCATAGTAATTGATGTGTAGTTTCTTATAAATCATCCAAGCATTACATCGACTAAAATGGGAAAAATGTAATCTTGATTTAATCTTCATCATCAGAATCGAATTTAATCTTGGTGGCTTTAGGTGCATCTGCAGATATCTCTTTGAAATGGGCTCCATACAGCTTCGATTCCTGCATCCACCCACAACGAAGAACACATTCGACTTGACTTTATCGATAAAGATGATTCTAGGTAACGAAAGAAGGAAAGAACGAAAGACAAACCTTTTTCTTAACGTGAGTACCGAAGTTCAAAAGGTTAGCAGGTACATTCTGTCCTGCTTCTCTAAGTACATTTATCAGCTCTCCAGCAAGTCCCTGCAAGTGCATTTTCTTAAATCATGCCATACAGAATCTTCAAATGCACCACCATAGACCTCCACCGTCCATTGGTGGTGGCATGGTGGTGGTGGTGGTTCAAGAATGTTTTTAAGTCATATACGTTCAGAAATTACCTTGTTCTCCTTCATGAAGAAGGTATGTGCGACACCCTTCTTACCAGCACGTCCCGTTCTTCCAATTCTGTGAACATAATCCTCAGTCGTCAATGGGAAGCTGTAATTTATTACAACTTCAACATCTGGTATATCCAGCCCTCGAGCAGCCACATCGGTTGCTATCTGCAGGAAAAGAAAAAGGCACCAACCAGGTACTAAAATCAGCCAACAAACCGACTCATAAGTCTCCACCGGGAGGTGGGGTTTCAGGGGTCGGGAGTGGAATGCATGCAAACTTGACCTCTACCTCAAAATAGTAGAGCGCCTGTTTCCATGAAGACCCAAAGGCTAGTGCAAAGTGTTCAACAAGAAAAGGCAAAACTTGCTCAAAAAGAAAAAATGCAGAGAAAGAACATAAGAACTAGAAAAAAAGAAATATGGTGCTTAAAAAATGGAAAAGAGTTGGAAGTAAGCAACAACACTCAAAACAGACAGACAAACATACAAACAGAAGCAGGTACAAAGAAAAGAAGTACCAAAAAATAATTCACTTACCAACAGCGGAGAGCTACCATCCTTAAATAATGCAAGTGCCTCAGTACGGGCCTTTTGTTGTTTGTCACCGCTTATGGAAACAACCTTCCAACCCCTATCAAACAAAAAACATGCAAGATCGGTATTAAGACCCAAGATATCCACGTTCATAAGTGGGTGTGTTTGGTACATGGACAATACGGACAGACAAGGATGAGGTAGGCAGGTGAAACAATTGTTGAAGGTTTTAGGTTTTAGGGTCTTAATTTTACATGGGTAGTTTAATAATTTAATGATCTTGTCAAATCTCCTGGTATTTTTTCCACCCATTTTGGAGGGACAGAAAAAAAGGCATTTTTGTCCCACTAAAATCCTATTTTGTCCCAGTCCAATGTCCTGCCAAACGTGGAACAAGTTTTTGTCGTCCTGTCCCGATAGCGTATTAAACACACAAAAGAACAAAATAATGCATGTATCTCATTCACTCTTAATTCCATTCCATTACAATGAGTAAAATGTTAAAGAATATATATATACACACACACACACACATATATATATATATATATGCAGGGGGTGTTAAGAAAGGCACCTTCTTTGCAACATACTCTCAACTCGAGATGCTTCCTTCTTGTACAAAACAAAGACCAAGACTCTGTTCCTGAAAGATTCAAGACACAGACCCCTTACCGTTATAGAAAGATAAAAATCCAGATAAAGTTCGAATTTTTCATGTAAAAGCAAAATGAAAACACACAAAAAGAGGAAAAAAGGACAGAAATAAAGGCCAAAGTAAGAAAAAGAAACCTTCTTGACTTGTGGTATTTCTCTAGCAACGTAACTAAACGTTCATCACGTGCTCGATCCTCCAAGACCTACATTCAAAAGCAACATAAATCAGGTATATATATACATAAGCATATATTTATATTTGTCTTGTTCATATTCTCTCATACTAGAATCCATTTTTTGATTTAATTAATCTCATGGATTGATTTTCAGTCTCAAGAACGATGAAAATGTTACGATAATGGAGAAAGAAACAGCTTTTTGAGCTAAAAGAAAAATTAAAAACATCTTGCATTTAAAAAATATTAGGTTTGAATTTCTAAAACTTGGAAGCAGAATCTAATCAAGATCCAGAAAAAAGTACGTAAAATGGAAACTGTAAAAAATAGCAGATCACTATACCTCCACGATCTGCATGACATCATGATTGGCAGCTAAATCCTCTGATCCTACAACAACCTGGCAAAAGAAAAAGAAATAAATTAATGCAACCAGAAAATGCAGCCTACGGAAGCACAAGTAGCTGCAAAGGCTTTCTTTTTATTGCCAAACTAATAAAATTTAGTGAACCAGGAGATCTAAACCTTAACGGGATTTGGATCCATAAATTCCTGAGCGAGTTGATGCACGGGTAAAGGCCATGTTGCACTAAACATTACAACTTGACGAACTGCAGATATTAACAAGTTAGCATGAACAAGAAGCAACAAGAGCTACACTTTGACTTCTAAGTCAAACCAAGTACTCAGACGCAAAATTGATATTGATATAGTAACTTCCGTAAAGCTACAGGAATTTGTCAAAAGAGGAAGTTCGCAAAGATTCTAATTTCAGCATAAAAATGCTTGAACATTACCAGTACTTGTTTGGCTAAGAATAGAACGCACTTCTGGTTCAAATCCCATATCAAGCATTCGATCTGCTTCATCGAGAACCTGTTAGAAGAATATGTATTCAGAAATTGTTTTTGCCCAAGAAATTTATACCCTTACTATTATTTTCTTCTAAAATGAAAAATATGTCCCAAGCACATGATATATATAGGGTCAAGTTCAGGGGAAAACCACAAAAAAAATGAAAAACTAAGGCACACCCAATAATTAGCGTGTTCCTCAGGTTTTCATTTTTTGGGGGCTTTTCCCCGAACTCACTCCATATATATAGGGTTGGGTTCCGGTGAGAAGAGAAGTTGTGGTGAGAAGCGTAAGAAGAGATTTCCACCCTTGGATCAATCCTAATTGTATGTCAACACTAACGATGTGCACTGAGATGCACCGGATCAATTCCATTCTAAAAGGCAATTCATGGGTGGGCATGAGATTAAAAGTGATCAATGGTTCAAATATCTTCTTATTATACACACACACACACACACACATATATACATATATGTATATGGGCAGGTTCATTTGACTAAGATGTGCTTACCACAAAAGAGACCTCCTGTAGCTGGCATACACCCATTTCTATTAAATCCTTCAAACGGCCGGGAGTTCCAACAACAATATCCTGAGAGATGGAAACGTAAAATAACAGTGACTTACAACCAAGTGTTTGTCCATTATAACCATTACAAGAAACGATGTTTAAACATGCTCACAAAATTTGCATATTTTATCATTACTGAAGTATATTTTAGACATATGGCAAATAGTCAAATGTTGCAATTTTTCATGGGATAAAGGGGCAATAAAAGATGAGCAAGAGATTTTACCCAATGGAGCATTTAAAGAATTAGAAGGTGGGTATGGGATCTTACCACACCAGATTTTAGAGCAGATATTTGGGGTCCTTTAGAAGTTCCTCCATATACACAAACTGATCTGACACCACTTGGTTTCCCAGCTTCAGCAAGCACGTCAAAAATCTGCCAAATCCAACCCAAGTTAACCAAAGCCGGTCATGAGAAAAAAAAAACTGGGACGAGAATGCCATTCTTTTTCAAGTTCAAATCATGCGAACAATCTTGCACTAATTGGAACCTATAAATCTCATAAACAAATAAAACCCTTTACAGATCAAGACTCCTGATAGTCAATGGCACATGGGTTTAGAAAGGCATGTGTTCTCATGATTGGGACCTTACAAACAAAACAAAAGACCATTGGGGAAACAGAACAATAATTCAGGGGAATATAATGCAGTAAGAAGGAAATGTACTCTTATCCTAGAGCCCGTGCATATAATGCAAGTTTGAACAGAAGTTTCAGTCGATAAACTTCTGGAACTCGAACAATGGTGATAGTCTCGTAATAAAGATAAGGATAAAAGCAAACTAAACCAAACCAAACTAGCCCAGTGTATCCCACATGGAGGTGGGGTCAGGGGGTGGGATGTATGCAGTCATGACCTCTACTACAAGGAGTAGCGTGGATGTTTCCGTGAAGAAACAGTGGCTTGTGTTGTGGGAGACAAAGAAAACTTTCCCCAAAAGTTGTGAACAGAGTTTGAAAAAAGACCAAGAAATGGAAAGTGTTGAACTCGATACAAGAAAGGAAGAAAAGCTGAAATTTTAAAAGAACTATGAGTATTTGAAAGCAAGTAACACCATCAAGACAAAAGCAGATACAAAAGAAACATAGCAAAGGTAAGAAAAAACAATCCAACCCCCATTCGATCTTACAGCTCTAGTGACCTATTTGTCGGCTCCCTAAAAAATCCCCTCTCCCTTTACCTCTCCAGTTCCCTTCCTCTCGTCTATGCTATCTATAGGCCCCCTAGTCTGCTCTACCCTGGTCTTGCGCCTCCAAGAATTCCTATCAGATATAAAGCCAGATATCCCTTGACTTGGAATAGTTTTTGAACTTCAACAACTATTGTAGAAAGGGAAATTAAACCTGCCTGAATTCAATTGTCTGGTTTTGCTCATAGGAAGCTTAAATATCTAAATGTCCCATAATCTATTGGTTTTCAAGATTGTACTTTTACACATGATTCAGGTCCAATGTAAATTTAAGAAAGAGAATGTGAACAAAAACGAGACCAACTCAGCAAAAGCATCCTCGTGTACTTCCCCGCCAATTCAAGAACAACTTACAGAAAAGTAAGTAGCAAAATATGTATCATTCAAGCTAAGACTGATGACGCAGCAGCCATGAGGGTTACAATTCATATGAAAAACAAAGATCAAGAGCATAACTGCATAACCATCAAGCATTCTAAAAACAAGAGTGCATATGTAATTGAAATGGAATACACACTTGTTGAGCAAGTTCCCTTGTTGGTGAAAGTACAAGGCAAAGTGGGGTCACTTTCTTGGTTGTTTTGTTCTTCCTCTTGTTCAAAATGTGCATCATGGCAGGTAAACCAAACGCCAGTGTTTTCCCTGATCAAATCAAAATGAAAACCCCCAAAATCACAACCCTCTAATTTACGATCCAAACACGCAGTAATTTAGAACATGAGACCAAATTTACCTGATCCAGTTTTAGCAATCCCAATGAAATCACGACCATGTAGAAGAAAAGGCCAAGAATTAGATTGGATTGGCGAAGGTTTACTGAAATTCTTACAACACTCTAGCAATTCTTCAGGAAGCTTTGATTCTGAAAAGGAATTCAACGCTTTGTATTTTGAATCACTAATATCTTTCCCAGAAACCACAACATTATCTTCAGTTTTCCTAACCTCATCCACTTCAACCCCATTATTCTTAACTTCTTCTTCCTCTGTCTTCTGTTTCTTTTTCTTTTTCTTCTTCTCACTTAACTCTTCTGACCCATTTATGGCTTCGCTTCCATTTACAGAACCATTGGCGTTTTCGACCTTTTCACCCTTTTCTTTCTTCTTCTTTTTCTTGTCTTTTTTAGATTCCACAACGACTTCAGCCTCAGGCTCTGGTTCTTCCATCTTTCTCTTGTGCTCTCTGTTCTTGCTCTTCTTTTCAGCTTTGGTGATACTATCGCTGATAGTCGGCATCTTGAGGGAAGAAGAAAATCAGTTTCTTTCTGTATAGAAAAAGAAACTGAAAAGGGCCGCAGAGGCTCGAGATGAAAGGAATGGAGGTGCGGAGGGAGACGAGTTTTTAGGGTTTTAGAGGTAGTGGAGTCTGTTGTAGTCAAAGTTACGTATTCCTCCCTCGTTATTTGTTTTTCTTTTCCTTTTTACAAAATAAATATAAATATAAATATAAATACAAAAATAAAAGATTAAAAGTTAAGGTAAGAAGAGTAATAAATGATTTTTGCTCTTAGATGCACGTTAGGATGGGATACATCGAGATGAGATGCATTGGATCAAACGCGCTTAATGCATTAGTTTAAGATTAAAGGTGATCAAAATTTCATATATTTTCTTGCACTTTTCAGTTCTCACCTTAATTCTCCTTCTCACAGGTTCCTTCACATTATAATAGAACTTGTACATAGAGTTCAAACAATATACTATTTTCCTATAGTCAATCACATTGATATGTGATATTAGATTGGAGACGCATGCCAACTCGCTCGCACGCCACCATATTCCTTTATGTGTATTATCACATATGATAAGAACATTATCATAGTTTGAACCTACACACACACACACATATATATATATATATATATACATATATATATATATACATATATATATATATACATATATATATATATATATAGGGTTTGGTTCGGTGAGAAACGTAATAAAAATATATCTACCCCTAGATCAATCTTAATTGAATATTAATACTAATGAGATACATTGAGATGCATCAGGTCAATTCCATTCTTAAATGCAATTCATGGTTAAACATATGATTAAAAGTAATCAATAGTTCAAATCTCTTATTACACTTATCACTATAACTTTCCTTTTCATACAATCATTTGCACATATATATGTGTGTATGTATATACACACATAAATATAAGCGAAAGATCTTGAGAAAACAAGTTATGATGAGAAATGTAAGAAAATATCTGGACCATTTATCACTTTTAATCTCACGCTCACCCATAAGTTGCACTTTAGAAGAAATCAAACTGATGCATCTTGATGCACCTTATTAATGTTGACATTCAATTAATACTGATACATGTGTGAAGATCTTTTTTACGTTTCACACTACAACTTTTTTTCTCACTGAAATCGAACCCCATACATATATACATATATTTAATAGAAAAAATTAATCAGAGTCAGACTAGGCATATAGTGCCATCCCCAACCCCGACCCCTTCGAGTATGAAAATAAATTCCCATCTTTTTCCACTAGAGTTGGGTACCTGTCAAATGAACTTGAAAGTCACGATGAATCAGATGAACCATACTGTATTTAGTGTTAACCGATAACTCGATAAGATTATTTACAATGAAATGGTTCAGATGAAAATTGCTTAAAATCATAAGAAAAATGTCTAATAAATGAAGAAACTAATATTTTGTTCGACATGTTTTTTCATCCACTTGCATTACATTTTATTTGTTTTTTATTTCATCCCATAATTCATTTACTAAGAAATTGTTTGTTTAGCTCTTAATAGTTTTATTAAGAGACAATATCTGAATTCTTAAGAGCTGAATCTTGTTTGACAATTTTTTGTGCCTCTTAATGGTTCTAAAACCATTTGAATGATTTTCTATTATCGATCTCCCTTAACCATTCAACATCCTAATTTAATTGTAAACAATTATCAAAACAATCATATTTCATTTTACACTATATCATGAAAGTCTTTTGATCATTCTGACAACTAAATCATTATACATCAAATCATTCAGCAATTATCAAACAATCTTAAATTTTTTTAATAAAAACAACCGACAGAATAGAGACATCTTACCGGCAATTCGTGGTGACGTGTCACGTGAGCACCTCCAAGGCTCCAACACATCCCACCATTATTTACATGGAAATATTCTATTTTAGTCCCTGGAAGATTCACATGTTTTCGTAACAATCATGAAAAAAAAAAAAACTGTCAAGACCAGAGGCTCTTTGCCAAGAGTATACCAAAAAAAATGGGTCGTTTATTAAACGATTATTCGGGTAAGCACTTACCAAGCCATATTATATTACCAGATTAATATAATATGGACCAAAAATCTTACCCGATAGGAGCGAAATAAGAATCAAGAACCTTACTCAGTAAGTGAGCACGACGACTCTTACCACGATAAAAGTTTGCAGGGTAAATTGTTGCATGTGATCCCGTTTTGTTGGACTAAAATATTACCCGGTAAATAAATAATAATCTTTACTAAATGATTAAAAGAACGATGATTTTGTCCAAGCTATATGGTTAAGAAAGGCATGATCAGTATTTGTAATTTTATAATGCATAATATGACCACATTCGAAACTTGGAGGACCGAAACTGAAACATTCATATACTTGCTAAGTATCCCGCGTTAGGCAGGCAGGTGTTCTTTGGTAGGGAGGGAGAGACGTAAATCTAACAAGTCCCTTGATACGGTGCAAGATTTTTGGTCTCAATTCCAAAAGGAGGTAAAAGAACCAGTCATGAATCGTCGTGACGATCCGAATCCTTTTGATGAAGAAGTCAATCCATTCTCGGTAACTGCTAATTTCACGCACTCTCTTTTGTTAGATCTGCCATTTTTTAGCTTACTGTTTAGTTTTTGAACAATATCCGGTTTTAATTTAACGCTTGTTTTCTTATTTGAGGTTAATGTGCGAATATGTGCGGTGTTTAGGGCGGTGCGTGTATTTTGCATGTAATTTGTGTAATTTCTATTTTTTTGCGGCAGATCCGAGGTTACTGATGTTGAAAAGGTGATGAATTGTGTGTAGCATTGTAATGTGTTCTAAGTGTTTGTTATTTAGGCAGAAATTAAAGCGGAGAGTTTTTTTTTGGAAATAGAATGTTTTGCGAGTGGTCGTTACTCGTTAGGCACACTAACATGTCATTCTCATGGACACTAGACTGGAATTTATGATTTATACCCTAAAATTCTGTACCAAAATTCTAATTCATTCCAAGAGAGGTAGACTTATTTTGATCTTGAAGGTCGAAGGAGTTGTATTTTTGGTTGCATTGATTACATAACTCTGGGACAAACTTGTGGAAGTCGAACCATATTAAAATGTGAACATGATACCCCTCCTTCCAAGATTGAAATTTCCAAAAATAGTTCAAAGAGCCAATCTGCAAACTTAAAAGGTCTGTAGATGAAGAGATAGGCGACTTAATCATTATTTTCCCTCTAAAGCTATCTTTATTTAGGGAGGCTCTAATTATAATGCTAAACAGCTAAAGTACGTAAATAATCAATCATCTCTTAAGGATGGTTCAATTGGCCACCATTTAGTTGATATTTGGTAGAAAAGCTTCTATTAGTTGGTATAAAAATAACATTTCTTGATTGTGAAAAAATAAAGTGAATTTGTTGAAGGACATGATTATCCATATAGATGTATTTGGACTCTCAGTAAATTGAACTATATGCTCTGGAAACCAACCAGGAAGGGCTGATGTTCTGGTCATCTTCACCATCGTCTGTTACTTGCTTCGTACTCCGAGTATGTCCTTAAACACACACACACACAACCAACAAACGAAAAGGAACAAAAAGAGAATAAAGAAGACACTACGTTGTGCACTTGCAGTTGTTGTCTCTGCATGTTGGATTAATCAACTATTTGAAGGAACAATTTACCTTCAAATGCAAGTAGACAACATTCTTCACATATTCATCAAGTCATCTAAACTTGCTTCATATATATAAAAATAAGAGTGACCATTTTTTTGCATCAATTATCAAGAAAGAAATATAAAATTTTAATTTGTTTGGTCCTTGTACTATCGGGTAAAATAAATTTTTGAGCACCCAAATTTCTTATTTTTCGAATACCTTTCATCCCCTGATTTTATTTTCCAGCAAAAACTGAGATTTTATGACATTTACCTTGATGAGCATCAACATAGTATCATTTTTACAATAGCAAAATCATCAAGTATAGTAACCTTTTCACAATAGCAAAATAATCAAGTATTTTCTCTTTTGGCTATCAAATGGTACTGGCAGAAATGGTCGAAAAATGAGATACAACAGCCAAAACTTATTTACTCATATTACAAAAGCTAATCAAGTATTTTTTTTATAAGTAATCACATGAGGGTGATTACTTTAACAGCATAAGAGAAGAGACTGATATTTGAAAGAACACAATACACCCTGATGTCCCAAAGGTTGTGGGAAAGTCTTTGCCCAGTTTTTCCATTTAATCTTGCCAATTGTTTTCATAACTTGAACATGCGGTCTTTAGTCAAAAAGGCATGACCTTACAAGTTGCTTGAGGCTCGACCCTTTTCGTGATCATCCCTTATGGTAGCAGACCAATCCAATTGGAAAAGGTTGGGGGGGGGGGGGGGGAGAGTCTTTGTGCACCATTTTTTTTCATGCAGGGGGACTGTTTTTGTGATTTGAGTCTGCGACCTTCTTGTCATGAAGAAATAACCTCACTAGTTGCAATAGCCAATAGGAGCAGAAAAGATGAAAAAAGAGTAAGAGATCAGCAGTTGATCTTTTTTAATATCCTAAATTCTGATCAGTGATCATATAACTAGCAAAGTTCTTAGAGATAAAGTTAAGGTGCAGGCTCCGAGAACATCGGAAAAAGCATAGAATAGCAAACCCAATGTTCTAAACAATAATGGTATATTGTTTGTCAGTGAACATAGTAGAGTAGCAAGCGAAATAGTTGGAAGAGAAAAAGGGGGAGGGGTGAAAAGAGGATCATAAAGGAGATGTGAAGCAGAACGATATTATTGGAAGAGCAAAGTGGGGCAGCCCTAGAGCATCAAAGCTCCTATACGTTGCAATGGTTTGGGGCAAGTGTTTGTACACAACATCGTACTGCCAACTTTTGCGTAAGTGGTATCTTCAGTGAATTTGATGCTAATACGGCTATGCAAGATTATTAGTTTAAGATTGTCAGTTGGAAAACCTCCTTAAATTTAAAAAATATTGTCTTCATTAGATCCCACAAGTGTTATAATCATATGCATGAATGATACAAGATAATGAAATTCAGCTTCATAGGAATAACTAACTACTTGGTCATGTAGGAATCATATCTATTAGATCAGGCTCATTTCTGAAAAAGGGGGTGAGGCAAGCAAAAGCAAGGTATATAAATTACCAATAACACGCAAGCGGTTATGAACTTCGAAATGACAAGTGTCTTGGTCTGAGGCTCAAGCTCAACACTGTATCAACTGCATGAGCTTTTTTTCACTCTGTCAATTGCATGAGTCAGAATGCCAAACGAATCTGTATCTACGAACATACAAATCACATCAATGAGCCTAAGCAGTTTGTGTTTTCTTGATGCTAATACTGTCAGAAATGAAGACCCCTTACTTATCTAAGTCGAAACGGTTGTTCCCATGAAGCAGTATAAGTTCTTTTATGTGTTATACACATACTTGAGGTGCTATACTTTAGGTTGGAGTATAGAAGACTAGTCTACATTATTCATCTGGGACATGTCACTGGGTCAAAGCTTACTTTCATAATGGACTTCTATGATATTATCACAGGACATAATTGCAGAACTTGGTCTGGACTTTGATCCCCTTCTATACCATGTGCTCATTTTTATGTTTTCATTGCAGAATGGCAGTGCTACTCCTGGATCAAAATCCCGTATACCGCAAATGGTTGCTAGTACCCTTGGTTTTGGTCAAAAACATGATGCAACTGTAGACATACCATTGGACTCAATGAATGTATTACATTTCCCCCCTCTGTTAGTACTTTTGTGCTCATGTGAGGATGCTTTGTGTATTGAGCGGTATGATGTTGCAGGATCCGAAGAAAAAAGAGAAAGAACTTTCAAATTGGGAAGCAGACTTGAAAAGAAGGGAAAGGGTTGGTTTTACATTTCTATTTTGAGCAAAATAGTTGGAGATACATCCTTAATGGATACCTGTTCTTGTTAATGTGTGTGCTTCTTCCATTTCTGTTGTCAATAAGAATCTAAACATTCTCTTAACCGAAGCACGAGTCAGATGCCGCCTTAGTTAACTTATAATAGACAGTTTGACATTGTTAAAATCACGCTGCAACCGAGCTGATATCAAATTTTCTGTTGCCATGTATACCACAGGACATCAAGCGAAGAGAAGAAGCCGTTGCTGGTGGTAAGTATTACCATTTACTGTTGTTTTTCTAAACCTATATTTTCGTCTTATTTGGCGTGGTTTGAAACTTAACCTCTCATGCTATGTGAAAACAGCGGGCATCCCCACAGATGATAGAAACTGGCCTCCATTCTTTCCAATAATTCATCATGATATAACCAATGAGATACCTGTTCATGCTCAAAAGTTGCAGTATTTGGCTTTTGCAAGTTGGTTAGGTATGTCATTCGTACTTTTTTTTTCCCGAAATGTTGTTTGCACTTGGAAACTAAAGCAACTGCTATAGAATCATCTTAGGAATACTTGATTTTAATATTTTGTTCGGTTTTTATCCATTTGGGACATATTACTGTATCTTCTATGGCAATCGGATCCAGTCTCAAACTTGGAACAACTGGCTTGTTTGATTTGAAATGATCAGAATCGTCATTTTATTTGAAATAATGAAAATCGTTACACCAGACACGGTTTCCACGAGCTGAGTCAGGTCATCCTAGGGATGGATGTTATATATATGGATGCCGTATGTGGCATTTGCTTATTAGATGATCTGGTTTCTCTATTATCTCCTTATCTGAAATGGAAGTCTTAGAAAGTTGTGTTAGGAGCATCAACATTGGTTGGTGAACCATGAAAAGTGGTGACAACAATGTTGTGAGGAAGGTAGGACATAGGAGATATTTGGATGTCATAGGCAACAATGGCATCTTAGAAAGATGTCTGCGAACTTGGAGGGTTGCAGATGTGTCTGCAGATTTACAAGGAAAGTTGCATGCTTGCCTTTGGTTTTGCGTTAGTTGCATTGCAGTCAGCTGTAGAGTTGATCCATGATGCGACAGAGCTTAAGAAATACAAAGTCTTTCGTCTTTCATGTATGCTTTTGTCCTTTATATCATTTTTTCATTTGGTGTTGCTCCGTCTCTTCTCAGACCTTTTTCACAACCCATCTTCAATCATGCTTTACCCTCTTATGCTGGAATTTCAACAATTGTCCAGTGATCCTCTAAGGCTCTACCTGAATCTTTGAGTCCCTTCACCTTTCACTCTTGTTGGCCTTTGTTTTCTGTCCAGATCCGGCCAACCTGCATTAGGGATGCTGATCTCCATGACAGGGCAACGCCATCCCTTCTCCCTTCGTCGATTCTTTTGTGTACAGCCACGCTGCCACCACCACTCTTGATCGACTCATCAATGCCATCTTAGGCTTCAATTGCCATTCTTGATGATCCCTTCATATTTTTTCTGGCATTGCCTTATCAACCCTTGCTTGATCCATTCACCCCCTTCAATATTTTTACCTTATCCTTGAATCTTATTGGGTGGTTTCAGGCTCATTTGGTAGGATAGTTATTTGGGTTTTTCAGGGTATCACGGTCAGGGATTTACCTTCGGCTTTCTTCACCACTGATGTGGCTTGTTTAGAGGATGCTCGGGTCGTGTTGATTCTTTTGCTTATGGCTGTCTCACTGTCATCGTGTTGTTTCCCTATTTTCAGTGGTTTGTGTTGTTAAGAGGGATGGCCTTTTGGGGATATGCTCTTGCAATGGGTTTAGGGATATAATTGTTTGTTTATTGCAGTTGGTTTCAACTTACGGGACCATTCTTGGGCACCGCACAGTTCCAGTCAAGCCGTTCTGATGTTCTTGGTTGATTCTCTTGCATTTGCTACATCTGGATGAAGGCAGATGCTTTTTTTAATCAAGTTTGTCTCATTTGATTTTATGTTTTCAGTTCCAAGTCGTTAATTGTGTATCGATGGTTTCTTCAAGTAGTCAAGTGGAATCATCGATGTAATTGCCGCGGGGGGGGGGGGGGGGGGGGGGGGGGGGGAGACAACTACCCTTCATTGGCATGTATCTTTAGTTAGACCATACTGATCTTTATCAGTTCAAGTCAATTTTCACCAAAAAGGAAAAAAGAACAAAATCAAATATTGGACTATGGTTAGCCAACTTAGTCTTCAAGACCTTCCTTTAAGTTTCAGGTTTTCTTTGTATTTTTCTTATTTTAGTTGGTCATATGCCATTCAGTTATCCTACTAGGTTAATCCAGTGACCAGTTAAGGTTCACACTTCACACCAGGGGGAAGGTCTCAATGGCGACCTGTCTATGCGCTCATGAGTTAATTAGATTAGGTAGAAGTAGTAGAGAAATGGCCTTTTGCATTTGCAAATGGAAACAGAGAAAAAATATTGATATTTTTGTAATTATGTATTTATAATATGAAGCCAAGGGCATTTGGGTCTGTTCATTCAGGTTCTTGTACAGACTAACGGCTGGTGTTGTCAGTTGATTTTTGTTAATCATCCATATTCAAGTACAAAATCCCATGTGGACATGATCACAGGCTGCCTCATGGAGGTTTAAGGAATATGATGCATCATAGCTTACCCTGCCTCTTCCGTAACAATAATTTAAACTATTCATGGCAACATAATATTAAATTGTGATGATTGTGTCCGCCTGTCTGGCCATAATTATCCAACCTCTTTTGATAAGCTACTGTCACAACCATAAGCTTTTTCATTTATTTATTTGGTTCATTATGGTTTTGACCCTTGCTTCACCATGCAGGCATAGTTCTTTGCCTTACATTTAATGTTGTAGCAGTGACGGTCTGTTGGATTAAGGGTGGTGGTAAGTCTGATTATTCATCTCCTTATTCATCTTAATATTTTGAGGGACTGGTGCTAAATTAGGTAACTTTGTATAGTTCAGAGCTTTTTATGCTTTTCTGTATACAGGTGTCAAGATTTTTTTCCTTGCAACAATTTACGCTCTTCTTGGAATTCCCCTTTCCTATGTTCTATGGTACAGGCCACTCTACCGTGCAATGAGGTATGTACTGCTTGAGGTGTACAAGGGGTGTATTTGGTAATCAAGATGCATATACTCCCTTCATAACAAAATCAATGCTTGACTTGGCACGTAGTTCTATTAAAGTTTTTGACTAATAATAAAATATCTAAAATACCCCTTAACAAGACAGTTGAAGAACTTACGTACTACAATAAATCTCATCAACATCTTATAATGATTGCCAATGTGCAAATAGGTAAATTCACAAAGGAATTCATGGACAAACCGAAAATAGAAAGAGTTGCTTTCTTTGAGATGTAGGGAGTAATATTTTGTGGTTGGTAACTTTACCGGAAGGTATACGAGTATATCAGAAGAAGCGGCTTGTTGCAATTTCTCTTGGGTTTTTACTTGAGTATTCCTTTTCCTTGTTATCCTTCCCTCCAGGGGATATGCTGAATCTTTTGAACCCTTTTGGGAATATTCATGGGACGTAATTACATATGCGGATAAAGGATATGAATTTCCAATCTGTATACCTGCCAAGTGTGGGTATGGACATATAGGATTTGAAAAATAATTGCGCAATCAGCTTCTGGCTCCATATTCAATCCATGGGAGCCCTGTCTTACCATTTTTGAAGTATGGACTGGGAACACCATCCATATGAGAATGAAGAGCTATAGATAGTTAGGCAGGCAGTCTCTGGAGTTTCTGTTTTTTCCTTCTAACTCTTACACTACTTTGTACATTACATGGAGTAAATACTGAATTCTTGTAAATGCTTTTTGTTCACGCGTTGGCAGGACTGACAGTGCTTTCAAATTTGGATGGTTTTTCATGTTTTACTTGGTAAGTTATGCTAACGAACAGTCACACATGTGGGTGGTTGCTTTCTTCACAATCCCAATTACAATCGGAATCCATTTCATTTTGCAGCTTCACCTCGGCTTTTGTATATTTGCTGCTATCGCTCCTCCAATCGTTTTTCATGGGAAGTCGTTAACGTAAGTTCCTATATTGACTATAAAATTTTGGGATCAATACACAAAACGACATCTCTTTCAAAACTTTGTTTCAAAAAGTGTAACCTCAACTCCAACCAACCATTATCTTACGCTCTGACAACCCCAACACTGCATGCTTCTTCATTTTTTTTCTCTGATAGTATGGAAAAGTTGTGCTTTAATGAAATTGATGAAATTCTGCAAATTGGTACTTAAATTGGTGATAAATTGGCAATATGAAGCTAAAACTCAAAATAAACCCTAAGACCTTAAATAAAATGTTTAGTCTCTATTAATTTGGTGGAGCATGTTGCAAAGTTAGGTTTGGTCATCTCCCTGCTCAGAAATAGTTTACTCTAAATTTTGTAGTATATCTTTCTTATAAGTGCAACGTAGTTACGTACTGTAGCATGTTATTTTTTAGACAATTGTGATTGTTCTTCTTACGGGTACTATGATACCTTCCTTTACATGTTTGTTCTCAAAATCCATCTCCAAACATTTGTCTACTTGTTTTTATTACCAGGGGCATCCTTGCTGCTGTTGATGTCTTTTCTGACCATATATTAGTCGGGGTAAGTGCTACCTTTTCTCTGTTGTGCTCATGTCTCATGCGAAGTATAGCTAATTTCGAATTTGTGCTCGGTGAAAAACAACCGAAAACATCAAGGACTTTTATGATCAAATCCAGGCTCTATAACCAGAATGGAAGTAGAATAAACCAAACCAAACCAAACGGTCCTAGTATATCCATAAGATGCATCTCTGGCGTTACGATAAACCTACAACGTTTGTGTAAGGTGTGGCTCATGCTATGACACCTTGAGGCGCACCACGACATGTGTCTTTTACAAGGCATGACTTAAAAAAAAAGTAGTTTCTTTTTTAAATTTATTTTTTTAGCTTCTGTTTTTACATTTTTAACTTTATATTTTACACGTTTACCTAACCACATCACTCAAGTTTCATCAGGGGATCATATTAAAAGGAAGTTGTAAAACAATCCAGGTTCCATTTTGAATATTTGATGACAGACTCTTTATATGATACCAATATATATGATTTTTCTTCTTTTAATATGAATATAATTTTTTTTAATATTATTATCGTATTGAATAATAAATAAAACACACGCGCACACAGCCACACACACACACACACATATATATATTTTATATGACATACAAATTTGCCGCCATATATCACACGGCTTGAAAAACATAGCATCCTAGCCATAGTTGATGCTTGACCTTGCCGCTACACACACCCCTCACCTGGAGGTGGGGCGTGGGGGCTATGATGTACGGAGAGCTTACCTCTAGCTCAAATAATAACACATCCTTCACCTTTTCATACATCTTGTAAGTTACCGTCATGATTCAAAATTTGTTAGCAAAAATAACAGAAAGCGTGTGTGGTTTTCGTTCACTTGCAGATTTTCTATTTAGTAGGATTCGGGTTATTTTGCTTAGAATCGCTTCTAAGCTTCTGGGTACTTCAGGTTAGTTAAGAAAAACTCATTTTGTTTTGAATGTTTGTTTGTCGTTCGTGTATGTAGTTTCTCATGTTGTTTTTTGTCTAAACAGAAAGTTTACATGTTTTTCCGTGGAAACAAGTGAGAAGTGCGTTTTTTTTGGATGGATACGAGATTAGAGGCTTTGAGTTGGTGATCGCATATTCTTCCTTCCTGCTGAGGTTGTTATTGTTAGTTTAGAATGATTGGTGTGTTAAATTGCTCTTTTAGAATGGTTGTGTTTAGGCAGCAGTCTTTTTGTGGAAAAGGCATGGAACTTTATCAAGAAAAACAGAACATCTTTGAGCATTTGAAAAAGCCTAGTATATACATCTGTATGTGTGTGCATATATGAGATATAAGAGGGTGAGAAAGAAGTTTCTTCATATAGAAATGGTTCAAGTATTTAAAAGAGCCCTTGATAACATCTTCATTTTACGAAAATATACACTCTTTTACTATTCAATCACATATGATATTATGGTTCATTGTATGTGACACTAAATTAGAGAAGTGGACGACGGACACCACCAAGTTCCCTCATAATATAGACAGGTTCAAATGAGAAAATAAACATTTTGTGAGAAGGCAAGAATTTTTAATATCATACATAATTACACGCATATTATACAAACTTAATCACATATGATTAAACACATGTTGTATTAACTATACAAGACATATATGATTAAATACATCCAAAAAAATAGTCATATATAATATTGAAACTTCTCTACTTATATCTATTATTAGAAACAATAAACATAGAAATCAACCATAAATGTGGTGCCTGATTGGTTTGAGCTTGGCTCCAAAGGTCAAAAGTACCAGGAGGTCCTAGGTTCAGGCCACGGAGGTTCAAATGTGATGACTCCGGACTATTTGCAAAGCAGGTAGTTGTCCTGGGATTAGTCGGCTCGTACAACGGATTGAATATAAAAGTTAATGATAATAATAACATAGAAATGATTCCTTTGTTTCCTCCGGTGATGAGCACAGTAAAACAAGAAGACTGAAACACATATCCAAAGCAGAATCATCATAATTTATACCCCTTTGGCTTTTAAACTGTTTAATGTTTTGACATACAAAGTTAATTAAAAAAATTATATAATTATACATCTAAAATACTCCAAAAATGATCATGCGAGTTTTACAAAACCCTACCATGTGTTATAGTGTTTCTGAATCGTTACATACCATCCCTTCATCCTTGATCACCAAAACTAAGTTATTTAACAACGTATAAATCTCATCGGAACGAGGATTAGCCGAGTCCGCAGCACCAAATATGTGCGTATCATTGTTGTTCACCTCGATCCAGCTATAACCCGGCACCTTCTCAACTCCTCTATCTTTCATCATGCTTCTTGTTTTATCAACCCCTTCCCATTTCCCAGCATTTGCCTGTATATTCGACAGCAGAACATAATATCCGGAATTCTTTGGGTCCATCTCAAAAAGATGTGTTGAAGCCATTTCAGCCAGCTCGACGTTCCCATGTACCCTTGACGCCCCCAGCAACGTGCCCCAAACACCAGCATCGGGATCGAAAGGCATTGACTTTATGGTCTCAACGGCTTCACTCAACCGACCAGCTCGGCCAAACAGATCAATTATACATGTGTAATGCTCCATTCGTGCTGCAATTTTATAATCATCTATCATGGACTTGAAGTAGCAGTAACCATCATCGACCAAACCAGCATGATCGCACGCAGAAATTATTGCCAGAAACGTAACGTGGTCAGGCTGGAATCCGAATTCTTTCATCTCGTGAAACAGAGACAGACATTCTTGAAGAAGACCATGGTTTCCGTAAGCGGCAATGATACTATTCCATGACACATCACTTTTCTCTTGCATTATGTTGAAAACTTTTCTTGCAGATTCTAGGTTTCCACATTTAGCATACATGTCTATTAGTGCACTCTCTGCATAAAGGTCGTTCTTCAGTGCACCTAAAACAAAGCCAAACAAACCCAATGAGTCCCACATGGAGTCACATATGTGTGTTAACCCGTCCCAAATGGATAGAAAATAAGATTTGTGAACTCGTTATAAGCTCCAAGTTGTGGGCTACCAATAACTTCCACCACGGTTTTAAGTTGATTTGGAGGTTATTGGGCCAACCTACTTCTTTGGTCAATGAAGCGTCACACTCTGAGGTGTGCAAACCTTACCTCTAAAGAAATTGTTTCCGGAGGGTGCATTTGGTATGCAGACGGAATGATACAGGATTGGACGGGGGAGAGTGAGGTAGGCGGTGAAAGAATTGCGCAGGTTTTAGGAGGGTTTTAATATGACATGAGTAGTTTGGTAATTTACCCATCTTGTTTATTCTCATCTCCATGTTTTTTGTTTCACCTATTTTGGTGGGGTAAAAAAAAGCATTTTTTGTCCCACTCCAATCCTGTCCCAGCCTAATTTTGCAGCAAATGTAGGACAAGTTTTTGTACTGTAGTCTGAGTACGAAATGCACCCGTAAAGACCCCGATTTGTAAAAAGTTCCAGAAATCAAGATTTTGTGACGAACATTGTTTCTAAAAGCTAGACAACAGTTTGAAACACAGGAAGGATAAAACAAAAATGGAAGGAAAGCAAGGATAGTCGAAGAGTGCACCTCTTGTCATGAAACCATGGATTGCTTTCCCAAAGCCAGGCAATGGTAAACTTGCACAAGCAGAAAGAGCAGCGGATATGCTTACGGAATCATATTTGGCTCCTTTCGCACCCATTTCACGAAAAAGATCAACAGCTTTTTCTGGTCGACCGTTCTGGCAAAAGCTAGTCATCATGGAATTCCAACAAACAGCATCCTTTTCAGGCATCCTCATGAAAACTTCATGTGCAAGATCAAGTCTTCCACATTTTGCATACATATCCGTGACTGCTGTTCCCACATAACACCTTCTTTCGAACCGATTCTTGAGAATCTGACCATGCAATTCCTTGCCCAATTTCAAAGCAGCCAAACCAGCACAAGCTGGTAAAGAACTCGAGAGTGTAACTGCATTCGGTCTCATTTGCTGGTTAACCAACCATCGGAAAATCTCTAAGGCATCAGAGCTCATCCCGTTAAGCACATACCCAGATATCATAGCAGTACATATAACGATATCTACGGCAGTACTACAGTTGAAAACGTTGCGTGCCATCTCCACCTCCCTACACTTAAAGTACATATCAATAAGTGCGTTCTTCAAGAATACATCCAAATGTACATTCTGTCTTAAAATGTAAGAATGGATCTCTTTACCTTGGTTTACACGAGTTGACTCAGATACAGAAGGAAGGAAGCTTGCCAAAGTGATGGTATCTGGTTTGGTGCCTACAGATATCATCTTACGAAAAAGATCCGAAGCTGCATTCATAAGTCCATTCTGCACATGCCCACCAATGATCACATTCCAAGTAACCGAACCAGCTTCCTGTACGCTATCGAATAACTCGCAGGCATCAAACAGCCTTTGGCACTTTGCATACCCTCCAATCAACGTGTTGAGCACCTGAGGATCGTCCACCAGTCCACATTTGATAAGAAGTCCATGAAGCTGAGTGCAAAGTGTAATATTTGCACCAGAGGCACAGGCAGATAGAACACACGCATAGGTCACGGACCCTGGTCGAGTCTCAGAAGTCCTCATTTGGTTAAAGAGTAAGAGGACATGTTCCGAATCCCCATGTTTTAAGTAACCATTGAGGATAACATTCCACAACACATCATCTCTCTGAGGCAATTTGTCGAACAGGTTGCGTGCATCATCAATGCAACCATTTTCAGTGTACAATTTGATCAAAGAACTACCAACATAAACATCCGTCTCAAAACCCATTATCCGAATCGTATGATGCACAGATTTTGCCAACCCAATTGCTCCCAAATGACCACAAGCCTTGATCACATAAGGAAAAGTATACTTATCAGGACAAGTTCCACATCCCAGCATCTTAAAATAAACCAATAATGCGGAATCGGAACACCCCATCATAGTGAACCCTCGAATCATCCAATTCCATGGCGATGCATAGAACAAATCAAGCTGATAGAACATGGTCTTAGCATCAAATAATTTCCCACAAAGTACGTACATTCCAAGTAACCTTGAACCCAGTAGACCCACATAGTTGATGCCATTGACGATTATCTGAGCATGAAGTTGTTGGCCTTGTTGAATTACATGGGGATCAGGATTATGATGTGAACAAGACTGTAAGACCGATGCAAGTTTGGATATTAATTCCTCTTCGGTGTTTGGGTAAAACCCAATCGACGTATTTGTGGTTATTGATGATGCTGTCTGGAATAATCTCCTGTGGAATGAGAGGAGGTTCCTTCGGTACATATCTTAAGTTAAATCCTCATTGTTCATATCCCATCTCGAAGAGCTGTAACAAGTCCATAACTATAACTTGTTGCCATTTGATATAACAGTTTTTGTTTTTAAGGTAAATCATCCAACTGTAACGTAGACAACGAAATTACAGACCATTAAGGTAAATCGTCCAGCCCATTGGCCATAATAAGTGCACCTCAGTTTCGTCTGTCTCAACATACCAGTCATAATACTTGAAATGACAACATTGTAGTTATGGATTTGTTAGACGATGCTTTGTATTGGAAGGAATATACTACTAACCAAAAAGAAAAAAGGCCAAGCTTTTGTTAGACATGTACTTGCAGGCAAACATCTTCTCATCTCCTTCAATGCAATACCCTAAAACCTGCAACAATTTTATTTATTAGCTACAATTGCATGGGCTTATGACGCATGCAAATATTATCATGTCCTTTAAACAACATGGGGTTAAATGTAGAGCCTAACCTACAAACTAGTATTTCTACTTATATCAACTTAAGATGCTCGAAATTCTTATTGTGTTTTTAGTTTTGATCTTCTATTTTTATCAAATATGTCATAACATGTCACAAATTTAACTGAAAATACAAATACATAGCAATAACAGCAGATACACAGCAACATCATTACACAGGTTACAAATATACATCAGCTCAAACATTGATCTCTTATAATAGATCAAATACACACATCAGCAGCAAATATCCATTATACTCGTAAACCACAATGCCTATAAGCATCTAACAATGTCATTTGGTCAGGATCTAGATGTTGCACAAGGTGTTCAGCCAAAGTCACTCGTGTAACAGTTGAAATAGGTGTAATGCACTAGTTATGTTCAACTAATAGGTTACCTTGAGCATATTATCTTGTAGATCAATAGAACATATAATACATGATACTATGGCAACAAAATTGATACTCGATATACTTTAACCTTCAACTAATAGGGTTCGCAAACCGCAAATCTGTTTTCGTTTTAGGATTTCCTACTGTTTTTCAGGTAGTTAGATAAAAAAACAACCGATTCCCGGTTTGAAGGGTTCTATGGCACATTTTAGGGTTTAGGATTCATCACGGAGGATTGGAGGACGAAGAAGAAGAAAACTTACAGACGCTGAGAACCGAACCTTCGGACGTCCGTCTGGATTCATTGCATCAAATCTAGAGGTGTATATCGGGCGGGTTTCGAATTAAAAAACCCGATCGGGTTGAGGTCGGATTTCAGGTTTGGTTTTAATTGTAATTGAAAAACTATACATATCCAATCGATTTTGACGATGATTTCTATCGATTTTGAGGATCGATAATATGTTTGGAAATTAGAAATAAAAAAAACACAACGGGTTAAAAAATTTTGAATATTCAAAAAATTATTAGATAATAATATAGTATTTAAAATATAGGGGAGAGATATTTTGCAAACCAAACCGTTTATACAAACAGTAAAAACCATTGATTTCGTTGTTTATTTTAGTGAAATATTTTCATGAAATATTTAATGTGGTGAAATTGTTTCAAATAATTATGGATATTATCATCTTCATTCTATTAATTTTAGTAAACGAATTTCATCAAAATCAAGAAACACATGAAACAATTTAATTTTTACACAGAAACAAAAATATATCAAACATTTTCATCAAAAAAATGAATTATTGAAAACAATTTTATCATATTAAACAATTTCATGAAAAAAAATTCAATAAAATCGACTTTAAGACTTGACAAACCCATTAATCCATTATAAGTTGTACTTTAGCATGGTTCTAAACAACTTGTTATGACACGTTATGGCGTTAAGACTTGAGTTCGCCGTCACGTTAACTCCTATGGTTTCACTCTAAGACTTGACTTGGATTATAATGGCTTTATTGCGTGTTATGACACGTTACGTCATGTTATTTTGTAAGGTGTAAGGTGACTTTAATTTATAACTTGAGAGATAAATGATAATTATGTACGGTAACGAAAACATAAAAACTAAAACCTTCAATAGCTACGTACTTACTTGCATTCCCATACACGAAAAATCGAACAACAATTCTTTGAAAGTGTAGATTTAAGGAATCTAATCCCGATTTTTCATTCTTTATATCATTTTCAATAACGGCTATAAATTTGGTTTCAATGGTTATTCTTTTTTTAGTTTTATTATTTTATATGAATTTAATTTATTCTACCGTATTATACACAAAACACTAACATACACAAGAGTGAGGTGATGATACATATACGACGTTTCAGGTTACGTCTTGAAAAATATCATGAATTCGTCTAACTCGTAAAACTTGAGGATTTAGCTTGATTTTGTGACGTGAAACAAACTACAAATTATGAAGCAGCCATCGTTTATTTGTTAAAAAAGAATTAGAAATGCAAGGAAAAAACGAGGCGGCGATGTTTCCGATTATCCAACAAAACACAAATATTTCCAACGAAATCGGAACAAATCTAGGAGAAATCAAACTTCGATGCTTCGATCTTGTGGTTCCTCCGAATCCCCTTTTCCTTTAGCATTAACGATATCGTCGGATCCACGCACCGGCGACCCCGTCTCCCGGCGCTTATGAACATGACCGGCTGCCACAGCTCCGCCGTAGCTACTAACATTACTAAAGATCAATGCAACAATCCCAACAATCGCTGCAGCAAACGCCGTCCCAAACGACCGGTTAATGTTGCCGGTGCCACTTGAACCGATGGCAAATCCGACAAATGCTCCGAGCATTCGAACCCACGAAAACCACGCAGCAAAAACCCCTTCGTTTCCCGATGGCGCACAATCCATCAGCAAGATTCGACTATATGCGTGCAAAACACCGGAAGCTATGCTTTGTGAAGCGGCAAAAAACAAGATGTGACTGTTGTGCCAGCTTTCATGGCGGTGGTAGAACCCCATGCCGGAAGTAAGCGTGGAGAGCAAGAAACCGAAAATTTGCATTTTTACGGCGTCTGATCGGATGAGCTTTTGGATTGGTTGTAAAAGTGGCAGAACGAGTAATGGGAAGAAGAAATATGTTAGCCAAACGAATAAGAGGTCTTTGGGGGGAACACAAAGTTGGCCGACGATGTAGAGGAGACCGCCGGTGAATATGCTCATTGTTGAGAAGGATGAAAGGAAAACTCCGACGAGACTTCCGGCAGCATGTGGGTACTTGAAAATGGAAATAAAATGGCTACCTGAAACCCTATCGTTATTATATGATGATTCATTTCCGTTTGATCGTGTGGCGGTGAGGATATGGGCGATTCCGGCGAACCATAGAATGCCGCTGAATATTGAAACGACCCATAAACTGATGAATCCTTCTGAGTTTCGGAGCATGTAATAGGTAAATGATGCAATGGCTGCCGATCCAAGGCAGCCACCGGCGGTGGCGTAGAGTGACAGCCAACTGGAGACGGCTTGTCTGTCGGGGAACTGAAGTTTACGGATGGTTGAGCCGACGAAGCCACGGACCATGAGGCCGAGGTGGCGGTTATGGAAGGCTGATCCGACGGCGTTGGAGGCGACGATGGCTGCAACATAGGGTGGCATTATCCAGACGGTTTTAATGGCTCCGGCGGGGAGGCAAAAGATGGCTCCAATAGCGGTGGCTATTCCGGCCATGACGTGGGAGTTCCGGCGGTGGTCGAGGTGGATGGAGACGGAGGCGAGTAGTGGTGCAGCCACGATTAGGCCGAAAAACCAAGAGATTGAGGTCCATTCTAGTGGTGAGAACTTCATGCTGCCCACTTTTACTCTCGCATAGGTCAATGCTTCAAACCTGAGATTAATCGGTTGTATAAATTCAAACCAATTCTATGTGCGGAAAAACTTTAAAAGAAAAAAAAAATAACTATTTATATGTACGGTATATAAATATATATATATATATTTACATTTATGTATGCAACCAATATAACTCAATCTCAACCTTCTATTTCATTTGATTAATATGTAATTTCATAAAAGTTTTGGTTATTTTCTAATATAAAGTATTAATCATAATTAATGAACCATATTCATTTTTCATAAATATTCAAATCATAATAAATGAACTCTCATCATTTCCGTAAACATCTTAATTTATTGGGTTGCATTGGTTGTACAAATGCGATGAGTTGTATTTGAAACAAACTCTCTCTCTCTTTCTCTCTCTCTATATATATATGCATATAAGTATATGTTTATAACATGTACTCGTGCATGTGTAGATACTACACAAATGAATGGTTATTAGTATGTACCCCAGTTTTTCATTTTTCCCAAGGTTATATATATATATATATATATATATATATATATATATATATATATATAATATATATATATATAAACACATGAAATTTGATCAGATTACTTTTCAAGAAAACTTCAACTAAAAATGTAAGAATCTTACCGGTAAGAACGATGAAAATGATGGAGAGTCTTACCCGGTAAGTGAAGATTACGACTCTTACCCAGGTAAGCGTTTACCCGGTAAATTGTTGCATTCAATACGTTTCGATGTACTAAAATCTTATTCATCAAAATAAATTATAATATTGACTTCTATAGATAAGCACTTATCGGGTAAGCATTTGGGTAAACAAACCCCTTAATCTCTATTTGTTTTGTTTTAAAATACCCCACCTCGATTATGATAGAAATATAGTGAACTTATTTGGTTTAAAATAAACTCAAAAGGATACAAGACTTACAAAAGAGTTTCCTTTTTGGTGCAAATATGACGACCTTTGCCATTTGTGTACCACCCTCGAGCCGGCTGCAGTGGTTCGCTACCAAAACTCTGACTTATGATGAGCGGAAACACGATGGTGAGAAGAACAGTGTGTGTAAAATACGAACAAAGCTCGTAAAAACACCAACCGATGACCTCGCCCTTGGTTGGCTTATCTTCAAACTCCTCGTATTCCTCACTCTCGCTTTCACTCTTCACCCCCACGACTTTTACATCGAGCGAGCGACTGTCTTCGTCATCCTCCACGGACCTCGGCCTCCGTGGAGTGGCGGCAGTCGCCATGACGTCAGTCTCGGGATTTGCTTCTTCGGACATTTTTATACCGAAACTAAAGGAATATATGTGAGTGTAGGATTGATTTTTGTGATTGGAAGTTAATGTGAGAATGAGGGAGGGTTGGGGTATAAAAATTGGTGCATGATGGAATGGAAAGAAACAGCTGGGAGAGTGGAAGTATCAAGAGTTATGTTTAGGCTTTGTAATGTTCAATTTGATGGGTGGAACAATGGCATCATTCTTTTCTTGTTTTTCCTTCACATGTTTCATTTTGCATCATAGGTGTATTTTGACTTCTAGTCACCTCTTTATTTATATATATATATATATATATATATATATATATATATATATAGTTTGTTTCAAATACAACTCGTTGCATTTGTACAACCAATACAACCTAATAAATTGAGATATTTATGGAAATGATGAGAGTTCATTTATTATTATTTGAATATTTATGGAAGATGAATATGATTCATTAATTATGATCAATACTTTATATTAGGAAACAATCAAAATTTATATGAAATCACATATTAATCAAATGAAATGAACGGTTGAGATTTGGTTGTATTGGTTGCACAAATGTCAAGGGTTGTATAATAACCAACATATATATATATATATATATATACACACACACATACATTTAGGATTACCTGAGACCATTTTTTTGCATTTGAAACTTCACAACAAAACTTTGTGAAAGTAACCTTCACAGTGTTTTTGCTGTGAAAGTTTGACTTTTTTTACCTTTACAACATTTTGTTGTGAAATTTCAAGTATAAAATGATTCACATATTAACTTTTATTCTTTTTTTCACAATATTTAGTCTTTTTATTTTGAATATATATATATATATATATATATATAGGGTTGGGTTCACGTGAGACCAAATGTTTTTCGTGAGACCCGTAAGACCAATTTATGTTCATTGATCAACTTTATAAGTTAATGATCTAATGGTCTAGAGTTGCACGGTGACAATTTTATGATTATTGAGAAGTCCCGTGACAATTTTGTGGTTAGATCTGATCCAAGGGTTGAGAATTGGTCTTACGGGTCTCACGAAAAACCTTTGGTCTCACATGATCTCAAATATATATATATATATATATATATATATATATAGAGAGAGAGAGAGAGAGAGAGAGAAGAGCGATCAAATAAAAACCAACCTCATTTGTATAAACCGTACAAACCATCCTCATACGTCGATTTCATTGTTTAATCTTATGAAATTTTTTCATGAAATTGTTTAATTTTGTGAAATTGTTTCATATAATACTTTTTTTTGATGAATTTGTTTCATATATGGTTATGAAATTGTTTCATATAATATTTCATGAAATTTAATGGAACTGTTTCATTTATTTCTCTAAAATTAAAATAATGAAGATGATAATATCCATGATTAACACATTCCACAATAAAAATGGTTAATCAACCTCTCATAATTACAAAAAAATGAACAAAATGAAAATTTATGATTGGTTGAATGAGGTTTGCACGATTTATATAAATTGGGTGGTTTTTATTTGAACGCTCCTTTATATATATAACTCATATAAATAATATATTATTTTGGTTCATATATGTATATTCAAATATTTTTTTTTTTCCAGATTTTTCAGTGATTCACATATAAATCTTTGTTTAACCTTCTATTTTTACATTATTTAACTTTCTTATTTGAACCGCCTAAATGTTACACTTCGTACAAACCAATCTTTCCCGTTGATTTTGTGTATTTAGAAATTTTTAGGCGGTTACCCAATCAATTGCAGATAATTAGATAAGTTTAAGAGTAAATTTCGGAAGCTATTTAATCCACATCGTTGACATTGATTTGATAATCTGCATGAACGGTTGAGATTCCTTTGTATGGTGTGTAACATTTCGATGATTTGTATTTGATTTCGCCTCTATGTGTGTGTGTGTGTGTATATATATATATATATTAAAGAGAGTGAGAAGGGGGGATGTTCAATCGAAAACAAACTCATATTAAAAGAACACGAGAACATCTATATCACATGTGATTCATGTTCAGTTAATGCAAAGGTGCACAGTTTACCCCCGCCACCTAAAAGGCTAAGAACGTTGACCAAATAAGTGTTACGTGTGATTTTTAATCTAAATTCTAAAATAACATGTGACATAAATGTTCTCGTTTCATTTTATTTTGAAACTCACCGCTATGTGTGTGTGTTTATATTTTGCCGAATATTAATTTCTACTAAATTAAAAGGAGCTAATATTGGCTATTGGTTGTCATTTGGCCTACGATGTTTTTGGTATCATTTTCCTGTTACTCTTAATTAGACTACAAACACGAGGTGCAAATTCTCACACTTTGTCTATTGCTTATCCAATAAGCTATTTTAAAATACGAAAATACGTTCTAATAAAACATCATTACGTAATTTGTTTATATATTCGATTATGACAGCGGATTGAATGGTGATGATGGGTGATAATTCTCTATCTGAACAAGTAATCCAACGTATATTTAGAACTTAGGAAAACAAGGTAACGATTATGTTTTTGTCTTTTTTTTCTTCTTCTGAGCGTAGAGATAGAGATTGGAAACTATCAGCTTATTTGATAGAAATTACATTGTGTTGGATAATTTAAAATCTCAGATGTCTTTATCATGATGATGGTTATGAATTTGTTTCTGTTCGCCGATTTTATATATCCTAATCGATTTTTATATAGAAGACTGGTTTTATATATTTAGGTAACTTTTTCAGTATTTGAATACGTGGTATTTTGATCGATGGGTTTAATTGACAAATTTTAGGTGAACGTCTTTTAATTCAGATGATGTGAAACATGTTTTTATATCCGTATATGACTGTTTTTTTCGAGTTTTAAACACTACGAATGATTCTCGAAGCCCGAAACTCCTCTTTTTTATCCTCACTGTGAAGGGTCATTTACAATTATCGAGAACGGTAGACCAAAATTTTTCTTGATTTATCAAATTTCTTATATTCTCCAATTGGTGTAAAATTAGTATACACTAGAAGGTTACTCTCACAATGCAGCGAGATACATCTCGGTTTTAATGTTTCATTTTATTTTATTTTTGTCTCGGTCGATGTTATAAAAAATTGAAAAAAAATATTGATATTAGTACCAAAATGACTTTAAAATTTCTCCTTTTTTGTATATTTCTTTAATTCATTTTTTTATTTAATAATATAATTTCTTTATACAGGTAATAATTAAGTATTTTGTTATAACTCAATGATTATCTTAATTATATTTTAAATATTTTATATTTAAAATGAGATGCTTATCCTCTATTTGATTATGTGTATCTGTAGTTAGTTACATGAATTCAAATACTGAGCTTTAATAAGTTGTAATTATGCAAAATTTACTTGTAATATTGATTTTTAAGTAATATGCATCAATAAACAGTATTTCAAGTATAAAAAAATGGTTTTTAAGAGTTTTTGTCAAATGCTTTATAATATAGTATAGATGATAGTGTTACACTAAGGGTGTATTTGGGATTGCTTATAAAAACAACTTATTGACTTATTTCGGTGTGACATCAGTAATAAACACTTTTGAGTGTTTGGATACAGAGCTTATACTTGTGTCAAACCGGTAATGAAGAAATTAAACTCTTCTGACTTATAATAAGTTGATAAATGTTTTTTGTAGAAAATCATAAGTTGTTTCAAATAAGCAAATCCCAAACACCCCCTAATTTTTGAAATCTGGTGTGTTACTATTCATTACACTAAATTTGGTATAAGTTTTTGTGTTCCCTTTGGGAGCGATTTGGTGTCAAATTTAATATTTGCTGTAAGATTTGGTGTCCCTATCGAAAATGGTCTAAAGAGATAGTGAATTGGAGGTTTTTTGAGACAAGGAATAGGATTAGAAGTAACCGATGAAAACGTATTTTTTAAATCATCTCATGATTTCTAAATGTAAAACTTTATTTTAGCACTCCTTCGTAACATAAGAACTAAAACGACTTTCTAATACGAGTATTGCATTTGCAACCACTATAGGAAAATATAAGATCGAGTGAATAATAAAATTTTCTTTTTAAAAAACAGAGTTAATAATAAATTAAAGTTTTGGTCATATTTGACTGATACAATTTTTAACAATAACGCACAAACAAACTTAACCTTTGTTACATGTTAGCAAAGGTGCACATTACTCGACTTGGTCCTTAGGTTGGAAATGAGGATCAACTTAGGCACAGTTTACTAAACACTTACCAGGTAAGTGCTTACCGATATCATTTATCTCATCGATCGAGCATGAATATTTGGGTAAATAAAGAAGATAAATGACGAAAAGACCAATTTCTGTAATTTTGGTCAATTTCCTTAATAATAACCAAAAAATAAATAAATAAGAAAATGATCGAATTTAGGTCACTTACATCATAGTTTTATTATAAATAATTATATTTTATTTTATACTATATCGTAAGAATATCTTAATTATTATTTAATAATTTTACATCAAATCATTCAATTAATTTCCATTGACCAGGTTTGTTTCGAGGTGGCTGAACTGGTAAAACCCTATTTCTCTCCTCCGTAGGGTTTAACATATCTGGAAATCCACCGTTGGGATCCTCCGGCCACAAATGGCCACCATGTTAAGGCGTCTCTTCCCCCCGAAGGCGATCGGAAACCTCCAGCGATTTCTTCAACACAGTCGATTCAGTTATCCTTCTAGCACTCCTTTTTTCTCCCAATTCTTCGTCGGAAGCCTCCACTTTCTTGTTTCCCGCCATGCCTATTCCCGAAACATGTGCTCCGGTGCTAACTACGAGCCACAGTACGATGCTTCTGTGGCATTGAATTTGGATGATCGCGTTCCGGCCACCGTCATCACTGGTTTTCTCGGTTCTGGTAAGGTCGGTATTAGGACATTCTATATCGGACATAATTCATTCAAAAATAGATGAATTGAATTCACAGGCCATGTCACTAAACTATGGCTTCACACTCCTGCCTTAAATGAAGGTTCAATTCGTTAGGTGTATCATGCGATGAATGACTTGTGTAAAATTTTCTTTGTACATCGATTGCGGATACAATATCTTATCTGTACTGATCATGCTTGAAATAAAAATTGGTGGGAAATACAAAAACTTGAATTTGATCATTTCATTTTACTTGGATCAATGGCAGACAACTCTATTGAATCATATACTGACTGCTCAGCATGGGAAGCGGATTGCTGTGATCGAAAACGAGGTATATAAGATCTACCATTGTTTACGAATACTGTATCATGGTCAATTGAGTGGCTAATTTACAATGGAGTTGAATAGTTTATCTGATTGGACTGGGGTGTAATGCTCTCTGAATTACTTATGATTGCTGAACTATTTTGTGTTTTTAACGTTTAAGTTTTTATTCACTTTTATGTATATGGTGTTGCAGTTTGGGGAGGTGGATATTGATGGTTCGTTGGTGGCAAGTCATTCCTCTGCTAATGAGGACATTGTCATGGTCAGTAATGGTTGTTTATGTTGTACTGTGCGTGGTGAGCTGGTCACAATGCTTTTGGAGTTAGTTAAAAAGAAGCGAGACAAATTCGATCATATAGTCATAGAAACCACAGGTACGTTATGTTGCTAAAAACATTTTGTGCTATTCAACACACTCATTCTTGTTACATGTCATAAAATGTTACAAGACCGATAGGTTAGTGTACAAAATAGGGAATTTTGGAAGTCTCATACATCGATTGACAAAAAAAAATCTTCATTACATTAAATAAGAACTAAAACAAACTTTGTTGCATTTTGCCATCAAATAAATGTATGAGCCAGCAAGTTGTTGACAAGTTCTCAGAATCTCAGGGTAGGATAAGGTTTTATGTGTAATATGAACACCTCTGGGCATGATATTAGAAAAGTGACTGTGAGGTGTAACAGAAGGGTAAGTTTGGTATAGTCCATTCATATCCTTCATTCTTTAGATTTCATTTTGTTTCCATCTCTGGATGGTTCTGATCTTATTCTTAATTTGGGTTCCTTAGATTAAGATAAATGTACCGGTACTGTCTGTTGTTGTTATGAAGTGAAGGCATACACTCTTCAAAGTCTCATTGATGCAAATTATTATTTTACATATGACATATTCTTGGCCCACTCGGAGTTTGCTGGGCAAGGGAGTATCAAAGTCCGATTAATTAACAACTCTGTTTCATTCTTGTTATAGGTCTTGCAAAGCCGGGTCCAGTCATTGAAACATTTTGCACCGACGAGCAAATCTCCCGCCATGTGAAACTTGATGGAGTTGTTACTCTTGTTGACTCTAAGCATGCCATGCAGCATTTGAATGAGGTAAAACCAAGGTTTGTGGTAAACGAAGCAGTGGAACAAGTTGCATATGCAGATCGTATTATTCTGAACAAGGTTAGCTTTTTATTTTTTTATACTTGGCTCTAAGGATCCGTAATATATACCTCAGTTTAACTGCTGTTCGTTTTACCTTAGTTTAACTGCCGTTCATTTCTTCTTAACAATATGACAGATAGATTTGGTAAGCAAGGCTGACTTGGAGGACTTGACAAAGAAAATACAGGTGTAGTTTTTGTATTACCTTGTATTCTTATATTTGGAAGCTTGAAGTACTATATTGACAGATAGTGTGACAGCTTTCAGAGATAAACTAAAATGACATTGTTCCATTGGCTGTGGTTTTTCAATTGCTTTGTTTCCTAGCATCTTTCTCTGTATCATATTGTTGCCCGTAAAAGCTGTACATACTATCTGAATAAAACGTCAATGATCATCAGACTTGCTATCGTTTACAAAAATTCCAATAACATGTATGGGTTTCTTAAGCATATAGTCTGGGAGGACCGGTTAAGGTTTCACTTGCATGACTTAATGTGAAGGATTTGGTAATGTGGTAAGCATGACTTGATGTAGCAGTAAATGATTTTCGAGTCTTTTGGGCATCAATACCAAGATGTCCTTTTCTCACTATTTCCTTGGTTATTAACAGCATCAAATCTCTTGCTGCAGTTCAAAATAAATGAATGTTGGAATGGGTTCCATTAGTTATTAGTGTTGCTGGACTGAAAAATGAATAAATGGAGGGATGGTTTATCATTTATTTTGTTCTCGGTAGGAGATCATCTGTGGGGTTCTTTGAGTTGTGTTGCATAAAGTTTTAGCTGGACAGAGTTGTGAGAGAACTACTTATAGATCATCAAGTATCATAATTGATTTTGATATATTGAGCAATGAAGCCCATTAGCAGCTATCTAATTTCTACCAGAACCCCTCTGATGTTTCTTTTTCCTCTCTTTCAATGTGTAGATGGTATGAAGCGTAATTTGTGATTCATTTACATTCCTAAACCACTGCTAACAGTAAATAAAAGCATATTTATGAAACTGCATATCTCTTGGTGGGTCTCAGTTCCTGATTTTTGATATCATATTCACTTATCCTTAAAGTTGTATCATTCCAATGATAAATTCATTTACTGTTACATCTCTAGGCGTGTTCATTCCTTTTCTGTTTACATATACAAAAGTAAATAAAAGTTGGTGAAGTTCCAATTGGGTTTCGGATGTTTCTTTGAGCTTGGTATTAATTATCTTTTGACTTGGGTTTTGTGCATTTTCCAGCATATAAATGGAATGGCACAGATAAAGCAAGCTAAATTTGGCATTGTTGATATGGACTTTGTGTTGGGAGTGGGAGGTTATGATCTTGACAGGTGATGATTATATGGTGTACGTATGCAAACACACACTCAACTCTCATACGTACATGATTGCACACACAATCACACATTTCACACGGTATACATGTAGGGGTACAGATACAGTATGCTTAAATTCCACATGAGTAACAAAGGAAACTGTCAACTGAATCTTATGTTGATGATAATTGACGACATAATCTGTTTCTTATATAACCTTTTGGTTATGCAGAATTGATTCCGAAGTTCCATCAGTTGGTTCTCATTGTGAAAACCACGATCACAACCACGAGCATGGGCATGGTATTTATTACTTTTGCAATCCCATCCGCATTGTTTTCTCTGTGCTTCATTTTGGTTACAGCTTCTTATGATCAATTTCTACTTACGCAATTCTTGTTTCACTTATTTATTTATGCATTATATCATATGTAAATTTATACCATACAGAAGTGGTGACTATGCCTAAAGCCGACAAATACCCCTTGAGCCTAAACCCAACTAATACCCCTTGGAACAACAAGAAGACGCCTGATTTTCGTAAAAAGTTAAGAACCATATGCATTTGAGGTTAATTTATTCACAACACAACTGTACAAGATTGGAAAGAGAAGCACCATATAGGAAGTGTGGTTACCTAAGATCCACACTGCTCATCTTTTTTATGCAGAACAGACCCTTTGCTTTGCAGCTCTCAATTGCTTTGGTTCGACAATTAGATCGGGACTTGCAAGGACTTGGGTGGGACAAAAATGCATTTTTTCTTCCCCACCAAAATAGGTGGAACGGAAACCAGGATAATGGGAAAAACTTGTTAAATTACTAAACTATTCATGTCAAATTCAAACCCCTAAAACCTTCCAAGATTCTTTCACTTGCCTACTTCACTCTTGCTCGTCCAGTCTCATCCATGTACCAAAAGCACCCATAGGCAGCTGTCAAGTATTCAGTTCCGCTCACCTGATCTAGTGTGAACATTTTGTTGCTTCGGTTTCTATTTTTACTTTTGAAGCAACCTGAGATTGATCAAAGGTTATATTTTAATCATATGAATGTATTTGTTTTCTTAATAGGATGCCACAAAGGGGACCATCATGATCACAAGCATGATTCTGCTGTATCCAGTGTCAGCATTGTTTCTGAAGGAACCCTGGACCTTGATGAGGTAATTAGTTTAGATATTCCCGATCATTCTACTCTCTTTGGGGTTGTTTTTTTGCCTCTTCTTTTGTTGCTTTCCCTCTTGGTAATCCCAGAAAATTAGGAAATTACTTCAATATGACATTCTATATCTCTATATACACATCATCCAGCTTGATGATTGGCTTGAAAGGCTGGTCGAGGAAAAAGGAGACGACCTATATAGGATGAAAGGCGTCTTATCAGTGAGTGATTCTGAGACACGCTACGTTTTCCAGGTTCCATCTTCATCCATTCATTTGTTATATTTATTACTTATTTGTTGTATTCATGCACCGGACGAAGGATCATGTGTGAATAGGAGTTTAGGTGAGAAGTGTAAGAAGGGATTTGGACCCTTGATCACTTTTAATCTCAAACCAACCCATGAATTGCGCTTTAAAACGGAATTGATCCGGTGCTTCTCATTAGTGTTGATCTAGTGGAACTCTTCAATTAGGATTGATCCAAGGATGGAGATCCCTTCTTACCCTTCTCATCATAACTCTCATTCTCACCGGAATCCAACCCGCATGCACCAAAGGGTCATTGATCCAACAGTGTCCGCTGACCAGTAAATCCTAGCCTCCCTGGAGGTGGAGGGTTCAAACCTCACCAAAGGTGAGGAGTGTGCTTGAGTATTTGCCGTATAAACATCAAGTCGAAAACTCAAATCTTGACCCATTTTTCTCCTTGTGGTCTTTATTTGATTCATTTAGGGGGTGCATTCCACTTTAGATGGCTGCCCAGGCAAACCATGGGGGCCAGATGAGAAGAGAATAAACAAACTTGTATTCATTGGAAGGAACTTGGATGAATCTGCTTTGAGAAAAGGCTTCAAAGGTTGTTTGGTGTGATCCATATCGTGAATCCTGGTAAGTTCCCATACGATATTAACGAAACTGGTTTTAAACATTCGGTTGTTGGGAATGGCGTGGCAACGGGGGGACATCATATGGCACGACTCAACAAGTCAAGGAACTTGTGAATTTTCGATGGTCCGGTAATTCTGTATCTAATTCAAGTTGATTATGGCTGGGATTCATACTGCAATTAGAATAGTAGCTCATTAATTTTAATCAACTCTGTTATTCACTGTAAGTACATATTAAAAAAAAAATCGTTACGAACTTCATTTTGTTTTTCTCTAACCAAACGGTTATTGGGTTTAAATACTTATCGTCAAGAATCACTATTCTCGCTTATCTTGTAACATTTTTGGCCATCAAAATGGATCGTTCGTAAACACCTTTTATCCGGTAAGCATTAACCGGGAAAACTCTTTTCCTTCAATTACTGGGTAGAATTCTCGATGCTTGCTATGCATCTTAATGAGTAAGATTCTCAGTCTTTTATCATGCTTACATGATAAGGAAAGTGATACGTAATAAACGCTTACCAATAAGCATTCGGTAAACAATCTGTAAGTCTCTGTTTACAGATTTGCAGCAGAAGATTGGTTATATTTGCAATGGGAAAAAGCTCATAATTTGTTGTATATATAATTTTAATAAATTCATATGACATTGGCTTGTGAAATTAATAAAAAAATATATGGAATTTATTATTATAAGAAAAAAGCGACGTCGTTGTGTGAAAAATGATGATATGATGCATGGCATTTTCCCCTTGACTATCTCCTCCTCCTCCCATTTTGTCGTTGCTGGTGGGGTCAGATGGTGGAATATTCTGCTGCTACCCGTCTTTCCCGGTTTTCTTGCAACGTGTCCCACCATCCCTTCCTCCTTTTTATTCCCTTCTCAACCATCCCTAATTTTTCTTTCCAAATAATATAAAACGTATCCTGTCGGTTGTTGGTCAAATTAATTACGAAATGTGAAGAATTCGAGAGAGATAATTCATTGTCAAATTTTACGTGTTAACTTAATTGATTATAAAATTAAGGGGGTGTTTGGGATTGCTTATTTAAGGTGTTTATTGACTTATTTCGGTGTGGTACTGGTAATAAGTATTTTTTAGTGTTTGGATAGAAAAATAGAAGGAACGCTTATACTGGTTTGGCATCGAGTTTTTGATAAGTTACACTCTTTTAACTTATCAGAAACAACTTACCAGTTTTGAAAACCAAATTACTTTTTTACCATTTTTCTTTAACACCTTGTCGCTCAAATTCTCTTCCATACCGACCACCATAACGCCATGGAGCTCCCTTTCCTTTGGCCATTGATGAATGCTTGGAAGATCCAGTCACGTAAATTAACGACAAGAATCGATCAGATAGAACGTGGGTTAAGGTTGATGGTGCCAGCATTGATGAACATAGTAAGAAAAGCTCAGGTAGGGTTTATTCAGAAAGTCGGTTCCGATGAGGTTAGTGCAGCAATGGTGGCGGTGGAAATGGGGGAGGAGATGGCAGGGATAGTTATGAACGCAAATAGAATGCGAGAATTCAAGATGGGAAACCGTTGCAGGAATTCAAGGGATGTAAATTAGCCTAGTTTAAGATCACATAAGTTAATAAACACTTTTACGAAAAAATATAAGTTGTTTTAAGTAAGCAATCACAAACACCGCTTGAGTCCCTCCAAAACTACTGGGGAATTTCCTAACTGTTTTACAGAACTAAATAAGATGTGTAAGTTGATCTGAATGTCATGCATCTCAATTTCGGTTTCAGCTACTACATACGGAACTCATGAAAGTGATGTTATACTATTATTATACATATTAGAAAAAAATTCTAGAAAAAATCCGGTTTCACATTTTAGTCATTTCTCTTCTAAAATCATCAAAATATCATCACCTTCGTAAGTGGTAGATCCGCAATGCGGAAGGGTTAAAGTGTAATAAAAAAAGAAGTTTCTAAACCAGATCCGCAAGTGCAAGGATCAACACTGTAAAATAGATATTGGTCCACAAGTGGTACTTCCGCCACCTCCTGTTGGAAGTTGGAACTAATTTATAGATTTGGTCTCTGCACTTACGAATTTGGTTCATAAACTTTCTATTTAACACTTTGACCTATCCGTAAATTGCAGACCTGCCACTTACGAAGGTAACAACATTTTGATGATTTTTTTAAAAGATAACTAAAAATGACTGTTTTAATTAATTTTTCATTTTAAAATTATAAATTGAGCACCGAATTTGATTTACATAAAAAAAATAAAAAAAAATAACGGTTTGAACTTTGAATACAAGGGAAGGAGGGGGGGAGGGGAGGGGAGGGGCGGGGACTGTGGGACGTGGCACGTGACCGCACGAATATTCCAATCCGCTTGTATACCGGAGAGAATAATCCATGCTGGCAATCACTTAGCTATAATCACCCACACCATAACATCTCTTACATACCCCTACACCCTACCCTTTCTAGCCGTCGGATCTTCAAACCACATCACTGAGTCAAATATCTAACGACTCATATTCCAACAAGTGTAGTAATAACTAACAGTAGATTTTAATATAAAAAATAAAAAAAGAAAAAAGAATATTAGCCGGCTGGGGTGGAGAGTTGTCATGTTGTTTCAGATTCGTCGCCGATCTTTCCTCCCGATGTTCCTCGTCCACATCACAATTGTCTTTTTCCACTCCCGCCTTTCACTTTCCTATTTTTCTTTAAATTACATATCTACCCTTGCCTCCCACCTAAAACTATTGACCTCCGCCTGTAAATATAACTCATCTTTACACCAAAAACGCTTTGAAGGTTATCTTCAGAACATATTGCTGTGAAGTTTTAAGTGTAAAAAAGTAGTCTTAAGTGATTTTAAATCAGTAAAAAAAATGTATTATGTATGTAATGCAATCGAGAAGATATATTATAACTTTGTAAGTAAAAGAAGATGTATTAAAGAAATCTTTTTGTAAAAATGGGAAAATAGTTTTTTGGAGGAGGTTTAGAAAAACCAATGAATTTTTACGTTTTGAATGGTTAAGGGGTTGTTTACTAAATGTTTACTTGGGTAAGCGTTTATCAAGTTATATTACCTTACCGGATGAATATGGTAAGAACCAAAAATCTTACCCGGTAAGAGCGAGGCAAAGACCGAGAGTCTTACCCGGTAAGTGAGGGCAATGACTCTTACCACGGTCAGCTCTTACCGGATAAATTGTTGCATTGAAACCCGTTTTTGTTGACTAAAATCTTACCCGATAAATTAATAATAGTATTGAATTTTACCGATAAATGTTCACTGGGTAAGTGTTTGGTAATCGGCCCCTAAGTCTCTGAAAAAAAATCATTGAAAAACTATTGAACTTTTTTATTTTGATTGATTAAGTTTTTGAATATATTTTTTTTAAACAAACCATTGAATTTTTAGAAATTAGTTTTACTATTCCCAAACCTTATGTCATTCAAACCCCTTGTACCCAACAATATCGCTCCCCCTTGCCACCTTTCGTCGTCGTCTGTTTTCCATACCGCCTATAGCCGCGGTTGGCCCCTGCGACAAATCTCCCTCTTTTTGATCTGTTTTTTTGTCTTTTGATTCTTATTTTTTACACCAATTTTATGTAGTACGTATAGACAAATCTAAAAAAGAAGGAGAATCGAAAAAGACGATAAAAAATAGGAGATTGATGGCATGAGCCAATGACGATAATAGAAAGTTGATGACTACGGGTCGGCGAGGGGTGACAAGAAGGAGCGATGATGTTGAGTGCGAGAGGTTTGAATGACGTAAAGTTTGAGAACAGTAAAACTAAGTTTTAAGTTTTTTTTTTAAACATTCTTAGCCGGTTACATATAGTTTTTTGGATTAAAACAATGTAGGTAACCAAATTCTAGAAGTTCCATGATTATTTATTAAAAAAATGTTCATTGACTTAGGGGCCATTTACCCAAATGCTTACCCAGTAAGCACTTATCGATAAATGTTTTGTTTAACACAGACCTATCAATCCATGTAGACTCATAGGTTGTATTCGTATAATTTGTGGCCATACTGACCACACATGTAAAGCATCTGTGATATTTAGGTTTTAACTGGATGATTTGTATATTTGTGTACCCAGAGGAAATAATCTAAAATGTTTTATCTGGTTAAAATAATGAAATAATCTAAAATGTTTTATCTGGTTAAAATAATGCAAGTTAGAATAAAAGCATTGTAAATATTCTGAATTCAGTTCAAGATTCGAAATCACTTTCTTGCTGTAAAACAAATGAAAATGTCAAAAAGTCGCATGAAATCAAAAACAAACTACATGAAAGAATCGCATTCCCTAACAAACGGTCTATTTTGTTCTCAAACAAATAAACAGATTCTATCAGTTACATTCCCACTTTGATTACAACTTATCAAACGCCTTTCTGTTTCCATTTATATTTTCTGTTTAATAAAAAAGATCAAAGATTTAACCATCAACGCAACTTTGTTCTGATAAATAAATCACGGTAAAACAAAATTGATCTTGTAAAAGAGAATCGATCTCAAACATATAATTTCTCCGATCAGGTTCAAGTGACATTTGATTTTATATTTTTCGATACATAATTATACAAATTCAAGCAATCATAACTGAAACTTGTATTATAATGACTTAAGTGTTGTTTGTTTACCTCTTGGTAGTTCAATTAAGAGGCAACTCTGAATGGTTCTAAAACCCTCTGAATGATTTTGTATCATGGGTCTCCCTTAACTATTCAGCACCCTAATTTCATTGTAAATAATTATCAAACAATTATATTTCACTTTGTATTATATCACGATAGTCTTTTAATTATTTAATCATATTGCATCAAACTATTCAGCAACTGACAAACAACCGCTTACACCTCAGTCATAAACTATTATATATGTAAAAAGTTATTTTATATTATCATTGTCTAAAGCATTTAAAACCATTCAATTAATTGTTGTCATTGGGTTGGGTCTTAGCCACCATTTGTTTTTAATGGAGAATTAATGTTGCATTTTCATAAATTTGGAAGTTCATAATATGTTCACTTAACACCCTTTGGTTTTAGAAAAAAAGGGTTGTGTAATTTCAGTCCATTTCAAATTAGGGGACGTTTGACAGTTGCTGAATGATTTTGTGCATAATGATTACGTGGTCAGAATGATTAAGAGGCTCTCATGATATAGTGAAAAATGAAATATAATTGTTTGGTAATTATTTATAATGAAATTAGGGCGCTTAATGGTTAAGGGAGACCCATGATACAAAACCATTCAGAGGATTTTAGAACCATTAACAGACATACTTTTTTTTGTCAATCAAGATTCACCTCTTAATGATTCAGATGCTGCATCTTAATGGAAATATTAATAGTCATATTTACTTAAGACCTCCCAACAATTTCTATGAATCATGATAAAATACCAGTCTTAGAACCAGTTTCTTAAAACAAAATGACTAATTTGTTGTTTGTGACGGTTCTCGGTCTTTTTGGTGATGTTATAAGCATATGAAATAAGAGGTAACTGAATTATGTCATGATCGATGGAGCTTGAAGGCAAGGGGGAAATGATTTTCTATGATTATGTTTTCAAGTCCCTCAATTATACGTTACGTAATGCAACTATTATTATAAGATCAAAATCTAACACATCGAGCCATGTTTTGTAAGGTTACTCAAAGAAACCGTAAACATTTGTATGGTGGTTTATTTTCTTGTGTGGTCAAAGACTTGTACGGTGCTTCAGTATCGATACAAAGCCATACCAGTGGTCCGATGACAAATTATGGTGCATAGGTTCATTCATAAAAGACGATGAGATGGCGTGGACAGAGCTTTCATTCCTAACAAAATCAAAGGGTATTTTAGTCTTTTTATATAAATATCTTAAAACTATATTGGTTTGGAAAGTTACTCCAATCCAAAATAGAACATTCGGAAGTATAGTTGAGGAAACCACAAGAAGTGGCTTTTTCACACTGACCTTACACTAATACACAAGACACATATATTTGGTCCACCCATTCCAAAGAAACAATGAGGACAAGGGTATTATGGTCATTTTCTAATTACACACAATTCAGTGGAAGCTATGTGCCTTTAAATTATGTAGCAAGAATAGGGGCTACCTATATCTTTCCTGGAGTCAGGGGTGGTTTTAATAGTATTATTAAGGGTATTGCTATTTGCAAATCAGATCGGTTCATACATTAGAAAATATAAAAAATAATTATTAATATTGATGTATTTAAGGAAGAAATTCATAGGTGGGGATATATTTAGCTAAACGTAGGACAATGAGTTTTTGTTTTGTCTCATGTTGTGTCAAACATGGGACAGTGAGTTTTGTCTCGTCCTGTCCTGTCATGTCCTGTCATGTTCCGTCCCATATACCAAATGCGGCTTTGTTAGGCCTAATGGGTGATTGTGTAATTAACATAATCTTGAATTACCATTTTAATTTTTTAATAAATATCAATGTTTTTTTTTTAAAGATATTAATCTGTGATGATAAACTTCCATTTCTTTAGTAAGCTTTGATTCTCAATTTGATTCTTGTTTCCAAAAGCAAATTCTCACATTTAACTTGAATAAGTTCTGAAAGAATTGTTATAGATACACAGTGTGTGTTTTTGTGTGTGTGTATATATATATATATATAGCTTGAAACTTTTAACACTTTTGCCTTTAGAGTGTGGGGAATTCATTCTGTGGTTGCTTCTTTCTCTCTGTCTTTGTTGTACAAAAGAAAGAACCCATCCATAAATAAACAAAATTCCCAAAGAGGACAAAGAAAAAAGAAAAATAAAATAAAGAAACTTGGTAGTGGGAGAAGTTGAATTTTTGGGAAAAGAGCATAATCAAGGTTGTGGTGGGGGTACTGGTGAAAGAAAGAAAGATAGTAGTGGTGGTGGTGATAGTTGTATTCAAATGGATGGCAGGTACGGTGGTGGTGGCGGTGGCGGTGGTGGTGGTGGGTGTTATGAGTTTGAGAGTGGTGGGGTGGTGATGACAAGAGACCCAAAGCCAAGGCTCAGATGGACTGCTGATCTTCATGACAGATTTGTTGATGCTGTTACTAAACTTGGTGGCCCTGACAGTTAGTCTCTCTGTTTCTCTTTATGATCTTTCTTCATTATAATTGATTAATGTGTTCTTGTTTTTGTAAAACAAGTGATGACAATGAGTTGGGTTTGGAATTTGAACTTGTGGGTGTTCATTTTCTTGAAGCTAAATGGTTCAATTCTGGTTTTCAGATTGGTCAAAGTCTTCTGTTTCATCTTGATTCTAAATCTTGATCAGAAGTTATCCAATGCCCAGAATCCAACATCATTGAATGTTTTGATCTTTATGAACCATTTTTCTGATCTACCAAATGGGTGTTCTTCTTTATTTCACTATGAAATCAGATGTTTTGATCTTAGATTCTTTCTTCTTAATTGATCAAGAATCTTTAGAATGCCAAAAATGAAGATCAAGCTATGAAAAAGATTTCCCTTTTTTTTCTGGGAGCGAAGTGTATGAATCTGCAAAGCATTTGTGTTTGTTTTGATCTGATTGAAACTGATATGGGGTTGGTTTGGTTTGGTTTGATTTGGCAGAAGCAACCCCGAAATCGGTGTTGAGATTGATGGGTTTAAAGGGGTTGACATTGTACCATTTGAAGAGCCATTTACAGGTAGATTTATAAACTTCAACTTGTGACTCGAATCGAATGCGAATTCGGTATGGATTCATTTAGTTTCATGATTCTCAATTGAGCTTTTGGAGTCTTGTTCTTGATGTGTTTAGAAGTATAGACTTGGACAGCAAGCAAAGAAGCAGAACAATGGTGATCCCAACAATGAGAACAGTGGTGAGTTTAGATCACATTTTGATCATCATCAATTTCCGCACTCCTGATTTTTGTTTCGCAAGCTGGGGGTATTCACGGAAACAGTCTGCTGTCTCTTGTGGATATACTCGGTTTTGGTTTGGTTGTATTGATTATGGTGCAGTTTTACATGTTTCCTTGAGTGATCTTTTACGATGATTCAATCGTTTATAGGTGATTCCTACGAACACTACAATCTGCATTCAACAGGCACGAGCTCCAATTCTGTGAGAGCAAACCATGAAGCAGGGTATGCGTCGTCTTCGTCTGTTTCGTTAAGATTCGGCTTAATAGAGTCTAAATTTGAATGTGTTTTTCTGTGTTTGCATACAGAGATATTCCTATTGCAGATGCATTGCTATGCCAGATTGAAGCACAGAAGAGGTTACAAGAGCAGTTTGAGGTATATAAACTATCTATTTTAGGAAAGATAACAATAACATGTTCTTTTTTAGTGCTTATTGGAGGGCAGGGTAGCTTAGGGCCTTATTTGGGGCTAACCTCAACCGTTGAATGAGTCAAAAAATGTCCCCTCACATTGGTATCTTTAGACACGGGTTCCGTGTGGGGCCAGTCGGGTACCATCAGGCCAATGCCCTTGGATGGGATCCAGTTGTACTTGTTTTAGCCTTTATCCAGAATTACCAACCAGTTTTCATCACATGTGAAAATGCATTGTTTATACAATGTTGTTTCATATATGAAACGTTCGTCACTTGTTTATGTGTGGAAAAAAACAGTTCTAAACGTCTCACATATTAAACAACATTGTATAAACAATACAGTGTTCACACATGTTGTTTCATATGTGACAATGCATGAAAATTGATCATAGTTTATATTTACATAAAAAAAAAAAAAAGAGAAGTAAAGGTTGGTATTTGAATTTGCAGGTACAAAAGAAGCTACAAATGAGAATAGAAACTCAAGGGAAATACTTACAAGGGATATTAGAAAATGCCCAAAAAAGCCTTTCGCTCGACATGAACTCGACCGGCAACCTCGAAGCAACACGAACTGAACTGACCAACTTCAATTTGGCTCTCTCGGATCTCATGGACAATCTGAGTGGCGGAGAACGTCGAGAAGAGAACGGTAAGAAGGGCGGCAGCACAGCGGTCAAGGAAGATATGAAGATCAAACGGGAGGGTGGCGGTGGCTCCATCAGTTTTGATCTCAACACCGGAGGTAATTACGACTTCATCGGTACGAACCCGGATTTACTAGCTCTTGGATTTACAAGACACAACTAGAGAAAATAAGAGAGTGTTGATATTTTTCTGCAATAATTCATCTAAATTTTGTTGATGCAAAGTGTGATGTCTTCATGCATCATGTGGTGGTACAAAATCACACTGAAATTAAATTGTAGATTCATAACATTAACATGTATTCAGATTATGGATTTCTCTTGAATTTCATTTAATAAATACATTTTAAAACAGATTTAAAGGCGTTTTCTAGTACGAAACGATGTCTATTTCGGACCTACAAACCTTGAAAAGGCATCGCGTAATGGATCACGAGCGTGTGAACCACGAGAAAACCGTCAGAGTAGGATTTCGTATGTATATAGAGTTGGCTTCTGATGAGAACTTATTATTTTCGTGAGAGCCATGAGAAAACCTTTGGAACTGTCGATCTCTTTTTAATCCAATGAAGCTTAACATACACGTTTTTGTAAAGAAGAGGGAGTTTAACCACAAGGGTGGTGTCTGATTGGTTTGAGCTTGTGCTCCAAAGGTTAAAAGTATCTGGAGATCTCAGCTTCAAATCAAAAAGAGAAATAAAAATCCCCTTTTAGCTACAGAGGTTCAAATAGAGTGATTCCAAAAGGATATGATTGCTGAGTCAAAAGGCTCTTTAGAGTCAAAACTCAAAAGCACTACATAATCAGAAGTTTCTGAGGAGAACTCAGAGGCTTCTGAAAGGAACTCAGAGGCTTCTACATAATCCTAAGTTTTAAGTTGGTTTATATGAGTATGCATTCCAGAACTTCTAACCGTGTTATAGCTTAACTAAGGGGTCGTTTACTAAATGCTTACCCGGCAAGTACTTACCGGGTAATTTTTCTCACCGGATGAACATGGCATGGGCCAAGAATCTTATCTGGTAAGAGCGATAATAAGGATGGAGAGTCTTACCCGGCAAGTGAGGGTGACGACTCTTACCCGGGCAAGCGCTTACCAGGTAAATTGTTGTATAGGATACGTTTTGATGTACTACGATTTTACCCAATAAAATAAATTTATAATGTTAAACTCCTAACGTTAAGCACTTACCAGATAAGCATTTAAGTAAACGGCCCCTAACACCAACCATATTCACGTATGAATCCAATTATATATACCGGTGATTTAACAAAAATCACCGGCACTTCCATCTTTGCCATCATGGGCCTTAAAGTGACAACATTATCATCTTTCACCACATCAAAGTAACAAGTTTTTATATTGATATGTGTGAGAAAGAAATTAGTAGATGAAGGTATATTTAACAAGACTTGGGATCATGTGAGACAAAGTTGTTTTTGTGAGATATGATTTTTATACTTAAAACTTCACAGTAAGACACTGTGAATTTAACCTTCACAGTGTTTTTCTGTGAAGATTAAGCTTTTTTTTACCTTCACAATATTTTGTTGTGAAGATTCAAGCGTAAAAATCGTGTCTCATGTGAACCCAACCCCATTTAACAATATATAGAAATGCATTTAGCCAAAAAAGATATTCAAGAAAATTATAATACCTCATACAGGTACATATTATATATAAGAGTTCCATTCTTTTATAAACCCATTAATTCATATAAGCATGTAAATCAGTTTTTAGGTGTTGTTTTATATATAGAATAATACGTGTGAAAATGTAATGTTTATACAGTGCATATGTGAAACGTTCAAAACTGTTTTTTCATATACAAAACAATTCTGAACGTTTCCCATGTGAAAAACATGGTATAAACACTACATTTTCACAACACATGAAAACTTGTTTGTAAGTTTGCACGATTTATTGAGTTTGTAAATAATTATGTGTCTTAATACTTGTGCATGACGATACAATAAAAGGAAAATTGAGTGAAATATCCAATCCACCTTTTGAAGCAAATTTCCAAAATTGGATTTACCCAAATGCGTAAGTGTTAAATGAATTGGATAACATAATAACCCTTACCCTACTCGTTGTCAAGAGTAGCAGTGGGTTTACGTTAAATTTTTATTCTAAATTTTTATATTTTAGGAGTTTGTTTACCAAACATTTATCAGGTAAGCTTTTACCGATAAAATTTATCACTATCATTTACTTAACAGGTAAGATTTGATCCACCAAAATGGTATCGTATATTCGTATGCAATAATTTACCCGGTAAACACTTACCGTGGTAAGAGCCGTTGTCCTCACTTACCGGGTAAGACTATTGATCTTTTTCTCGCTCTTACCAGGTAAGATTCTTAGTCATTACCATATTTATCCAATAAGATAACATGATTTGGTGTTCATTTACCCAAGTAAGCGTTTCGTAAACGAACCCTTGACTTGAAACACTTTGAACGTTAATCTTTTTCTTTATTTTATATTAAAAATATCATAAAATGACTAAAATGCCCCTAACTTGTCTACCACGTGGGCAATTAACCAACAAAAAAGGAAGGGATTTCGATAGTCTGTTATCGTCAACAAGAAAAACGGAAAGAATGACAACAAAACAACAAAGTTTGTGGTGGAATATCCCATCTGTTCAGGATTCGATTCCAGATGTACACAACAATTGTGGCCACTAAGTTTATCAGGGCTGATTTATTCCATTCACAGCAGAATTGTTCCAGGCATAACCTGGGACATCCTTCTAAAATAAAGAGTGACAACAAATATCCATATTGCCATAGCCCAAGTGCCCAACAGCATCCGGATTACCAGTAGATCCCAACCTCTTTTGAAGTCTAAGAGGGTTCAAATCTCACCAAATGTAAGTTTGGTTCGATAGAGAATGAAGTTAAGCTAATTAAAGTTGCTAAATGGTCTAATTTCATGACCAGAAACATAAAAAAACAGCATAAAGAAACCAAAATTTAGTTTGAAACAGTACAGTAACCACATACCAGATGTTCTCATAGAAACATTATATAGGATTCAGCAAGATTTCAAGAATAATTGAGATTGGCTTCTAGTTTCTCCTCCGGGGGCTCGCACCAGCCTTCCGTTTCCGATTATTAGACTTCGGTGACCTATATTCATCGAACATTCCCACCTCCCCTTCTTCCACGGGATCGAAATCTTGGCTGCGTGACGACTGCCCTTTTGTTGAAGAGTGGTATTGCCCATCTTCAGCCTCATCGTCCACCTGATTTGCAGGTTTAGACCAATTATGTTTTCTTTCTTGTTTGTTTTTTTCTGATTCAGCAGCCAACTCTATACCATCTTCTAGCTCCCTTTCGATTAGATCGTCTTCATCCATGAAATCCGTTCTCCGAGTCACATCACCACCACGGGTCTTCCTTCGTTTCTCCAGAGCCGCCTTAACTTTATCTTTATCGATCTTTTTTATTGCATCCTGAGGTGATTGCCCTTTGTAATCCAGATTCCTCCCCTGATATTTCTCCTTCGCTTCTGGTTCCCTAGTTTCATTCCTGCCACCACCCCTTTCTCGTGTTTCCTCACCATGTCCTTCAGAACCGTAATATGTATTCGTCTCCATTTCCCTATCCTCGGGCCCATAATGCTGTTGACTTTCATTGACTTCAACATCTCCCTTCATTTCTGTGTTTCCATAATCGTTACTTCTGTTTTGGGACGCTCTTGGTGGGCCGCTGTGATTATCTGGATATGATTGATCAGGAAGGGGTCTCGATGCGGGATTTGAGGTACCCGGCCTGGAAGTTGCGGCACCAACTTGGGAATTATTGTTGTTTGTAGCATGTTCTTCGTCAACAGCAAGAGCTCTCGTGGGAGCTTTCTGAGTAACGCCGCCTCCAATGCTCCCATCAACAACTTCACTAGTTTGAGAAGGTGCCACCCTATTTTGTTCATAAAGTTCCAACATTTGGTTACTGACTTCTGCAAAAGAATAATGAGAACACTATATGTTAACAAAGAAATAAAACTAGAAGAAAGAGTAAAAGAGAAAAGCCACACACACACAAAAAACAGATTACAATGCCAATTTCAGACATTCCTGCCCTTACCACCTCAATCACACTACACTCTTCTACTTCTACTAGTCTGGAAAAGGTGAGCCTAAATGTGTTTATTGTTTTATAGCTAACATACATGAGGGGCAGGTGCATTTCAGAACCGTAGATATTTTGAGAACCGTGAGAACCGATTCATGATGAATAGCATGAATGAATATTTATGAATGAAAAGGCATAACATTCATTATGAATAACATTTTGGCATATTCATTATGAATAACATTTTGTGGCATATTCATTATGAATAACATTTAGGTATATTCATTATGAATAACATTTAGGTACATTCTTCAGGAATAGTTGGTTCTCACGGTTCTCAAAATATTTACAGTTCATAAATGAACTTTCTCCTACACAAAAAGAACCAAATGTCTTGCTTTCAAAAGTCTCTTTTCCTATCATATTCATATAGTTAACCTTTTCACTGGGAAGAACGGGAAGCATCTAGAGTGGAATTGTAAACAATATTGGTGTTTCCAAATAGTAGTGACAGCCATAATAACATCATAAAAATTGAGGTTGCAGTTCAGTATCATCCTAAAAAGGTAAGACACCGACCCTCCAATTGGCGTGGGGTGACATCGAACTCCTGCCACCAAACTTTCTCACCATCTGATGGCAGCTTTACTTTGAGGAACTTGGCGGCAAGAAAAATTGCCCCTGCTGCGATGTGATGGGGCTTAAATTGCAAGCACAGAGATGTCCGAAGCCTGCATGCCTCTTTTGCATGTCAAAATGGAAAAAGGAAGAGCGACCACAGGCGGGCATTACATAGAAACCACAAAAAGAAATACAGCATACCCATCGTTAACAAAATTCCATGCAACTTGAGCAAGGGCATTTTGGGCAACCTTGAACTTCTTTATTGCCTCGACTAGTGGTTTATATGGATGATGCACATTAAAATCGAAACCAAGAGTTGCAAGAACAACCCGTTCTCCAAGTAATATTAATTCCTTTTGTTGTTCATACACATCCTGCAAGATAAACATAATATCAATCAACTAAATCTCTACACCATTTGAGGAAAACTTATGGAACATAATTAAAGAATGCAAGGACTTATCTGTGCATTTCCAATCTTACAGTTTGAACTTGAGTACAAATCTAAAGTTTATGAACGTATGTATGTATGTAAACTTGAAGTGGTAACAAGTAGAATTGATCATATACCTTCTGCTTGATTCTTTGTATTGCCTCAGGATCCTTTTTGTTATTGATTTCATAGGAAACAAGGATAACATCTTTTAAAGGACGAGGAGTTTCTTCAACCTTGCCTGCAAGAAACATGCAGACAGTTGCAACTGTCTGCAATCCAAGCATATTGTCAATGATTAACAAATCTAGTCACTGTTTATCCTTAAATAGCATGCTGATAGAAAGAAAAAATTAAAGGGTGCGTATTCAGGTTTTTGGACCGTCTTGTAGATACGACGATTGTGTATATATCGAACAGAAAGACAGACAGGTTGAGTGATCCTCACAATAAATAACATCTCAGAGAATAAAAAGAAATACACAAGTTGAAAATTGGTTATTGCACATAAATTCATGTTGAGACAATGTACATGTTATCTTTCAAACCTACACTCATACACAGACCCAAACTGATTTAAGTCATTCTTTGAAGGAAACCCAAACTTTCTTATTACAATGTCTGCTTCTTGTTGTCTTTTTTTTATTTCAAAATATGTTCTCTGATTCTTCTCTCCTTTATCATACTTGCTGCAGATCTCTTACGTCTATCTTCCCAGACCTACCTTACAGAATAGCTCACTCATCTAACTGTCTAGTTTCAGTGATAAAATTCAGACTTGTATATACGAATTCCCCAAAGGATAGCACATAACAATTGTAATATTGTCATCTTTAATATTTTGATAGATACAAGTTAGAAATTGTGGTGGTTCCAAACACTTGGTTCAAGGTGGGAATGTAGAAGAAAGGCCACATTGTTTGGAACAAGAAAAGTGGGTCAACACCTTCATGGTATGAACTGTGAAGCAGATCTTAGATTGGCGGGATGATTTAAAAAGAAAGGGATCTAAAAGAAGCTATTTTTGGTAAACCTTGGACTGTTTCATACTTGCAGATACAGCACTATGTGCATCATACAGTTATTTTTTCGTCCAGGAACAAGCAGGAGAGAAGTGAAACAAATCCTTTAGATCCGTACTTGTACTCAGCTGCAAATACTTGCACAAAGAGACAAATGGTGGTTCCTCGTAAACTAGAACATTACTTTTCATAATGGTTAGAGTAATAACAGCACTAAACCAAGCCCAAAAGGCACTTCGAACAAAATAAAAACAAGAAGGTCAAAGGACCATGGAATGTTGATGCCTTGTTTCACAGCACGTTTGCTTTCCATTTACATTCTTTTGTGATTTAAACAGAGTTGTTTATTTGGTTTCCCAACTAAATTTGTCTGACAGTTTTTTTTAAGATGAAAACTTACAAGGAAAAGAAGAATTTTTTTTACTTGGTTTAAAACCCTCATCATCATTAAAGTCAAATAGTCAATACATGCCACTTTGTAAACCAATTTTGCAAACCGCGAAAACATGAACAAATCAATTTTACAATTTGTTTACAATATGCCATAAACCTTTTGGTTTTTAGACAAACACCATTTTTTGACCAGTTTACACTCGTTTAGAAGCACAACCACAAAAAAAACGTCACCAGAACAAGTCCAAAAGCATCCTTTAGAGGTTGCAAAGATCCCTACAATTCCCATATAGGTTTATAGAACATGTTTAGTCATTGCATTGTCACAGAGATATGCTCTATTTATAACGTCCATATAGTGTTCTATGTTACAAAACTCCCCTTACAATTCCTATTCAACAACTGTCATGAGTCAAGAATTATGACTCGTGATTATACTCGTTTAAGTAGCCTTTGCTTTTTTATGTAAATGTTATACTTGTACATGATGAGAATCACAATCCTACAATGGCCATCACTAATTTGAAACGCCGTTCTACATATTGACCTTAGTATTAAAGACTTATGTCAAGTGCATTATATTCAGCATTTGGAAATACCATGTTCTGACATTATGTTTTCAAAAAAAGGATGCTCAAAAACTCCAAAGAAGCTACTCCAGCTTTTATACCTCTAGACCAGGCCTTTTACAGCTGTAGAGCTCTTTTACAAGGCAACATTCTATAAAAAACAGGTTGGAAGTCTGATTGACCTTTTTGATAGGGAGGGGGGAGACCCCTCCAGATCAAGGCAAAAAACACTAAACACAAAACAACAAATACGCACTCGGGTGGGGGCGAACCACATCCACCAGAAAAAACCAAGGCACCCCGAGGGAGAAGAAGGAAGCACAAGAGAAGGGAGAAAGGAAGAAGAAGAAAGAAAGAGAAGAAGAAGAGAAAGGGAAAAAGAAACAGAAAGAGGGAAGGAGAGGAAGGAAGAAAGAGGGAAGGAAGGAAGGAAGAGGAGAGTCTGATTGACCTTGCCGTTACCAAACCAGGTCTGTCTTCTTTTCCCGCCCATATACAATTAAAATTCAGGTATGAACCAAAAGTACCCAAATCTCAAGCACAAAAGGCGGTCCTTATCTATACTATATTATAAAACATTTGACAAAAACTCTTAAAAACCATCTTTTATGCATAAAATACTGTTTATTGATGCATATTACTTATAATTCAATATTACAAGTAGATTGTGCATAAATACAACTTATTAAAACTCCATGTTTGAATTTGTGTAACCAACTGCAGATAAACATAATTAAATACATAATGAACATCTCATTTTACATATAAAAAATCTAAAATATAACTAGAATAAGCATGAAGTTCTAATAGAATACTTAATTATTATTTTTACCAAAAAAATAGATTCTTAATCAAAAATAAAAACAAAACTTCGTTATTAAACTTAAATTAAATTATAATACAAAATTTAATTTAATGAAATTACAGAAAAAACGATAACATTTAAATAATGAATTCGATACTAATATCGATATATATTTTCAAATTTTTATGATATCTTCAAATTTATATTTTATTCAAAAATAAAAACAATGTCGCTTTCTTAAAACCACATAAAATTGTATTATAACATAGATAGAGACAAAGAATAAAATGAAACATTAAAATCGAGATGTATCTTGTTGCATTGCGCGAGTACCCTTCTAGTGTATGTCAAAAGCACATAAAATTAAGGCCTACTATTTTCTGGTACAGAAAGTTCACATCTAACAACATATTAGAATAGTGACATGTGCCCACATGACAGGCATTTCTCTCCTGTCTTGGGATTCTGAAAGAACAACTTGGTGGGTAAAGACCTGCTGAAGCTGATAAAGAACCTTAACTAATGGTGCAGCAGCTTACAAACCTACTTGTCAAATTAAAAGTTCATGTTGCAATTACCCTTCATGTGATCATGTCTACAATGATTGTATGAATACCTATATCTATCATTTAACACTAAAAACATAGAGCATGACCATCTCACTAAGAGAGCTAAAGGAATGGAGGATATACTTCAGAGCCCATTACATTCCAATCAAAGCTTAGCGAACATATTAGTTTTACCAAAAGGCCAAGAAAAGAGGATCCACAGGTAAAGGGGTGATAATGTGAGTTTTCCTCTTTGAAATTTGAATGTTACTTTACTTGTTAGGTGTAGTGGTCACCACCCTGGTGGTTGGGCTGACACACCTTAGATGGTTATTATATCTTTGTGATAACAATGACTCACATCCAACCTATCTCTTTGTAACAGAGTTTTGCGGCTAATGAAACTTCTTGATTCCAGCTCTTCACCAGTAGTCATAATTAACGTACTAAGTATTTAGTACGTAAAGTACCCTTTTACTCTCTTTTAGATAGGTTATTTTGCCTTCATATCCCAAATATTGAGTCATTTTATCTCCTTTCTCTGTTTGTAAGCTAAGATGAATGAGGAACCTATGTTTTGTGGAAATTGACCTAAATTGATCTCATTTTGGACAGATTGGAGCAGTTTGATGCTGTAGAAATGTGGTAGCATGAACTGACGTTTGACTGAAAGATGGAGGAGACTTGGGGAAGTGACATGACTCTTGGGAAGACTTTTGAAAGCTTTCTAAAGCTGTATTCTGCTGTATTTTGAACTGATTAGTGATATGTAACAAGACTAATTTTAGTTAACTTCTAATTTGTAGTTTGATTTAAGTACTTTTTTAGTTAGTTGGTAACTAGGAAGGGTGAAAAGACTATTTTGCCCCCATAAATCCTTGGTATAAATAGGGGTTGTTGGGAGGAGTTTAAGACACACCTCACACCTCATCTTCTATTTTCTCCTACTTTTCTCTCATGATGATTACAAGGACTCATCACAGACATAATGTTGATAGAGAGAGGGGCCTAGACAAGGTATTAATGCAAAGCAGGAGGCTAGAGAAAAACCTTGATATCTAAATGCTTTTTATTAAATTGGATTATGGACTAAAACACGGTATATAAAATGCAACTTCAGCAGTGTTGATATGTACTTCAAGAATGTAGCAAGCATACCACCAAGAGAAAACGTCTTTGTCATCTGAATTCATTCTTACAGAAATTGGAGAGATGGCCAAGGATGACAATCTTAGAATGAGAGCATGGAGGACGAAATAGCAACAAGCTTGAAGATCTTAGATGAAAATTTTCCATTGAAACTGGAAGGTATAATCCATGGCAGGACATGCGCTATGACTGGTATAACATCGGTCAAAGGCATCATGACACAAACCGAGTATAGGAAAAAATTGCAAATAAGAAGGCAGATTGTGCCTCATAATTAGGATAAGTGGGAAAAGGTCGGGAAGCACTAGATGAGGAGCAGTTGAGGCAACACTCATTGAAGTGGTTTGGCCATTCGTGATGTAGACATTGAACACTCAACCCGAAACCTACAATTAATCGGTCTTCAGGTTTTAATTAGAATCAGGTCTCAGTTTATCCCACAAAATTTAGTTCGGGTTCGACAGGTAGAAGGCCATAAAATAGATGCTATGCATTTAAAATTGCGATATATCGGACATCGGTCTCTGGAAAAATATCGGTCAAATTATCGGTTCCGATAATATCGCCAATATTTACCGATATTTTGATGGAAAAATCGGTCCAATATACCGATTGTCTACAAGGCAAATGTTTGGGATTTTTTTATTACATGTTGGGCTTAGTTTTTTGGGCCTCTTTATTTGGTCAACGAGTCAACACATATATTAGGTCTCACGCTTCTTCTCTTCTCGGTTCTTCACAGTTCAAGCTTATTTCTCTTCTCGGTCTCCTTCATCTTCACGCTTCTTTTCTCGGTCTCTTTCTCTTCTTGGTCTCCTCCAGTCTACTTACCAAGTTGATACAGCTACAGGTCCTCAACCAGCAGCGACTGTGTTGAATGTTGATACAGCCACAGGATTTCAACAGGTCCTCAACCAGCAGCGACTGTTGAGTCTTGAGTGTTGATACTTGATACAGCCATACAGGTCCTTGTCCTCAACAGGTCCTCAACACAGCCTCCTGGCTCCTCGTGACTCCCTCAACTCAGCCTCCAACAGTCTCCTGGTCCAGGTCTTATGTCCGAACTCCTAAGTCCTAACACCCACCCACTCACTTAATTATTCTTATTTGACTTAGTTAAAACGTAATTACCATAACTTACTTATTTTTGTTGTTAAGACTTAACTAAAGAAAGCAATGGAAAGTAGAGAAGGAGGTTAATCTTCAAGGGCATCTGTGACCCCGATTACTACTAATACTACTTCATCAGACGCRGGTACAAAATGCATCAATGGCGATATGGCTTGGGAATGGGGGAGTATGAAAAGATCCAACCAAAAAAATAATGTATGGTGTACTTTATGTGATAAAAAATATGAGTGGAGGGATCACCAGGTTGAAAGAACATCTTACTCACACCGGAGGTAACGTGATTGGTTGTCCTAATGTGAGTAACGACATCAAAAAAAGAGTTCTTGCATCAATTAGTGAAAAGAATCAGAAAAAGAAAGAAAGAAATAGAAATATAGAAATCCTTCGACAATATTCGGTTGAAGTTGATGATGATGAGGATGAGCAAAGAGTAGATGGAATAGTAATTATCTAAGGAGGAAGAGCACAAGTACAAGAAGTAAAAGGGAACGCTATAGGGATGATGATGATCATCATCATGTTGGAGATGAAGGGGAAGAAGGGGAAGATTGGGAAGCTAATCTAAACGAAGAAGTGAATGTATTAGATGATGTTGACTCGGATGCCGAACCTATTGCTTGCTATTAGCTCGTTTTTGAACACTTCTCCTATTTTGTTTTGTGAGACTTGTTTATGTAATGTTTTGATTTTGAAACTATATTTCTAAACTCTAATTAATGCATATGATATGTTTATGGATGCATACATATAATATATATATGTGTGTGTGTGTATAATTCAAAGAAATATTATATTAACCGCTATTTTGGACCGATATATCACCGATATAACCGAAATATCGAATATCGGTCCTAACCGATATTCTGTATTTTGACCGCAATAACAGCATAGAATAGATGAAGATGTCCACCAAGAATTACATAGGGGGAAAGTGCGGGAAACCTGAAAGAGGGTTGCATGTGTATGGTAATATCGAAGCAGTTAGGCTTAGATAGACAGTAGTGCATGGAATAACATTATTTATCTCGTCGGTCATATGTTTTTTGAAGGTTCCATAGCTCTATACGTTCTTTTCTTGGGTTTCATCATTGTGGTTGTTGTGACAATTACAAGGACAACCAATGTACTGTAGATCATAATGGGTATTCACACAGCTTTTTCTTTCAGAATTAAAGCTTTCTCACCAGAAATGTACTTAAGAAACTAAAACCAATTGGATCAAAGCCTGCAGCTAAGCCACTCCAGCCATAGATAAACTAAAATACCATTCGGTCAGATTTAGACCACTGATTTTTTACCAAACACACAAATTTAACCAGCTCAAAGCAGCTGATATCCATGTGACAACCCCTTCAGAACTTCTTTCGTTATTTTTGCTAGTGTTTTAGTAACCTATCTGCTTTATATGTACATCTACAGTGAAACAGAAAAGACATAGTAACAAGATTTCAACCATGGTAAATCTAGCAGTTGGCAACTTTCAATGCAGAAACTAAAAGACATATTAGAAGTGTAAGAAAAGGAAAACAAATTATCTCTAACAACATACATATACATATAATGAAAGCAAGTGCCTAAATTATAAAGAGGTCTACTAACTCCTATGCTTGTCTTACTTCAGTTTTCACTTCTTATAAGAACATCGTTTTTGCTCGCATACATTTTAACTGTCAAGCAAATTTTACAGAGCAAGACTTTTCTTTTAATTTTTAACAAACAAGATGCAACATAGTCAATTCAATAAGATAGACCCCAGAAAGAAAGAAAGTGAAATGAGGCACAACTCACCCTCCTGTCATTCTTTGCATGTGATTGACGGAGGAAGAAACGGTGACAAAAGATTATAGCCGTAGCAATGGTTACCTGGGGCCTGCATGGAAATATCCAACACAATCCACGTATGTACATATTAAACACTCTGATTCAAAATTATTATTTTTCCACAAACTTAAGGACTTAAGCAAGAACAATGGAGAAGCACAACATGTATACATTAAAGACACTATAAATTGACAATTAAACACGTTGACACCTTCAAGACTGCATGCATAACAATTACCTAGTGAAAACACTATATTTACACACAGCAATCTGTAAGACTTTAGAAGCATAAATACTGGGTTCCACCACCATATCATTATCTTTAATTTCAGTGACAGAATAATAAACCATTGTTCTTCAAATTTGTTTTATCGGGTTAATAATTAATGTATCCAAGTGCTGTTAATTTTATATTTGAGTTCATCCTCTACTCCAACTTCTTTCATCATGCTCCCTTTTACTTGGAATACTATAGTATCAATCCTCCTGTCAAACCTAAAATTACACACTGCTTGCACAATACATCAGGTAAATAATGACTAGACCTCCCTCCCCCCCCTCCAAATATTGCAGATGACGGACCTGATTAATGTCATAATTCTTGTTTTTGTATGGTAATATAGACAACTAGCCCTCTCACTTGATTTGGTTTTACATTAATATTTAACCCATTGTCTGCTCTCTCTGTCTCTCTCTTTATTGAGAAAGACCACTGATTTGGTTTTGATATTTGAATATTTTCAAAAAATAATAATAAATTGGAAAATTTTGGACTTGGGGGCAGACCGGTTACCATCCAAACTAAACACTTGCTGAGATTACTTCTTTAATTTATAACCCGACACATTCAAAACATGGGTTGATTTTGTTAACAGAAAAATGCTAGAGAAGTACCGACATGATTTAAAGATCAAAACCTTGCATCTTCTAAATGTTGAGGTCGAAGAAGAAAATAACAAGAATATGTAAACTGGAAGAAGATCGGATAAGGGAAGGTCATTGGTAGTGTTCAGGACTTGGTTTTAAAAAGCGCGATGCGGTCCGAGGCGGTAAGGGTCCCGGAAGCCGATGCATGATGCGTGATGTTGATGCGCCCGGTATTCAAAAAATATTTATAAATTAATTCTACATATCACTTTCTACCTTAAAATACTTACCTATCAAAATACTTCATTTATAACATAAAGTAGTTCAAAAAGTGGCATTAGAATCTTAAAAAGTTCGTGAATCGGAATAACAGAACACACAAACTACTACCATGAAGAACACAAGTAAATGTCTAATAATCCCCAATCCCTAAACTAAATGACCAAGTGACCAACTAATACTCCCCAAGGTCAGCATCATCAAACCCCAACGCGGGTTCATCTCCCTCATTTGGTTGAACGACAACAATTCACGTTCTATTTCTTTTTTAATCTAATTGATATGTGAGTGCGACTTCTGCTTCTTCTATTAGTGGTTGTCGGCTTCTTCTATCAGGTCACCATTCAGTCTCACGTTCTATTTTAATCAACTAAAAATCCCAACTAAAAACTGAAAAAAGGAGCCCAAACATGAAACATACAGGATGCGTTGATGCATAGGTGATGCATGCATCGTGTGATGCGTAGGTGATGCGAGCGCATCATGGAATCGCAACGCATCAGCCCATCTGATGTGTTTCCTCCAGCGCATCACGCATCAGAGCGCATTATGCACGCATTTTTAAACCAAAGTTCAGGAAAGAGAAGAAGACCGCAGTTATGTGCCTATCCAGTGTGTATGACCTTTTTGCCACATGGGTGCCAGAAGGGTGTGTGTATGGTATGAGTGTAGTGCGGAAAGAGTTGAGGGGGTGATGATGGTGGCATCCGGGAATGAAGATGTTCCCTTTTTCTTCTCTGTGTTGGTATAGTAACTCCTATGGAGGTGGAAATATACTAAAGTCTAAAACAATACATACAATCAAAAAAGTCATAAATAGTAATATTTTTTGGGATTTTGGAAGCAAAATAGACATTAGATGAAGGAAGATCTAGACTTGAATTTCATGGTTCTCAATCTCACTCAAGAGAGAGAAAGAGAGAGAAATTGGGCCTCAGAAGTAAAAGCTTAATACAAGAGGTCTAGTTGCAATCATCTAGCATATGCAAATGGTAAGCTATATGATAGTGTTTAAGGACATTCAATACCGTAAGAATTGCAAGCAAGAAATCAGTAAGTGTTGATTTCAGTTAGGTGAAGAATTCACTTTGGAATACTAGACTTCACCCGTTTTCAAATTTCTGTGAAATGCACCACGGAGAGTTTAAAGCCTATTGAAAGATTTTGAAAGGAAAAAAAACTGGAACTGTTTAATTTGATTATCCAAGAACACTTAACAACCATGAACTCCTATACTTACACAAGTTAAAACAAGGGAGCTCCTATAGTCACATAAATATCATTGATAGAAGTAGGTTGTATAAAAGAACTTTCATAAATATATGGGACTCATCCTATTAACAGCACTGATTAAAAGCTCCTATAGCCACTGCTATTTGTATGTTGCTGAAGAGAAATGAATGTGATTGGGAGCAAAATTAATTTGATGTTAAGAGAAATGTGACAGCCATAAAAAGAGAATGTAGGAAGATGGCATAAACAAATAGAACCATCAATGCCTTTGAAACTCAACCCCAAAAAATTTAACAAAGATGCCTTCACATGATATATTTTACACAATTCAACATTCAAGAAATATGGTTCAATCATTGCAACCTTCAAACACTTATGATTTAAGTTGGGTTGTTTCTCATCAAGAAAGTCAAAGCTAGAGCCTAATCCAAATGTAACTTTCATTATTACCAACAAACCCACCATAAAACAGAAAATATACATCATAATGCGTAACCCATCCAACTTGCATGCAAATAAATAAATTGACATGAATAAGAAGTATCATTTGAGGAAAAAACCAAGAGATAAAGGAGCTTACACTTTGAGCCTCATACCCAAGTCTTGCAAGAATGTGCAATATGATTTGCGTAGATAAGTCTCCTTCTTCAAATCTATGCCGTCTGGTCTAGATGGGGAGTTTTCTTCAATTTCTTTCCGTGAAAAGTACCACCTGCCACCATTTTCTTCCTGCTTATCATCAGAATTCCTATATGGACCACCTTCGTACATTCCAAATTGCATAGGATCACTGGACAACAAAGCAGTCATTGGCGTCTTCTGCTCCGTATACCAATTTTTCAAAGAATGAAGCTGGAACCCCCCCTAGAACACAGGATGCATTAAAGTGACATCTGCTATCTGCACTGTATGTGTACTAACAAAACTGAGTAAGAAAGAAGAGGATATACACAACAATCAATACAAAACAACATTGTTGATGTCTCTTAACTCTTTCAACCAATTTTTCAAAGATGAAGACTGTTTCCCTCTAGTTTACAGGATAACTTAATATATGTGCTAACAAAAATGAGTGAGAAGAGGAAAAGCAGAATGGTTAAGAGAATTATTTAGTATTGATTAACTCACGAATTATATATGCAGACAGAAATGGATTCTAAGCCTATAGAACTGAACTAGAAATTCATGCACAATAGCATAAAACTACAAATGAACATTGGTAACTTCCTACAGCCTCCAATAGATGATAGAAAATACAATAACACATAATTAAAGATCAAAAGTCGATGATTCTAATAAAATAAAACAAACAGGCTTGATGACAGATCTTACTGTTGGCACCATTACCACCATGATTGATGCACTAGAACTTAAGAAAGCGCAGGGTTTACTAAGAGTTTAGCTGAAGTACAAACATAGTGAAGCAAATACAATGCAACCTACCATCCACAATCAACATTACTAGTTATAATCATCAAATTATCACGTGGGGTTATCCTCAACAGTTCCTCATGTAACAAAAATTATCATAAAACATGGCTCCAATATATCATGCATACTGAAGGAGTTCGTTGCCACTAAAGTGGCAAATGATCAGTCATGAATACCATGCTTGCAACCAATCAGTTGTGGCAAGCAAATTTGTTAAAGCGCACTTGAAGCGTGCCTAGGCTCAAGATCTTGGGCTTCTTTAAAGTCGAGTAACGTGGAGTTATCCTCAACAGTCCTCAGGTAAGACATTTCTCACAAAACATGGCTCCGATATATCATAACTGAAGGAGTTCGTTGGCACTAGAGTGGCAAGTAGCCACTTGCCACAGCAGGATCAGTCATGAATACCATGCTTGCAACCAATCAGTTGTTGCAACTTGCAAGTTGCAACACGATGAGCAATGCAAGCTTTCTAACTCAAAGTAGAATGTCAGAGTATAAACCATGAAACCAAAAAGCCACTGAAGTTTATAAGCATTGCCGGAAAATCAGAAATCCAACATGAAGAGATCTTTTCTGACATCGAGGGCCCCACCTTAATAGATAGCCAGCTTTAAACCAACCCAAAAATTGTAACCATCAAGGAAACTAAAGCTTCCTCACACATATGTCAAGTTTTTGAAAAGAAAATGGAAAGAGCAAAGAAATTCTCATGATAAAACAATAGAAGTAGATACTCGAAAAGCATTGCATCTTTCTCCCCTGCAATTAGTAAAGCTAAAAGAAAAACTGGAAGTTATTTCCTCTTCTTTCCTATACAGCCTTAGAAAAGAATAACCGAACCACATCTAAATCTGTCTCTGGCTCTTATCTTTTCCTACTTATTTCTTTTTGTATGTGCATCTAAGTCGCAGCAAAACAGTGAATACATGGCAGGCCATCACATGAATAACATCTCCAAACAATGTTGCAATGCAGCTTAATCACAACATACAGATTGTAGATGATGCAATTTTACTACTAACATGATAAGATCAAAATCATCCCTATAAGAAAAGTTAACTGTGGGAGAAACTCCAAATTCATCCACTTTTTTGTTATGTCTGAACTACTGCCTGAAAGCATAATTATGGAAACCCGCAAAAAAAAACTATATAACTATACTTTCCTACAATGCAACTGACTGTGCAAATGTATATAACTAACTGGAAACACTTGTAATCTTCACCACTTAAAGATCTTCATATGGGAAAAAATAGTTAAAAGAGGCTTTGGTCGTTAAGAAAAGATAAGTAGTTTACATGTCCAAGACAATGACCTACAAGAATAAGGTTCTCTGGTCAGCCGAATCTGATTAGTTTAGAATAGCAAAGAGAACCCGTTAAAGGTCTGTGATTATATAGATAGACTTCAAAGCAGTTCATTGAAATCCTAAAAGTACCACTTATTTCCTTTCATAAGAAATCCTAGTTCAACTGGAGACTAGTAACAAGAAAGCAAACCCTACTTCTATAGTTAAGGAAAATAATAATAACGCGTTTTCAACAGAGAACCAAAGAACTTCCTTAAGGACATCAATTTCTCTCAAGTTGAATGTCGTAGCATTGAAATTAGGAATAAAGATCACGTAAAAATACCGAATTTTTATGCCCTAATCCTACCCGTGCTAAGAGAGAAAAATATTTTATCTAAACCGGAAAAATTAGGGCATAAAAAACAAGAGGAAAAGGAATGAGACAAAGCAACCGTACCCACAAATTACCGGCGATTAGTAGAGGATTCTCCCTGCGGTGTTGGCTAGCGTATCTCGTCGTTCTTCGAGCTGCGCTTCGTCTGTGGGGCTCTTTCCAAGAGACGATATGATGAGAGAGAAAGTGGAAGGGTAAGTGTGAAATCGTGTTTTCAAGCGAGACTTTAAGATTTTTTACGTAAATTAAAGAGAGACTAAATGCGTACGACAGTCCCTAAATCATTTCCATACGATTTGAAATAGTAAAGTTGTATCGATTGGTGTTTTGGGATCGCTTATAAAGGTTGTTTTTTAATTTGTTTTAATTTAATACTAGTTGTGTATCCGCGCAATACGGCGGGAGCCATGAATTTTAACGATTTTGAAGTTTCACTGGTTTTATAAGATAAGATTT